TGAAAAAAGGAGAAGGACAGTAAAAAAGTTAGAAATTTAAATAATGTTCCCGCATTTCTGTTTAAATGAATTTATTACATTATTATATATATTAGGCATACGACTAGCCTTGTGACTGTTACTTTTTTTTTTAATCTATACATCTATACATGTAAATAAAATTGGAGTGTCTGTTTGTAATATTGAAATAACCGTTTTTTACTACTTGCATATGAATATAAATACGGTACATACACCAAAATAACATATTTTACAAGTTTTGTCTGTCTGTCTGTCTGTCTGTTTGTTCCGGCTAATCTCTGAAATAGCAGGACCGATTTTGACGGGACTTTTTTTGCCAAGTAGCTGATATAATAAGGAGTAACTTACGCTACTATTATTTTAGAAAAATAAAATAAAATTTCACGCGGACGAAGTCGCTGGGGCCAACTAGTCTATAGATATACCGAGATTTAATGTTTAAGTTGCTATTATGTTGTTGACAAAATTTTACTGTAATGTTACTATTACGTTATCCTACACAATTTGTATTATTTTGGATGAATAAATAAATAAATAAATAATAATCTATACATATAAATAAAATTGGAGTGTCTGTTTGTAATATTGAAATAACCGTTTTTTACTACATGCATATGAATATAAATACGGTACATACACCAAAATAACATATTTTACAATTTTTGTCTGTCTGTCTGTTTGTTCCGGCTAATCTCTGAAATGGCTGGACCGATTTTGACGGGACTTTTTTTGGCAGGTAGCTGATGTAACAAGGAGTAACTTAGGCTACTTTTATTTTAGAAAAATAAAGTTAAAAACCATGTGGACGAAGTCGCGGGAACAGCTAGTGTATAATATATTAGAGATACCTACGTGTTTTTTTATTGATGATTAGCTGTACACGGGATTTCGTCCGTGTGGAATTTCACTTTATTTTTCTAAAATATAAGAAGTTAAATTCCACGCGGACGAAGTCGCGTGTACAGCTAGTTGTCGGTAGTCTAGCGATTTATCTAGCACACCGCTTTGATTCCTGCTTGGTGGTCGAGGGTTCGATTCCTCGCACGCTGCAAACATTTGTATTCATGAGTATGATTGTTTGTAACGGTCTGGGTGTTTTCTATGTATAGATAATATATATGTATTTACGAAAAAAAATCTTTGTATTTATATCAGTTGTCTAGTACCCATAACATAATCTTCAGCTAGCTTAACTTGGGTCTAGATGAAGCTGTGTGAATTGTCCTGAGATTACTATTATTACTATAATAAATCTTTTCAAATCAGCCGATGTTTATTTTTGCCATAATACGTGCTGTTACCATGTGATAATATTACGTACGTACTTATTACTGTTTTAAATGTGATGCGTTCATTATTTATATTTCCTTTGAATTAAAGACAAATGTATATATATATATATATATATATACACTTGCTCACTTAGTTGATCCAGCCACGATCCGTAGATATTGCTGATTCCACTATCTCTCTCTTTCTACCACTATAACGGTAGCGTGGCGGAACGGCAACATGTTGCCGTTCCGCGTTCTACCACTATCTTTGTATTCTAATATGCGATGTTGCCGTTCCGACCGAGACCATGCGTTGTTGCCAAATGTATTCGTCGATAGTAGTAGATACCTATACTCGATATATATTTTTTCAACAATTTCCTGCAATAGTGAATCCGTATCGGCAAATTTTTTTAAATGCACAAAGATTTTTTGGCTCTGAATATATTTAAAAATCATTTACTTGTGTGTTGATGAATTTATATACTAGTACATGAAGTACCTAATACTTGTTTTGATTTGAATAGGTAGCGATATTATGAATTTATTATACGTAATCTAAAAATTTTGACGAAATAAAAGTAATTAGTTATCTGTTAACCTTGACTTCATGCTGGCACCAGTATTATCAGATGATGAACATACTCTTCGAAAACTTACAGCAGAAATATCGTGTTTGGACTCATTAGATAGGTCTCGATGAATAGAGTTTAAAAAACTTAAAATAAATGGTAAATTAGAAATAACGTATAAAAACACTCTACGTAAAATTCAACCACTTTAAAACTTAATAATAATAATTAGGAAAAGAGCAAAGCTATAAATGCACTGAAAGTAATTGATGCCTTCCACACAATATTTTCAGTATTAAACAACTCTGTTTGTTCAGTAAAAGTGTAAATACACTGGTAGGGGGGAAATGGGATTGTTAGTAATGTGGACTAATGATTACTAGCAATGTACCATATCAGGTTGACCTCCACGCGGTTCCCCCTGGAAACCATCGTGTTAAATTCCTGGTGAATTTGTCACGATGGGCTAACTGACCTGACCTCATGCTCATATTATCACCCTCCACTGGTGCCCCGCCAGCGTAAACCGTTAGCGCAGGCGGATGCACCATTCCATTATCATATACAAAAAAAAAAAATACACTGGTAACCTTTAATCCTATTTTATATGCAAACATTACATATGCAAACCCTAAAGTTTTATTTCAGAATGGCCAGTAGTTTTGAAGAAATAAGTCTTTGAAATTGTACGTGTAACTTATATATATACTAGTTTTTTCACCATAACAAGCAACACCAATATGGCCTAGTTAGTAGTGTACCTGTGTACCAATACCACATTACCACACAGACACTCCGAGTTCGAATTGCTTTCCGTCCGTTTACTTTTATTATTTATTTTTTTGTTTTTTTTTTAATTTAATATTTTAATAATCAATTTAATTTATACGACTATTAATTTATAATAAAAACGTAGTTAAGCATTAAATTAATTTTACTAGTTAGGAATGTACCTGTGTACCAACTTACCACACAGCCATCCCGGGTTCGATTCCTACCATTGGCTTTTTTTTGTTTTTTTTTTAAAGTAATATTTAAAATTAACTACTTTAATAATTAAATGAATTTAATCGATAAAAACGTCGTTAAGTATTAAATTAATTTTAAGTGATATTAACTATTATATTATGCATAAAAAATATTTTGTGATAATAAAGAAAATACATTTAAAATGTTTTACTTGTTGTGTTAATTATTTATAAGATCTTACTATAATTGTTAGCTGCTTTACAATTTAGAAAGTATAATAGGTAATGTAAATTAAAATTAATTTAATACTTAATAACGTTTTGTTCGATTAAATTCATTTCATTATTAAAATAGTTAATTTAAAATATAAAATAAAGACAAAACAAAAAAAAAATAACAAAAAAAAAATCGGTGGCGGGAATCGAACCTTGAGCGTCCGTTTGGTAAGTTGATTTGAAATTCAAAGGCTTATTTCTTCGAAATTACTGGTCATTTTGAAATAATACTTAGGGTTCGCATACCCTTATCGGATACTACTACTACACGGAGTCTCGTCAAAATAAAATATCTAGGTTAGGTATAATAAATTCATAATTAATAGACCGTTACGGTATCTGTATACATTCGGATCAAAACAAGTACTATGAAATAAGAACGAGTATATAAATTGATTAACACAAGTAATTGATTTTTGAAATATATTCAGAGCCAAAAAGTCTTCTTTCTTTATTTATGTACTTGTTAGATGCGACAGCGACTTTGTTTTATACTATACGATGTAATGATTGATATACCTAAAATAAATAAAATATGTGAGGTTTGGACAAAAACTCAAAAGGTAATTTATTCTGTAAAAGTATTTTGAAAATACTTATTTTGCTTTTAGTGTTATAGTACTTTAAGTGTTATATTTTAAGTAACAATGTTTAATTATAATTAATACTACTGCACCAACACTCCGATCGTGCAAAAAATTTTGCTGTTTCATTATTTTTTAGTTCAATTAGTGGTCTACCTAAGTCCTGGGCTAAGCGGGGGGAGAGTCATGACCCCCCATGACTCCCAAGACCTCCATGACGCTCCCCCCTAGATCCGCTGTTGCGTCTTCTCTTCATTCGCTCAGTACGTTGTTACAAAAGGAAAAATTCCCGTCCAAAAAATAACAAGTATTGAGTTTTGATCTGGAGTCACGTTACTCCAGACTGATTTCTATAAATATTTAGATTAGATAGACTATTATTCTTGAAATACTAGCTAGACATTATTAAGTTACTGTAGCCATAATGTAGTAGCCCAAACGTGCCAATGAGGAAGCCCTTGGCAAATGCTGCACCCTGATTGGCCCGTTTGAATTGGATCAAGAAGTGGTCGTATGCCAAAAAGGTGGATTTGTATAAAATCGTGTATAAATCGCTTAATTATTATTATTACTCGTCGTGACAGTTGTGGCTCAAAACGGATCAACATTTATATATGGTCAGCTGGCATTAGATCAACAAAAGGCCTCCGGATCAACAAGTGAAAATGGATCAACAAAAAACTACCTATACGGCACGTCTGAGCCACAAAGTGCCCAAGGGGATATTTATATATATATATATATATATTTATATATATATATATATTATATATATAAATATATGATCAGTCTATTACCCCTTTTATGGGGTAATAGACTGATCATTGCGGGTAAAAATCACCAAACAATGATAGTATAAATTATGAATGATGAGGATGGATAATTTTTAAGTGGAAGACAAAAATTTGCGGACTATTCTACAAGTGTTTAATATTACAGCTTTTTGGAGAAGGATGAAAGTAAGTGGGTGAAGTTGTAATATCTTGAGGCTAGTGTGTAGGGATGTTGGGATGACACCTGTGGACGAGATAATAATTGGGAGAGTGTTCATTGTTTCTACCTGCCATTGTATTTTTAGTTCTATTGCTACTTAGTAATTTTTTCTGTATGTGTTGATAGAAGATTATGTGTATTTGGTATTGCAATATCTATAAGGTAAACTATTTTATTATTATTATAAAACAAAGTCGCGGTCGCTGTCTGTCCGTCCCTTAAATCTTTAAAACTACGCAACGAATTCTACCTTAGGACTAGATGGCTCTGTGTGAATTGTTCTGAGATATATTATTACATTATATTACTTACAAGCTGAGATTTCTTTCCTATGGCGCGATGGGAGATCCCTTCACTAGATTCTCCGCCTCCTTCAGTGTCAGAATCGGGCTCCGAGGTTGACATGTAGCCCTGTTTAATAGAACATATAATATTATATATAAAATTCTCGTGTCACGATGTTAGTTACCATACTCCTCCGAAACGGTTTCACCGATTTTTATGAAGTTTTATACGCATATTCAGTAGGTCTGAGAATCGAATACTTTCTATTTTATATAACCCTAAGTGATAACGGTTGTCCACATATAACATATTTTTTGTTTTTTGGACAGTTGAAATACCTTGAGGTCCTAAGGGTACATAATAAACCAAACACTTGTGTTTTATTGGTTTATTGCTCATTCACAAATACAGGTACACTTAGGTCGATAGAACCGTACAAAATTCTCGAACATTCTACGATTGAATACAAAACCTGGCAACACCTCAACTGATTTTGCACAAAACGAAACGATGGCGCGTTTTACTTTTCTGACAGCGCCATCTAGTAACATTTGTGAGAATTAAACTTGCTTTATATTTCTAACAACAGTTTTCATTCATATTATTTAATAATGAGGCATTAAAAATACATACAACCCTAAATTTTCACCAATCACTATTTTTAATAGGGATTTTAATTTTATTTGATTTGAATTGAATTATTACATACATACAACCCTAAATTTTCACTATTTTTAATAGCGATTTTAATTTCATTTGATTTGAATTGAATAATTACATAAAAAACCATTAATGACAAAAAATCATACTTCGAATTTAAAGTGCGAGACAGGCGTCGAATTCTGTTCCTGTAATTTCGGAACAATCTTCTTTGGCACGTAACACTTGACGGGCGGTTTCACTTTCAATGTTTCTCGCATTTCCGATACTTCTGAAACGGTCAAGAATTGAAAAATACAATACAAACTTATTTACATATATCACGACTATTATACTAGACTAGCTTTTGCCCGCGGCTTCGCTCGCGTTAATTTATCCCCTTGAGGGGTGGAATTTATCAAAATCCTTTCTTAGGGGATGTCTACGTCACAGTAGCTTTAGGCATGTAAAGTCTCAGCCCGATCGGTTTAAAATTGACCAAGTTTCATACAAACTTTCATCCCCTATTTTATCCCCTTGGGGGTAGAATTAATCAAAATCCTTTCTTAGCGGATGCCTACGTCATAACATCTACCTGCATGCCAAATTTCAGCACGATCCGTCCAGTGGTTTGGGCTGTGCGTTGATAGATCACTATGTCAGTCACCTTTGAGTTATATATATTTAGATGGGGGGTAGCGAGTGGAATCGACTGGTTGCGAAACAGCAGGAACAAAATCGAAAATTAATCGTAGAGATAGTTATTCCTGCACCGGATATTAAGTTAGGAATCTAAATTTGTAACGGCTAAATTTAAACTCATCTTAGTATTTCAGATGCTCCAATTTACCAAAACGCCGTAGCCCTGGAAAACATCGCTGTTAATTCCTGATGAATCTGCCACAATTCACTCACTAACCTGACATGCTCATCCTATCATCCTCCACTGGTGCCCCGACTGTATATAGCATTAGCGGAGACGGGTGCACCATTCTATTATGGAAGACCTTCGGTTCTATAATATATAGAGTCCCAACCGTACCCGTACATGAACAGTAGCAAACACATCACCCAACTGCCTGTAACTTCATGTTATCCTGGTACTTTCACTGTATCACGCTCATTATACTATAAGAGCATGGCACAGGCCTGACCCCATTCTCATCTAGTCATACTCCATTGGTGCCCCGCCAGCACCTGTGTCTGTTTCTATATTTCTATCGGTCCAAGTGTTTTCCCTTCGGTTCTATATTATATAGACAGTGTCAACCGTCGCCTATATACATGAACCAAAGGCATCATCCAACTGCCTGTAACTTCATGTTATCCTGGTATTTTCACTGTATCACGCTCATTATGTTATAAGAGCATGGAGCAGACCTGACCCCATATAGTTCTCATATAGTCATCCTCCATTGGTGCCTCGTCAGCATCTACCTGTGTCTGTCTGTATATTTCTATCGGTCTAAGTGTTTTCCCTTCTGTTCTATAATATATAGACAGTGTCAACCGTCGCCTATATACATGAACCAAAGACGTCATCCAACTGCCTGTAACTTCATGTTATCCTGGTACTTTCACTGTATCACACTCATTATTTTATAAGATTATGTAACTGATCTGACCTCATTCTCATCTTATCATCCTCCATTGGTGCCCCGCCAGCACCTACCTGTGTCTGTTTCTGGTTCTATATTTCTATCAGTCTAGGTGTTTTGTATTTAAAAAAAATATCTATATATTTATATCAGTTGTCTAGTACCCATAAAACTCTGCTTATCTTGAGACTAGATGGCGCTGTATGAATTGTCCTGAAATATTATTATTAATACTAGTAGACCCGACCACATGTTGCTGTGGCTGAGGTTCTTGAATAAAATAATATTGCGACTATAAATTGAGATGTAAGCTATCCTATCTTTCAAGTTGGATCAAATTGCACACAATGTGCAAATCAAATTTGCAATCGATTCAATAGTTTAAGAGTCCATCGCGGACAAACAACGTGACACATAATTTTTATATATAAAGATATTTACTTTGACCAATATTTTCTTACCTTCCCCGGCTAGTTCAGAGCAGGGATGAGGTATCGCTACCCCCAATAGACGGGGGCGGCTGCCCGCAAAATGTATCAACTCTGAATCGAAGTGGTCAGTACATAGGAAACGTTTGTACAGAATCTCTTTTGGCAAAGCTGCGAATTCACAATTTCCTGAAAGAAAAAAACAATATAATTTTATATAATTTAAATTTAAATTAAGTGGCCAGTCTGTCGGTGTTTTATAGGATACACTTTGGCGAGTGCTCACAGGACCTGCATAATTTGATCTTGCCTTCTTTTTTTACCTCCCAACTACACGACGAACACTGAGACTTCATCAGTACGTCGTGGAAATTCCGCACAATCGCACTGAGCGGTTCGCATCGTCCTTCCTAATACGCACTGCCAAAGAGTGGAACACACTTCCAGCTTTTGTGTTCCCGGAGAAATACAACCCCGGATTCTTCAAGTCTATAGTGAATAGATATCTTCTGGGTAAGAGCGCTACATCCTAGGTCTTGCCATCATTTACCATCAGATGAGGTAATACCAAGCGCAAACCCATTATTAATAAAAAAAAATACTAATATCCTTATTAAAAAATAGAAGTTGGTGGTGGAAGGGTGAAAATTTAGGGTTTTTTTTTTGTTAGAAACCAACAGCGTTACAATTTAATTTACATTAACGTATGTTGTAATATTAAAGCTACTATAGGTTTCACTGAATTAACACAAAGTATGTAGTATTGGCTTGCGCTAAAACAAAATAACAAAATAGGAAATCAACGAATTAAACTGAATACATAAAAAAAATGAATTAAATAAATGATTGAATGAATGAGTGTGGAAGCTATACATCTCCATATAATATATACTACACACTGATGCCGGTAATTTGTCCATACAATGCAGTGTGCATATTATATAGATACTAGACTATCGCTTCGTAACTGTCACTTATATATTTAACAACGTGCTTTTTAAATGTACCTTTTGTGTGAAAAAACAAGTCCACGTCATGAAATTCGTTATTGTATACACGAGGAATTCTAGCGAGGGGTGAGTTAGTTGCATAGTTTGAGGCACGGCGAGGTACTGCCAAAAGCGGGGTGTGCCGTGTGCGGCGCGACGGTGTACGGTAAGACACGGCAGCTACCAGCTCCTCGCAGTCAAAACGACCCCGTACGATATAGGGTTGTGTGTAGGTTTATTAAAATGTTAGAAGTGAACAACCCTTATCGCTTAGGGGTATGAAAAATAGATCAGACCTACTGAATATGCATATATCATCATCATCACATAGTATAAAACAAAGTCGCTGTCGCTCTCTGTCCGTCCCTATGTATGCTTAAATCTTTAAAACTACGCAACGGATTCTGAAGCGGTTTTTTTTAAATAGATAGAATGATTCAAGAGGAAGTTTTATATATATAATACATGTACAGTGTACACCCGTGCGAAGCCGGGGCGAGTAGTAATTTCATAAAAATCTGACAATGAAATATCTTCCAAATTTCTTTTGTTTTAAATTCTTAATAATATTATGGAATGCAAGGATTATTGAGTATTGAGAATAGAATAGAAAATCATTTATTCAAATAAACTTACATTGAAGCACTTTTGAATAGTCATAACATTTTTTTAATCTACCGCTCATTCGGAAAGCTGTCTCATCACAAGAAGAACGAGTAAGTAACTTGCATGTTGCTCTTTTAAATAATTTTATTATTACTTTACGTTTTTAAGTTTAAGTGTGTGAATACAAACCACTAATTAGCACTAATTCAATTAAATACTCAAATAGAAAAAATATTGAATACATAACCAACTGGTTAAACAATTAGTAAGAGGAAATCAGTCATAGTGATTAGAGCAGACCAGTCCCTACGAGCAGCACCCGTTCACGAGTATGACGGATGAGCCAGCCATCACTGCACTCGACCATATTTTAGGGAGCCCAATGATCCGGCCCACCACGCCGCTACAAGTCTGGACATTTTAGTGAGCATGACTACTCAAAACACTAGACCACGTCAAAGCTACTTACAATTGCCATCTGATAGTTATAGTATTCATATGTCGTCACATAAGAATGCATGCGGCAATCAATACAAAAACCGCTACGCTTTCATATTTCTAAAATAATTAAATCAAGAAAGCAATGAGAAAATTAAATTATAACGTTGTATGCTAATAAACTAATTATTTACTTGATATGTTGTCTTCTATGAATTCGTCTATCCTGTAATAGGCTTTCTTACACAAAAATTGTTTAATATAAGATTTGAATTGCCTCTCTGTCAGATTTAGTGCACATTCTGGCAGTTTATTATTATTGAGTTAAACTTACCAGAGTTTAAAATCCACGCGTCTGCTCTATCTGGATCCTTCACGGGGAATCTGAACATGGAATGTGTTTCCGTTGTGTTCTTACATTTTTGGTATGAACATTTTGTATAATACACTTTCGGCGGAGCCGTTGTAGCTGTAACAAAGGTTTTTTTTTAATTTCAGGTATAATAATTACTAATTTTAAATCGCGGCTTCGCTCGCATTGAATCAAACATTTCTTTTTTAAATAAAAAGTATCCTATGTTCATTCTAATACGTCCAAGAGCATGTGTACAAAATTTCATGATGATCGGTTCGGTAGTTTTTGCGTACTTACGGGCCGAAACCAAGTAACTGCAGTGTGTGTGTGTGTGTATGTGTGAGTGTGTACGTGTACTTATTATTATGATACCGACCTGTCGGCATATCCGTCGGAGATTCTATAACAGCACCACAAACTTTCTGTTCGGCAGCCATCGTAGATTGCGCTGCAAAAATAACAATTCTTAATATTTGACGGTCTCTGTGGTCTAGCGGTTTATCACACCGCTTTAAAAGTCGCGGGTTCGATTCCTCGCACGATGCAAACATTTGTATTCATGAGTATGATTGTTTGTATCGGTCTGGGTGTATTCTATGTATATTATGTATGTATGGATCTATGTAAGTCGTAGTGTTACAGGTCTTAGCACCTAACAATACTCCAAAACCCTCGATAAATAAAAGGCAAGTTGTGGGTAACTGCTAATTTGTGATAAAGGGATTGAACAAAAGTAAATAAAACAATATTAGTGTTGAAAATTGTATTTATTTCACATATTTTTGTGTTCTTAAAATTATTTCATATATAGTACGACCTCCATGGATTAGCGGTTTAGCAAATCTTGACTTACAGGTCACAAGTTTGATTCTATGCATGACACAAACATTTGTATTCATGGCTATAATTGTTTGGATCAGTCTCGACTTTTTTTTTTATTTATTTAATTGAGGCTACTAATGGCCAATATTATAAATACCTTACAGACTAACATACATATAAATTATATTATAATTAATCTATAAGCTATCAAACAGTCTGTTTGTAATATTGAAATAACAGTTTTTTACTACATGCATATGAATATAAATATGGTACATACACCAAAATAACATTTTCTACAATTTTTGTCTGTCTGTTTGTTCTGGCTAATCTCTGAAATGACTGGACCAATTTTGACGGGACTTTTTTTGGCAGGTAGCTGATGTAATAAGAAGTAACTTAGGCTAGTTTTATTTTAGAAAAATAAAGTTAAATTCCATGTGGGTGAAGACGCGAGTGCATCTAGTATCTCTCTAAAAAAAATGGCTGAATTCCGTTATAATTAATTAAAAAAACAATACATGACACTATCTGTCTCTAAAAAAATTGTAATATTCTTTTATACCTGGCATATAAGTATATGGGTGACTTAAATCCTCGGAGATCTTATATGAATTTGGTACAGCATTTTTCCGGAGCCTCTTCCTATGTCCACTTTCATTTGATATATATTTCTTGTCAAAATGGTCTATACACAAATATCTTGACCGCAAACGTTTCTCTGTCATATGGCTGATAGTCATATTACCTAAAGCCATAAAAATTTGCAAACTCAATAAAAAAAAATTTGTAGTAATAAAAAAAAAGTTGTAAGACAAATGTTCTAATTTTCATGGATTTGTTATCTATTTATTAAATGAAGTAACTACTAATTTATTTAATTACTGTTGTAAATTGTTTCTATTTTAAACAAAATATAAAAAATATTTGAACTACTAAACCTGAATATCATTGTTTAAAAGAACAACAGGAATATTTTTTGTTAATTCTTCTTGTACTGATTCTGAAATGGCGGCAAATTAAAAAAAAATAGTACTATTTAAAACTGTACAATATTAAGTTTTAATATTTAAATAAGATTATTAATATATGAATTAAAAATTATTACGTGAACATCCTTCTATATTTACATAAATTAATATATATTAAAATTAATATGGACATATAAATATAAACTAATAAATACATCGTTTCAACAGAATTTATTGTTTTTGTTGTTTATAATAATCGCCAAATGCATAAGCAAAGGTTTCTACACTACACAGTCAATTAAACTAAAATAGAATGTAATAAAAGTTACAAGTTTCTCGAATTAAAAAAAATATATTACCGGGCTTATTTTTTAATAAATTCTATTGGAACTGTGTTCTAAATTTAAACTATAAATAAATGTAATCGCTTACCGCAATTATTCAGCCACACTTTCAAGCGATTCGCCTGATTCCAAGGAAAACGAAACATTGATTTCGTGTCCGATGTATTTGAGCACATAAAATAGGAACAAGAGTGTGAAGGCATTATGTTTTTCACAAATATCACGCGTAAAACTTAATTTGAGTTGCAAAACAACTCGAAAAACGTACTGAAAAATGTATAATCACTGACAGCATCCACAGATAATAACCACAACAAAAACCAATGTTGCCAGGTAACCGTTTCGTTTTCGCCCAAAATATTGCTTAAATATCTCCGAAATTCCAAAGTCGATTGTTTCACAAAAATGAATGTAAAACTTATTTTTTTACCACGTCACTTTTGTTTCGTTTTTAGGTCATAAAATATAAATACTATAGTTCTATTTCGAAGCAAACATGACTGCTCCGTCATGATTGCTTAGGTTCATTTATTAGTCCTAAAAAGCAAAGGCCTTTCTGGTGTAACAGTTTAGCACACTGCTTTATTTCTGGTTGTAGCTGGTTCTATTCCTTCAAATTCCAAATTTATCGTAAATTTGTATTCATGTCTAATTGTTTGTTTGTTTGTAATACTTTATTGTACAATAATATTATAAATAAAAGGACACAATTGACTTAGAAAAAAAAAAACATGCGTACAATGGCGGACTTATCCCAGAAGAGGGATTTCTTCCAGTCAACCTTTGAGTTACTGAGAGGAACTTGAGTTATTGTTTGTATCGGTCTAGGTGTTTTATGTATTTATTTAAAAAAAAAGTATCCATGTATTTATATTACTTGTCTAGTACCCTTCCCGATCCCGATCGATCCCCCGTCCAATTCAAACGGGGATCGATATTACGACGGACTGAGCCGAGGTTCGAACACCTAGGTGCCCTCAGACTAGTCATATCCGTCAGGCGGGAGTTGGCCTTCAGCCGCTCCATAAGTCCTTCCTTTGGTTTGGAGTGCCATCTCCACTTCGCCCCCTATCGTCCGGTGAAGCTGTAAAGGCCAGCTGCGGCCAACAGCATTAGAGTAGTCCGAAAAAAATCCTATAACACAAGCTCTGCATAGATTTGGACTAGATGATGCTGTGTGAATTGTCCAGGTGGCCAAAATTACCATATAATTATTATTACTAGTTTTCTCGAGTGGTTGAAATTCGACCATAATTAATTTAACATTCATTAAGAGTACAGAGAAATAATATTAAAGACAATATTAACCCATTCTCAATTTAATCACAAAAAAAAAGGGTACATATGCATGTGTGTCAAATACATGGTAATATTTTTATATTGATTTGAAGTATTTTTTAAACATAATATTAATGTTTTTTTTATGAATGATAAAAGAATCGAGGATGCTCTCGCCTGCGCTGGCAGAGCATCAGTGGAGGATGACAAAATGAGCATGATGTAAATTCAGGTACCCCATCTTGACACACTAACCTGTCTGCCTGTTGCCTGCGCTAACGGTTTACGCTGGCAGGGCACCAGTGGAGAATGATAAGATGAGCATGAGGTTAGCCCATCGTGACAAGCTCACCAGGAATTTGTCACGATGGTTTCCAGGGGGAGCCGCGTGGAGGTCGACCTGACATGGTACATTGCTAGCAATGGGGTCAACAGTCCACATTACTAACAATCCACTTTCCTCTTTAAAGAAATATTAGCATTCTGCACTCCTTCTCTATATAAACTATAAGTGTAAGTAATTACTCTTCTGTCTGGGGGGAAAGGGGATTATTAGTAACGTGGATTGATAATATATACAGTACATATACCAAAATAACATTTTTTATTATTTTTGTCTGTCTGTCTGTCGATTTGTTTGTTCCGGCTAATCTCTGAAATGGCTATATCGATTTTGACGGGACTTTTTTTGGGAGGTATCTGATATAATAAGGAGTAACTTAGGCTACTTTTACTTTAGAAAAATAAAGTTAAATTCCACGCAGACGAAGTCGCGGGTCCAGATAGTATTAATATAATGACAATAAACAATAAGCAAGACCCACACAGTAAACTATTACTTGAAATACAAGGTGAAGGCCTCGGTGGCCTAGCGGTTTGGCACATCGCCTTACTTTCGATGGTTGCGGGTTCGATTCCTCTCACGGCGCAAACATTTGTATTCATGAATATGATTGTTTGTATCAGTCTGGGTGTTTACTATATATGGTATGTGTGTATTTACGAAAATATCTATGTGTTTATCAGCTGTCTAGTACCCATAACACAAGCTTTAGCTAGCTTAACTTGGGACTAGATGGCGCTGTGTGAATTGTCCTGAGATTATTACCTACATGGATAAAGATATTTTGATTAGACCTTCATAAGCAGCTAAAACATATTACATCCACAAATGTTTTTAATTTGACTGGATGGTAGGGAAAAAATTAAAATTATAATGTAAAATATTTGACGTTCATTAGCGACTAAAGTGGCTAACATGAATAAATAAATAAATGATTTTTTAATTTGATACTTACAAGATTCTACATTAGGTTCATCAGGTTGTACGTCCTGACATTCAATGGGCACTGCTCGTCCAATAAGTCTATTCCGTTCAGCTCCCTTATGTATACTATCCTCTGTGAAATGTCGACTGCAAATATATCTTGTTTTCAATTGAGAAATTGTACAGGACAACAGTTTTTTGTTTCCTAAAAACAATGACACAAGTTTTCAATCACCATTTAAGAGAAGAACTCAACCAATTATTTAATTTAATATTTTGACTCAGATAATTCCTGATAGTTTGGTGGTCTGTATTAAAATATAATATCTTAACATAATATAAAATGAATTTGCTTCTGCTGACTCTTTGCTTAGATCTATTAAACTATGCAAGGGATTTTAATGCCGATTTTGGCAATTGATAGTGACTTAAGAGAAAAGTTTATATGTATAATAAATGACCACCCATGCAAAGCTGGGGCGGGTAGTTAGTATATTATATAAGCTTTTATTGAAAAAATACAAATTTTTTCCTTTATATTATAAAATCCTTTGTACACATTTACACACGCTAGCTATGTTTGGTTTGTATTCACAGAGTCTTAAAAATGCAAAGTTCAACAAGATTTGTTTAAAAAAGGAACAAGCTAGTCTCTCGTTGATTCATATAGTGAAAATGATTTCCAAACGAGAGACAGATTAAAAAATATGTAACAATTAAATAAAGAACATTGCTATTCTATAGAAGCTCGACTGATATTCGAATTTAAATGAAAACAAACATTTTATTACAATACTAAAAAAAAATTAAAAAATAAAACTCAGGATCCCAGCAATATAGTAATTACAGATTATAAAAAAAATTATTGAAACTGACCTGAATTCTTTATCCAAGTTTGAAGCCGTTCTTCATCATATATTGGAAACCTAAACATTGAATCAGTACTATTGTATTTACAGTTGTAGTAAGAACATTTTTGCCTTGATTTCACGGGGCAATATGTAGAAGAGCAATCATAGCAAAAACGATGATTTTTCAAAGACATTTTAATATTTTTTTAATTAAATTGGATCAACAAGCTAAAATTGAACAATTCCTAGATTCCTCACAGAAAAGAGTAGAGGAGTAATTTGATTTCTTTTTTTGCTTGAAGTTTTATACCGTTTTAATAGAAGAAGCGAAACAGAAACAAACAAGTATAATATATTGTCTATACAAAAATGTACATATATGAGTTTTATTAAAATCAATAAACATTTCGAAGTAATATTTGTTTGCAGCTGAATTGAATGAATTGAACGAAGTTCATGGAAGGAAGAGAAATCATAGTTTCATTCTTTGTTATGTCAATTGCAATGTCATTCACTGTTTTTTTTTTATTTATTCTTTAATGCACAAAAAAAACTTGTACAAAGGCGAGCTTAATGCCATATGGCATTCTCCACCAGCTAACCTTTAGGTATACAGAAAGCGTTGTGGGGCAGTTATGTCAAAAACAAACACAAAGTTACTAATAAATATTATATAATACATATGAAATGCAAATAAATATACACAAATAATAATATATATAGTATACCTGATATTATATAATGTCATACATTAATGTTAAATATAGATAAATATAATACTAATACAATGCAATACAGTTATAACTCATTTTTCAGAAGAAAATTAAATAATTTATTTTTAAAAATGGGCTTACTCGATGCTTTTCGCAGGTTTACAGGTATTCTATTCCAGAGGCTAATAGCAGTGACGGTAAACGAATTAGACATAAAACCTGAGTGATGGGAAGGGGTTGAGAGAAGGAGATTATGGGATGAACGAAGAATACGGGAATGAGAGTCACTGATGAACTGAAATCTATTTTTCAGATAAGAGGGAGACGAAGGATCAAAAAGTATGGAGAAGAGAGTACACAGGATACGCAAATCTCTGCGATTTCGGATAGACAACCATTTAAGTTGAGAACGAAAATTAGATACGTGGTCAAACTTCCGCAGCCCAAAGATGAACCGAATACAGTTGTTGAGCAGACGGTCCAACTTATTCAGCTGATCCTGAGAGAGGTTAGAAAGACACACGTCAGCATAGTCAAAGTGCGGAAGTATTAGAGATTGGACGAGGAGCAATTTAGTGGAAGAAGGAAGGAAGAATTTAAAGCGATATAGTATACGGAGAATACCTGTAACCCTGCGACACACCTCAGCCACTTGCAAGTGCCATCGAAGAGTCGGATCGATTAATAGGCCTAGGTTTTTAACACTGGAACAAAAAGGGATAATATTATTCTCAAAACGTACGTTTAGATTTGCCGAGTTGAATTTTGAGAGAAGTTTTGAGCTCCCTATAATTATTGCCTGGCATTTATTCGGATTTACCGATATACCAAAACGATGGGACCAGCGGGCTATGTTTTCGAGGTCTACATTCAGACGACCCAAGGCTGCAGTGACGTCGTTAACCTCCGATTGAACATACAGTTGTAAATCGTCTGCATATAGATGGTAAGAGCAACTAAGATGGGAGACAACAAGATTAATAAATAGAGAAAACAGAAGAGGAGAGAGAATACCGCCTTGTGGAACACCTGCGACCAAATCACTCCAGTTAGACAAGTCCTGCCCAGAGCGAACAGCCTGCTGGCGACCACGAAGATAAGAAGAGAACCAATGCAGTGCTGACGGCGAGAAGTTGAGGTGAGAAAGTAACATCAAGATCAGGTCATGATCGACACAGTTGAAGGCATTGGAGAAATCTATTAGAACTAAAATAGTAATTCGAGTGTTCTCCATGCCCTCACGGATGTCTTCAGTTACATTAAGAAGTGCGGTGGTGGTACTATGACCAGCCCGAAAACCAGACTGATAGGGTGTTAAAAAGTTACAATTGGCTATAAAGTACGAAACTTGTTTATTTACAATCATTTCAAGAACTTTCGAGAGAAAAGGCAAGATAGAGATGGGTCTGAAATGATTGGGAAGAGTTGGATTGGAGATTTTGGCAAGAGGAATAACGAAAGCTTTTAGCCATAATTTAGGGTAATTACCAGAAGATAAAGAGAAATTGAAAATGTGAGTAAGAATTGGAAGAAATGTATCTAATAAGAAAAGGATCATAGTCTTACTCACTTCGTCATAACCCTTAGCGTTTGATTTGATGGAAAGAACTGCTTTGCGTATGTCGTCGTCAGTTACTGGAGAAAACTTGAAAAGGTCAGATGAAAGTGCAGGCATGGATGAAATTTCCTGTAAGGTGGATTGTTTAGTGATTGCGTCGAGTGGTGTCACAGAGGAAAAGTGCTTGTTGAGATCATTTATTGGGACGTTAGAGTTGGAGATGATTGGGGACTTTCCAAAACCAAGAGCATTAAGGAATTTCCAAACATCTTGTACGACTTGTTTTTTTGCATCCTTTTTAACTGTTCAGGGTGCAAGTTCCAAACTCAGCGGATGCTAATTTCTGAAAAGATGGATTGATTTGTTAGCGACGTTAATAATTATTAGTTATCGTCAGTAATCCTCCACAACCTCTGGAAAGCGTCGTGGTTAATTCCTAGTGAATCCGTCTCGGTAGGGTAACTAACATTATGAGGATCATCTTCCGTTGGAGCTCTGCCAGCGTACATCATTAACACAGGCAGGTGTTAACGGTGTACGCTAACATTATTGAAATAAAATACTATTAAGATCTATCACTTCCTACAACTACATCCAGCACTTCGTACAACAAACTTTGAGTATTATACTTTTAGCGAATACGTTTTTTTTCTTTCGAAGTACTCTAATGCTGTTGGCAGCAGCTGGCCTTTACAGCTTCACCGGACGTTAGGGGGCGAGTGCAGATGGCACTCCATACCCGCGGAAGGTCTTATGGAGCGGCTGAAGGCCAACTCCATTTTTTTTTCCTTTTTATGGCTTGGCACGTTGGTGCATTTGCCAAAGACAAAATTAAGAAAACTTGTTTACTTTTTATGAATTAAATAAATTTAGGATAGGAGAATTTGGTAGTTAATAAAAAAAAAGTAATAGATAATTCGCCACATACTCGGTAATAACAGATGCAATAATATCATATCTTACTACTCTAGCGCCATCTTGGACAGCCTGTCGTTTAAAAATAAGAGGTGGATATTCCACTCATTCCACTCACCATATACCAACCTTATGATCATTCTCGTACAAGTGATTTTTAGACGAGGATTTTTTCATTGTCGTACAAGTTTGTATGAAAGTTTTGTTAAAATACATATTTTGACTTTCGTAGGACAAAATTAGGCAGATTGTTAATGTACTTGTCCAATTTGAAAACATGCCCGTAAACCTTGCACTATAAAGCAATTCACGATATTATTTTAAATACGCATCTGAGCGCGTTATTTCAAATCTTAAACCATGTATGTCATTCATAAGAAAACAATGGCCGAGTACGCGTCTCCAAAACTATCAAACTCTTCGCTCTCCGTGCGGCTGTAGATGCCCTCGCTCCGCAGTCACCAGCCTTTCGCTCACAACGCCATATTCGTTAGAAAGAGAATGGCTGGTGTACTCTTACATTCTTACATACTTAACTAGCTACTCGCCCCGTCTTGGAACGGGTGTACATGTATTATACATATAAACCTTCCTCAGGAATCACTCTATCTATTTAAAAAAAACACTTCAAAATCCGTTGGTAGTTTTAAAGATTTATACATAGGTACATAGGGACGGACAAACGGCAACAGTGGCTTTGTTTTATACTATGTAATAACGCATATCGCGTCGTGAGAGAAAGAGAAAGTTTGGTGTATATATAATCTATCCCTTTCACGCGACGGTAACACTTTCTCGTGACTCCGAAAACACAACTCACTCCGTCCATACAGAAGTTTCACTTCATAAAAAATCTGCTCCATCCTAGAACATTGGGTTACAAGTAAATGAAACTAATATTTCAAATATAACAAGCTTTAATGGCTTTAAAACTAGTGTATAACAATTATATAGTAACAATAATATCAATTTTAAAAAAGAATATAAACAAAATCATATTATTAAATTATATATTAAATTAATTACTTAACAATAAAAGACCAATTTTTATGTATGTAACATTATATAATTTTTACATATAATAAAATCTTAAAATCAATGCTATAAACCCGAGTATGGTTAGGTTTTAAGTAAAAACGAGAAGAGAGAGCTCTCAAAGAAAAAAAATAAAGCATAATAATAATAATAACACACACAATCACGCATACATACACGCGCACACACACATACACACACTCTGCATTTACTTGGTTTCGGCCCGTAAGTGTGGAGAAAACCAGCAAAAGCTGAAAAAATAAAGAATAATAATAATAATCTTTACTTGTCTCAAACAAAAACTAATATAATTGTTGCCCATACAATAATATAATTTAAAACTAATGAAGGAGACAAAACGGTCTATAACTCAGTGAGGGCAGTGAGTCCACTCTCTCTGCTATTCTGTTATAGCCTTTATCAGTAAAATTCAAATTCGGAGTATCTTTATTCATGTAAGTCTATTACAGATGCTTATGACCAATCCAATGAACGATTTATTTATTTATTTATTTAAACTTATTGACCATGTGACGTCTTGACGTAGAAGCAAAAAAACAATGAAGAAGGTAGATCAAAAATAGAAAAAAGGAAATGTGAATGATTGTGTCTGTTGAATAGAATATAATGTATGTGATACAAAAAAAACTTGACGTTCATAAGCGGCTGAAATGTCCTACATGAATCAATGATTTTTTATTACGTGCAGGTTGGAAATCGTGGGGGTGGTATCGGTAAAATCATTAAAAAATATCACGCGCAGGTGGGGTGTTCTTTGTTTAGTCAAGGTCACTATTTCACGCGGACGATGTCGCGTGTGCAGCTAGTTCACGATAGGTTATATATACCTGTTAAAACCCATTTTAACTATGTATCGATACTACTAGTAAATGTATGATACGCAGTTAAGAGAAATGTAATGTTTATTTATAAATATTACGTATCACGTTGTTTGTCCGCGATAGACTCTTAAACTTCTGAACCGATTGCAAATTTGATTTGCACATTGTGTGCAATTTGATCCAATTTGAAAGATAGGATAGCTTACATCTCAATTTATAGTCGCAATATTATTTTATTCTAGAACCTTAGCCACAGCAACGTGTGGCCAGGTCTGCTATTCATTACATTGTATAAAACAAAGTCGCTGTCGCTGTCTGTCCGTCCCTATATATGCTTAAATCTTTGAAACTATGCAATGTAAAATACATCACTTTTTTTTTAATAGATAGAGTGATTCAAGAGGAAGGTTTATATGTATAATACATGTACATACGGACATGTGCAGCCGGGGCGAGTAATTGGTTATTGATATAATGTTATATGCATAATTTAAAAAATATATTATATTTCTGCACTCCTTCTCTATATAAACTATGTGTGTGAAATTTCATAGCCCTTATTCACACAATTTTTGTAATAAGGAGTACAAAGTTTTTGCTTCATGTATTAATATATATTGTAGATACTGTATTCAGGCAATTTGTAGTTTTTTTAATAGATGATAATGAAATGTTGCCTCTCCATGCACTAATGATATATGCTGGCGGAACACCAATGGAGGATGATACAATGACTGTGAGGTCAGAGCAGTTAGCTCAATATGACAAATTAATAATACCAAATAACTGATACAAATACATAGATTTTTTTTCTTAAATACATACATAAAAAACTCCCAGACAGATACAAACAATCATAGTCATAAATACAAATGTTTGTACCATGCAAGGGATCGAACCTGCAACCATTGGAAGGCTGTGTGCTAAACCATTACATGTACATGTACACACGGGCGAAGCCGGGGCCAGTAGCTAGTAGTTTATAAAAGGAATAACTGTAACTACGTTAAAATATATATAGTTATATACCATGTATTGTAATTTTAAGTATTTTGCATTCAGATGTACTGTACCTAGTCGGTCTTTGGTCTTCTCTGTCCATATGCAGAGTATGGTTCGTTTGGTACGTTCCGATGACTCCACCAGTCCTTGCTGAACAACGCTGCCACAACTGCCACTATCACTGCAGTCACTGTCACCACAGTTTTGACCACAGTTGATGGCATTTTGTTTATGCGAAGACAACCTGAAATGTTAGGGGAAACGAAATTGTTAGTAAGGTGAACTACTAACTTAATTGTTAGCAATGTACCGTGTCAGGTCGACCTCCACGCGGTTCCCCCTGGAAACCATCGTCATAAGTTCTTGGTGAATTTGTCACGATGGGCTAACTGGCCTGACCTCATGCTCGTCTTATCATCTTCCACTGGTGCCCCAGTGTAAACCGTTAGCGCAGGCGGGTGCACCTTTCCTTTATCATCCATAAAAAAACCTGAAATTTTAGGGGAAACGAGATTGTTAATAATGTGGACTAATAACTTAATGGCTAGCAATGTACCATATCAGGTTGACCTTCACAGGGTTCCTCTGAAAAACTGTATAAATTCTTGGTGAATTTGTCACGATGGGTTAAGTGACTTGACTTCATGCTCATCTTATCATCTTCCACTGGTACCCACGCTTAGCCGAGCCCTATATTTTGAACTTGTGCTAACAAGACCCTCTTGTACTGTCAAAAATTAGTAAAAAAAAAAGTAATACTAGCTGACCCAGCAAATATTGTTTTGTCATATATATTAGTGTAATTGAATAACAGGTGGTAGAAGGGTGAATATTTAAGATCCTATGTATTTTTAATGCCCAATCATAAAACATTTTATCAACAAAAACAATATAGTTTTGGGGTCACATTATGACTTAGTGGTTTGAAAAACAGTTGATGTCCTATTCTTAGTCATACTGAATATAAACACAAAATTTTATAACAATCGGTCAAGCCGTTATGGAGAAGTTTTGTTACAAACACTGTGATAGGAGACATATCTTAGAACAGTGATTCCCAAAGTGGTCTATATCAACCCCCAGGGGTCTATGACAAACTGCAAGGGGTCTACGACAGTGGTCATCTTGTTTTTACTTTATGTTTTTAACACTAAACTTTACTACAGTTAGAAATTTACAAAAAATCAATACCAGGTAAGAATGGGGTGTCTACCCAAAACCGGAAAATATGGCAAGGGGTCTACGACACAAAAAAGTTTGGGAACCTCTGTATTACAAGATTATAAAGACATAAGTTTGGGGTAACCCCCAAAATGGCAACCTTAGCCTACATAGTTATTTTTAAACTTTCCTGTATCCTAATAATAAATATATAGCCTATATATAAATAGCATCACTATTATGTGTTGCCAGTGCTATTCCTGCATTGCCATTCCAAAGAACTAATATATTATAAGATAGATGACAATAATATCTAGCAAGAATAAGTTTATTTGCGGGCAACATTATAATTTTTCTTACTACTTTCTTGAAATATGATAGTGTAGCGGTTTTGTATTTTTTTTAATATGGTATGATAAAGGAAAGGTGCACTTACCTGCGCTAACGGTTTACGCTGGGCACCAGTGGAGGACGATAAGATGAACATGAGGTCAGGTCAGTTAGCCCATCGTGACAAATTCACCGGGAATTTATCACGATGGTTTCCAGGGGAACCGCGTGGAGGTCAACCTGACATGGTGCATTGCTAGCAGTAAGATCACCAGTCCACATTACTAACAATCCCCTTTCGTCCCCCCAGCGGTTTTGTATTTTTTTTTTATAGATGATAATGGAATGGTGCACCCGCCTGCGCTAATGGTTTACGCTGGCGGGACATCAGTGGAGGATGATAAGATGAGCATGAGGTCAGGTTAGTTAGCCCATCATGACAAATTCAAGAATTTATCACGATGGTTTCCAGGGGGAACCGCGTGGAGGTCAACCTGACATGGTACATTACTAGCAATAAGATCATTGATTGCATGCATCCTTATGTAAAGTGCGAAAACCTACAACTACCATATGGTAATTTTAAGTAGCTATGATGTGGTCGAGTGGACTGAGTAGTCATGCTCACTAAAATGTTCAAGCATGTGGCGGCGTGGTGGGTCGGGTCATGGAGGTCCCTAAAATATTGTTGAGAACAGTGATGGCTGGCTCATCATGGCCGTCATACTAGTGAACTGGTCTGCTCTAATCAGTACAACTAATTTAGTCTTATTGTATATTTATATTTGACCCTAATAAATTAATGCTAGTTGGTAGTTTGTATTCACACATTTCCTCTTAAACATGTAAAATCACAATGATTATTTAAAATTGCAACACACAAGTTTCTTGCTCATTCTTCTTGTGATGAGACAATTTTCCGAATGAGTGGTAGATTAAAAAAATTACGATTACTATTCCAAAGTGTTTAAATTGAATTTATTTTAATAAAGGATTTTCTATTCTATTCTATTCTATTACAACTCTGTACCCTGTACTTTCACTCTCAAAACTGCCAAAAACATATGTATTAACATTTAAACTGAGACAATTATGTACTTTTTATGGCAACACTAGACTATTACTAGTCTATGGTTGGGTAATAACTTGTTTACTTTTTAAAAATTTTTGGTAATGGAGTACAGTACATTCTTTGCACATGTATACACAAATTATGAATAAATTAAGTAGCTACACCTCATCACATTACAAATAATGCTTCAGAAGTGAAATCATCTCCATTACACTATAGAATAAATATAAAATAAACACTTGAAAAATCTGTTTTTTTTTCTGTTCCGTATTTTGACAAATAATTCACAAACAGTTTGCGGTAGTTATTACCTCACCACTGTAGCGTTATATATGATGTGATGAGGTGGCACTACATAATATATTGTCTATTGTAGTATATAGGTAGTGAGTATACAGGTGTAATAATTGTACTATTTATTGTCCATTAGCAGCTTTGTATGGTAGTGTGCTACATGACTTATTAATAACGCGTACATTCGACGCGGAGGCGGGACGTAGACTGATTTTACATTTAACTTAAATCTATGTTAGTGTAGACGTAAACTAATGGAAGGGTTTCAAGTGTTGACAGAAATATTACAAGGGTAATCTTTTTATTCTGTTGTGCCTACGCACAACAGAAAAAAAAGATTGTATAATTGTTTGGTAACAATTATATAACCTTTACTTTTTACATATCCCAATAATAAGAAAGATCAAATAGCATAAATATATAAGAGATAGTAATAGATAGACATAATGGTGTGATGGTTGTCGTCAGGCCCCTCTTCCCAACTGGGCACATGGGCATGTGCCCAGGGCCCCATAGTGATTTGGGTAGTCCCTACTCCCTTACTACCAAAACAATAACTGATAACTACTCTACTATCACCTGAAAATCAGTCATAACAAATGCTTACCGACTATGGTCAAATTGTCTGTTTTTGTTACTCTTTTTATAAATCTCTAGCAAGAACTTAAACCCCTCATCACATAACAACTTATTAAAAATATTTTTGCCTGGTTTGTTTTGAAGTTCATTCTTCTTCTTCTTCTTTCAGCATATATTTGTCCACTGCTGGACGTATGCATCATGGCATCCCCATATACATCCAAAACAGGCATGTTCAATAACGACTTTGTCTAATCTAACAAAATTGTGCTTTATTACCATAATCATAGGTCTATATAACTATAATGTAGGTATAAGTAAAGTCGTCGTAAATATGCTTTGCCATTCCGAAGGTCTAAGGTATCACGCATGGATATCGTTTTATTTTACGACCCTTAAAGCAAATCACATCGCACAAAGCAACGTTCGAAATAGATACTAAGGGGCGCAAAATCTTGATAACGTAGAAGCATATGAAATGTAAAAATTAACGATAATTTACCAATTAATAAAGAGCTTGAAACGTTGATACCAGGAGGTATATTACACGTAGCTTTTAAACGATCCCGTATCTGCCTTGTTGAATAAATATTGAATAGAAAAATGAGAAACAAAAATTAATACAACAATACCAAAAATGTACACAAACAGTACTGAGCACAGAGCATTTAGGATATTGGATATTGGTGTTCTGTGGCACAGAGCAATTAATAATATTACGTAGTAGTAGTGGTATATTTTATCCACAAGTGGATAGGCAAAGGTACGAGACCATACAGCCTAATCTTCAGTAGTATTTCCATGAAATTCAAAAATTCTTCAAGGCGATATCGCCAAATCTTTTCATTAATTATAAGTTTGTGTTAAGTCCTTGTATGTGTCCATAATTGAAATGTTTATAATTCTCCGATAGTTGCTATGATAAAGTCGTAAATTGGTTTAAAAGTTGCAGTGCATTTGAATAGTTCTTGAAGCGATGGCGGAATAATCTTATATAGTTCTTGAAGCTTGGCAATGAGCAAAATTCTGTTTAAATTGAAGGCCGGGCAATAAAAAAATATATGTTCTAATGTTTGATTTTCGTTACTAGAGCATAAAAGACAAATCGGAGAATTAATGATCTTCATTCGGTGTAAATGTGCATTGAATTTACAATGTCCAAATCGCAGTCGACAAATTTGAGTATAAAATCTTCTCTCTAAAAATATTTTTCCCTGAATAAACCAGGGTTTTTTGCCAATAGTACTGTTTATACCTGCATACCAAGTACCTTTATCTTTGGTAGTACGTTTCCAATCTTCTTCCCAATTTTTTAATAAGTTTTTCCTAATTTCAGGAATTAAATCTTGCCAAGGTAAGAAAATTTTTTTAGACTCGCCACCCAATCTATTGACAGTTTTGACAAGGTAATCTACTTCTTCATTACCTGTCACACCTTTGTGTGCCGGTATCCAAGTAAATATAATTTCTTTTCCTTTATTAAACAAAACAGTCCATAGTTCTTTAATTTGGTAAATAATATAGCTTGTTTTGGCACTAAATGAATGATTTTGCAACGCTGATAAGACTGACATGTTGTCACTAATAATAAGCCACTGATTATGAGGTTTAGCGCATACGTCTTCGTTAATAGCTTGCAAAATAGCCAAGGCTTCGGCAGTGAATATACTAGTAATGGTAGGTAATCGAAATCCATAACCAGTTTTTATGTCGCTATGGTAAAAACCTAATGACACACCTTGGTCATTTTTTGAACCATCTGTATATATTGTGTTAAATGAAGGCCATTGAGAAAGATGTTCATAAACTTCTTCTTTACATTTTAAGTTCTTATCTGTTTCTATTGTCATATTGCAAAATTTACTGTCATATGTCCCTTCATAACATGCCCACTTATTATTTGCCACATGAATATTATTTTGCTCAATTATAGTTTTCATTGCAGAGAAATCAAGGAGAATGTATGGGAATTTTATGGAATTAGAAGAAGAAGCAATGGTTTGAGAATCTGTAATTTTTTGTAACAGTGAATTATTGGAAAAGCTATGTAATTTTAGCAAGAATTTAAATTTAAGAAATTTGAATCTTAATGACAGAGATGGAATGTTGCATTCTACTTGGAGAGAGACTATTGGAGTTGTTTTCATTGCACCAGTGATTAGATGCAAATTATTATTTTGGATTGTCTCTAATTTTTTTAAGAGTGTGGGGTTGGAAGCAAAGCAAAGGTAACTGTACTCAAAGTGAGAACGGACTATGGATTTGTACAACATAAGTAAAATCTTTGGATCAGCCCCCAAAATGTTTTGGAAAGGCATTTTAAAATATTAAAAGCTCTAGAAGCTTTATCAGATATATTACAGACATGCTTATTCCAAGATAGATTTTTTGTTAATGTTACACCAAGAAACTTGGCTTCAGCTACTACAGGCAGTATGCTACCATTATAATTAATATTAGCATGCAAAGTTCTTGATCTACTGAATATAACAACTTTAGTTTTATCTAAACTAATATCTAATTGTAAATATTTAAAATAAACATTTAATTTCTTTAGAGCTTTGTTTATTTTATTTTCTACTATATGAATATTTGAGCCTGAACAGTAAACTGCTAAATCATCAGCAAACTGTAAATTGCTGACTTCATTACCAAGAATAATATTAATTTTATGAATATACAAAATAAATAACAGTGGACTCAATATTCCCCCTTGACATACACCTATATATGAAGATTGTGGACCATATAAATTATTATTGTACTTAACATAGACTTGTCTATTATGTAGGAAATTAAAAATCCAGTTAATCAACTTATCTGGTATTCCTAGTGTTTGCAGTTCATTAGTTAGAATATGATGATTAACATTGTTAAAAGCACCAACTATATCAAAGAAGACAGAAACCAGTATATTGTTACTAGAAAAAGCACGATGAATATCTAGGTTTAAATGATTTAAGCTCTCTGTAGCTGAAAAACCTTTCCTGAAGCCAAACTGATTTGAAGGTAATAACTTATTTGATTCTATATAAAATTCTAACCTTTGTTTAATCATTTGTTCGAAAAGTTTACTCATACAAGATGTTAATGCTATAGGTCTATAGGAGTCTGAATGATTTATCAATTTGCCTGGTTTAAGAATAGGAATCAGACAATCTGTTTTCCAATCGGGTGGTATTTCTGAAGTATTCCAAAGAGAGTTAAGTAACATTAACAAAGTGTTTTTAGAATTGGGTGATAATGTCTTTAACATTTTGTAAGAGATATTCTCAAGACCGAAAGCTGTGTTACGTCTGCTGTTTAAGGCACTGTAAAATTCTGTTATAGTAAAAGGGTTTATAATGAAGCTGTTATTATTATTTAATGATACCTGTATGTTGGGTCTACTTTTAGCTGACGGTTTGGATGTAAATTTACTTAAGAAAGGAGAAATCCAATCAGTGTCTGAAGATATAAGTGAACAGTTGTTATTAAATGTTTTATTAAATTTTTTCATTTTATTCCAGATAACTGATAGAGGAGTTTGCCGATTGATCGACTCACAGAATTTTAACCAGCTGGCATTTCTATCGTTTTTGAGAGTAAGTTTTTTGATTGCCTGTTGTCTTTTAAATCTTATGTAATTTTCTTGATTGGGATTATTTTTAAAATCTATGTAAGTTTTCTTACATAATTCTATTGCTTGAGAACAAGTATTGTTCCACCATGGCAAAGAAAGTCTTGTCTTGTGATTACAGACTAAAGAATGTTTTAAATTTCCATGTGAATTATTAGCTGTGTTAATGCTTTCTATTAAAATATTGCACATTTGTTTATAGGAGTCTAAAGGGGTGGAAGGATCGTAATTAAATTCATTACATAATTTATTATCAACAGTCTCTTGGTATACAAGCCAGTTTACATTATTGTAATTTGGCCTAAAAAAATTACTATGATTAATGGAATTGTTATTTGTATTTACAGTGTTACATAAAAGGTGGGTGATGGTTGGAAGATGATAGCTCCCTAAAGGATTATCATGTACAGACCAATTGCATCGGAGTGACAGAGAGGCAGAAACAATTGTAAGATCCAGAGCACTTGGACTCCATATATCAGAGCCTACAGTAGTGGGTTGACCATTATTAATTATACAAAGATCATTGTCTTCAATAGTATTAAGAAGAATAGTGCCTCTAGAATCGGTTCTAGAGCAACCCCAAGTGGTATTGTGGGCGTTAAAGTCACCCGCTATTATCATAGGTGACGGGATAGATTTAAATAAGTTATCTAAATGTAAATGTGTAAAGTTACGTGACGTTGCGGATGTAGGGCTGTAAAAACTAACAAAAGAAATTGTTTCATTTTTCAAATATAATTTTAAAGCGATATTTTGCAAAGAATCATCGTGATATGTATTTAATCTGTCATAATTCAATTTGTTTTATATTAGAATGGCTACACCATTATGATTATTACCAATGTCTAATCTTTCTATATTGTAACCTTTGATATTAAAGTTTTTGAAAGGCTTTAGCCAAGTTTCAGAAAGAAGGGCGATATGTATATTGTTGTTATATAAAAAATAAGTAAAAGCAAGTCTATTATTTATCAAGCTCTGGGCATTCCACTCGATAATATTTAAAATATTATCCATTAAAGAGATACTATTAATTAGTGTTAGTACTGGAAATCTTAAAAGTATCTAAAATTATGTTTTTTATGCCTTCTGAGTTTAAGGGAGAGTCATCTGTTTTATTAACAGAAATAATTTTAATAACTGATGCAATGATTAGTTTTAAAAAGTCATCATTTTGCAATAATGTGTTAATATTGTCAGTAGGTTTAGTTTTAGTGTTTAAAGATGGAAAAGATTTTTCAATTAATAAACTAGAGAAAGGAACAGTCTTGTGTTTTATTTTGTTTTCTTGTATTTTCTTCTTTTTAATTGGGCATTCAGCTGAGATAGCTATATGGTTACCATTACAGTGAAGACATACAGCTTCTGTGCTATTTTTAGTGCAATCTTTAAAATGATGGTTTTCTCCACATATTGAGCAACGTTGAGTATTTTTGCAAAATTTACCAATGTGGCCATATCTCAGGCACTTTAAACATTGTGTTACTGGTGGGGTGTAAGCGCTTACCTCGAAATACCATGAGTTGATATCGACATTCGTAGGGAGTGTGGGACAGGCAAAGGTAATGGCGACTGATTGGGTGGGCAGAAAACTTGTGTTACCATCTTCATCACGACTTCTTCGCATAAACCGGCGCACCGAGACGACGTCTCTGGAGCTGGAAATACCATTGTAAATACTTTTGTTTGACATGTATATAGGTACGTTTTTTATGACCCCTGTTATTTCTGTTAATGTTGCAGGTATTGTGGCTTTAACATGTAAATCTTTTTGTACTTTGGTGTTATTTAATGCTATGTTGGCTAAACCTGGCCTTTCAAAAATGGCTCCAACTTTATATTTATTAATTCTCTTGAAACGTTTTATACCCTTGCTTTGGCGCTTAAGACAGGCGCCAAGGGACATAAGGTCTCTGTCGCCTAAAGGCCTCGTATCGGTACTTTCATAAATAACTATATATTCAAAATTTCCTCCATCCTCAGGATATTGGCGACAGTAATTATCGATTTTAAAAACTTTATACTTATCCTCATCCATTGAGGAGTCAGAATCTGGACTGTCGACATCCCTCGAATTTTCTGGGGAGCAATTATCATCGGCTTTGCGCTTTTTGCGCTTACTTCCCATTTTAGGACTGTAATTAACTACAAATTATGTTAGTTGTACCTATATATACAAATTATTGAATATAAATAAAATATAAAATAAAGGAAAAATATTTAAAACACCCGCTCTATTTGACTTCCCGCCAAAAAGTCCTTACGTAAATAAATACTATATACCTATGTTTTCTAATTGTCAACTGCCAGTATCTAGACACGCGGCAGCGTGTCAAGCCGAGTTTCAAGTAAACTGGCTTGCAGCACCGTGTGTATATTTACACGAACCATTTGGAGCCACTTTTGACCCCCTCATAACTCAAAAACTCTATCACACAAACCTGTCAAATTTGGTTCATATATTGAGACTTGCGAGATAAATATGTGTTCCAAATTTCATAAACATATCTCAAACGGTTATTTAGATATTAATGTCCAAAAATCGTCATTTTTATCACTGATCAACTATAGATCAAAATTATAACCCACTTCCAGATGACCTAGGAAGTTCAAATTTGGCATGCAGATAGGTAATTAGGTGAATATAAAGGAAAAAATCTGAAACTGGTAAATTGTTATCATTTTACTACAATTTTTCACTTTAATTGATTATATTTCAACTTATACTGGACGAATACTAAAATTCTATGAAAACGTCGATAGCCACCAATTGACATTGATCCCTGGCGAAAAATTTCATCTTGTACTGGACGGAAAGTAATATTGTATGAAAACGTCGATCTATACCAATTTACGTTGACCCCTTCACATCAGTGTCGATAACTAGCAAACTTCAAATATTGCATTGAGCGGTAAACACTAGTTGCTATAATTTAGATTCTGTCTGAAATATATACTCGTACTTATAACTAGGAGTATAGTCGAATTTCGTATTTATTATGTTATTAACTGAGATTTGGTATTAATTATTATTTCAATATTTAGCGCACATCGATGGTGTAAAATCATTATTTTTATAAATAATTATTAAATAATAGACATTTCGGTATAGGGCGCCGCGGCGGCGCCGTGTGGGAGCGGTGCGATAAAACGTTGACGCGAACCTGTCCGAGCGAATGGCAGCCGCCCTCATGTCTCAATGTTTTGTTTCTCGATATCTAACCTATAAGGTTGCGATTTATGCTACGAAATTTATAGCTTTCTTAAATTATACTTATATATTTGTGGTTATATTATTATTACATTATTTTAGTAAATACGTATGGTATAGACAATAGTTTAAACCAAAAATTAATAACAATTTTAGTATAGTTATAAGTAGGAATGTATAGTTAACTCGAGAATGAGAACTCATTGGTAACAAATTGTTTTCTTGAGAATTCAATAGATAACAGTCAATTTGTTACATAATCGTCTTTACGAACTATAACGTGTCAATACGAAGTTTCAGATATTAAATAATGTATATGTTGAAAGAGAACAATTCCGTATTTGCTTAACATATGCTATTACTATCCACAAATCACAAGGCCTTAGTTTTGGCAGTCCTCTTCTCAACATTGGCTCCTCCATATTTAATAAAGGGCAGGTTTACGTTGGACTCTCCAGAGTTAAAACCTTAGATGGGGTACGTCTTAACAATTTAGATCCAAGTCACGAGAGCTCTATTGTAGAGTACAACCATCTGTGGACGTTATACCGCCCCGATTTGCCCAAAAATTCCTGATACTGAATTGGCTTTGGACTTCAACATTTAAAAGTTACAAGAAAATATAGAAAATAACACAAAAAAAAGACAATTATACCCCGTAAATATACGAAAATACAGTAATTTATCAAAAATAATTTGGTATTAATTTAGTTATAAATATGTACCTAGTATAATTTATGTACAAAAAGTAATGATATCCCATCAAAAACATAAATGTGAAATGATAGCCGAGTTTAATATTATGATATATGCCTTGATTGTTGACTTCTACGACAAAAGAGATGAGATCTAAATGGGTGCCAAGTTCAATGGTCTGTCCTGAAATGTATTTATAACAATATAAAATATCATTTCTTCTTATAACTTAGGATAAAGGTCTAACTTGGCTAGTTTTCATATACGAAATATACTGTAGCCTTCGCAAGTTCTAAACATGTTACTTGTCGGTTCCTATTTTAATATTAATAGTAACTAGCAATCGAAAGTAATAATTGGTATATGAGAACTGGCCAAGTTAGACCTTAGGCTACAGTATATTATCCTAAGTTATAAGAAGAAATGATATTTTATATTGTTATAAATACATTTCAGGACAGATTTTTTTTTAAATAATTAAAATAATCTTGGGCAGAAGACTTACGTAACAAATTAGTTCGAAATAACACTCCCAAAAACAAACTACGCGAACCAACTCGCAGCGCTTCTGGTATATAAGTCGTTAGTTTATTTAAAAAATACCAAAGAGGCCACGCAGGAAATTTAACGAAATAAGTAAAATAAGAACATTCTTGTACGTATAAACTGTATTAGTAACTTTGCTCTGACTCGAGAGTTTATTTAAAGTATTTAATGACGAGCAGCTGATAACCCATTAGATGATAAGTGGTAATCGTCGTCACATTATTATTATAACGCCCGTGATATCATATCATTCATGTGTTGCCTGTTGCCATTCCGGAAGACAAACATGTTATATTCTGTATCCTGTAATTTCATTGCTTTGTTTCGGTTGAGGGCATTCAACCAAAATATAGCTTACCACGTTAAGTAACGGCTGAAGTAGATAAAACAAAAAAGTTCCACAGTGTTTCTTTACGCTAAAAAGGACCGTGACTATAACGGTTTTTGGTATCGTTTGTATACCAGCCTTGTTTTATCAGTTGTTATATTTTAAGGCCGCAGAAATCTGCTAATTCTTTATAATAAGTAAGAAATCCCCACTTTTTTCCTTGTCTTTCGCCGCAAATTCCCCCAAACATTTTCCATTTAATTATGGTATAATTGCCACTATTTCAATCTCTATGGGGAAATTCCCAAATATAATCTGGCGCCACTGAATAAATTGTATTGCACCGGCCAGTGTTGCTACATGCTTTCTACTTGCTTACCTCAAAATTCGGCAAAATACTCCCTAACGAGATTAGTAATCCTAACTGTTTTTTAGTAGTAGACATTAGTTAGTCCTAAAAATATCACGATATGTGTAGTTCTCGTATGAAAACGACGTGTCTAGAGACAAATGGAGCCAACTGACAATTTTTTTACTCCTATATATGTGGGAAAAAGATCTAAGGTTGGTAACTTTCTGTCAGTCCATCAGTTCACAAAATCACAGCATCACAGATTAGATTACGTATATAAGAATTCGACAAAACAAATTTTTACATTCCGTTACGTGTTCTGTCAGATGTTTATTATTGCGTTTTAATTTTATCAAAATGAATTTTAGTAAAGATCGTAAAAAAAATACTAGCACAAGCAGCGGCCTCGGGCTGGCAGCTGCAGCTATAGGTGTAGGAGTAGGGGCTGCTTTGTACTACTTCTGTACCAGGCAATCAGAAAACCCTAACGGCCAAGGATCAACCAGCAATTGGACATGCGAGCAACCTAGGACCTTGTGAGTAATATCATACAGCTCATTTTAATATAACAGCGCATACGTTTTCTCTTTATTTTTTAAAATAAAAATGTCGTAATTTCTTTGCATCTTTACATACGGGTACGTTTTTTTTATGTGGGTACCCTAAATCGTAAAATGTTGAGGATATTTTTTAATCAATAGCAATGGGTAGCTGCACTAAAAATATATAGATGACCGTGAAGTCAAGTCTTTCAGTCCATCATGACTAATGCAACATTTTAGTTTCGACAGAGCTGATCGATCGAATCCCCACCCCTTCTATTGAGAGTATTGTATTTATAAATATAGATTGGAAATTTTCTTAAATAATTACAATACATACTATTGGGGGAAGGAAATTATTAGTAATGTGGAGTAATAATCACATGCTCCCTGGAAGCCATCATGTTAAATTCCTGGTGAACTGCGATGGTCTCAGTGGTCTAATGGTTTAGCACACAGCCTTCCAATGGTTGCAGGTTCGATCCCTTGCATGGTACAAACATTAGTATTTATGAGTATGATTGTTTGTATCTGTCTGGGTGTTTTATATTTATGTATTTAAGAAAAAAATCTATGTGTTTGTATCAGCTATTTAGTATTATTAATTTGACATAATGAGCTAACTGCTCTGACCTCACACTCATTGTATCATCCTCCATTGGTGTCCCGCCAGCATATATCATTAGTGCATGGAGAGGCACCATTTCATTATCATCTATTAAAAAATCTACAAATTGCCTGAATACAGTATCTACAATATATATTAATACATGAAGCAACAACTTTGTACTCCTTATTACAAAAATTGTGTGAATGAGGACTATAAAATTTCACGAACATACTTTACATAGAGAAGGAGAAGGAGCGCAGAAATATAATATATTTTTTAAATTATGCATATAACATTATATCAATAACCAGTTACTCACCCCAGCTTTGCCTGGATGTACATGTATTATATATATAAACCTTCCTCTTCAATCACTCTATCTATGAAATAAACCGCTTCAAAATCCATTGCATAGTTTTAAAGATTTAACCATACATAGGTAGAGACAGTGACAGCTTATTTGACAATTTATTTTATACTAGTTTTTGCCGGCGGCTTCGCTCGCGTTTATTTATCCCCTTAGGGGTGGAATTTATCAAAATCCTTTCTTAGGGGATGCCTACGTCATAGTAACTTTATGCATGCAAAGTCTCAGCCCGATCGGTTTAAAATTGACAAAGTACATACAAACTTTCATCTCCTATTTTATCCCCTTGGGGGTAGATTTAATTAAAATCTTTTCTTAGCGGATGCCTGCATCATAACATCTACCTACATGCCAAATTTCTGCCCGATCTGTCCAGTGGTTTGGGCTGTACATTGATAGATCACTATGTCAGTCACCTTTAAATTATATATATTTATAATATGTAATAAAGAAACAATTACCCACACTACTATGTATTTGACACACACATAGAAGTAGTAGTCTTTGACAAAATCCTTAATAATGTTCAAACTTGGAATATAAAATTAATCATGGTTGAATTTTGACTATTGGGGGACAACTAGATATATTAATTTGCCAATTTATGAATTAAATTCAATGAGCGGTAGAATCAAAAAACTTCACTATTCAAAAGTGCTTATATTAAGTTTATTTGAATAAAGATTATTTCTTTAATTTCTTTCTTTAAGAATTTGTACTTCATCCTTACTTATTTCTGCCATCTAGTAGTGGGGTGTGATTTGGTGAAATTACAAAATGGCAGGAATGTCATCTTAGTCTTCTGAAATGGCACACACCACATTATCAGGATGTTACCTTATACTGTGATATACCCATAATGCTATTCTCATAAATAGCATTATGGACATCCCAGTATGAGATATTGATCATAGTTATTGCTTACAATGATGTGGCCTAAACTGAGGAAAAAAAATCGTTAAGGGGTGTCACCCCCATTATACCCTTACTGTAGGGGTTAGGGGTGTGAGATTGAGTGTATGGCAATTTTAGATAAAATACAATAAATAGAAGGTAAAAACCTTTCATCAGATGCGAGTGCAGTTTTCATATGCTTAATCTGCTAGATCCTTTATCATCTTCCTTACTTAATGGATTTGGATTATTTTATTTAATTCCGCTACTAGCTACAATTAACATGTGATGTGAGACCACAAACATTCAATGCGGAAAAGTGACTACCAGATACCGGAAACATTAGGACCTTCCCACTAGTGATTAAACTCCGACCACTATCGGATCTACACCCATATTGCGACAAATGTTTTAGGCGCAATAGGCAATTTGGATACAGTTTCAAAGCCTAGTGTTGATTGTTCAGCGACCAGACTACGACTCTGACCATCCTCCTTCCGCTATCTCATATTGCTTTGCATGTATCTCTCTCCAGACCATTGCACGACTTCAATTCATCTTACACCACCATATCCGAACATAGTACTACAGACACCAGCATGGATACCACCGACCAATCAGATTCCGAAGAAACCGATGAATCGAATGAATCTGAGTCAGAAAGCGAGACAGACTTTGATACAACAGAGTCCAGTAATAACTCGAGTCATTCCTTTGATAGATCCAATGAGAGTTCGGAAGAAATATCAGATGTTGATTACTTGTACCTACCTGCAGTTAATGTTAGCTCTGATTCAGAAGTGAATGATGAGTGGGATGTCACGCATTCGTCCGCGGATATACCTATGAACGTGTCCGGAGCGTCAAGTGAACAGGGTCTAGCATTGTCCCCATTTATTTCACAAATTTCGGGCATAATCATTAACAAAATACATAGAAAACCGTAAGTTTGTTCATACATTTCATTATTTCATCTCATTGTTCCGATGTTACCAGAGGTAGACAATAAAAAGTCGTCTGCGTGTACCTTAGTCTCACCTATTTCAGCCGACCAGCAGCTTGTATTGTAAGCTGTGTTTCGGTTGTAGAGTGCAAATTAGTTAGTGAAATTACTGGATAAGAAGCATAACGTAGAAAATGTATACCTAAATTTCACTTATTTTTACCATCTTGCAGCACCCTTTATCAGATGTTTAATGTTTATCTGTTGTAGAGTGTGATTAGGTGAGGTTACAACACGGCAAGCATAATATCGTTGCCCTCTGGAATGACAACGTATGAGTGGTATCATAGGTGTCACATGATAAGTGCTGTTTATGTACCTATATAGGTTACCACTTACCATCAGGTGGTCAGCTTGTTTGCCATTCCACTTGCATAAAATGTTTTAATATCCTTTACCATGAGAAACTTTAATAAGAAGTTATACATGAGCGTATTCAGCTTCTGGCCCAGTGATGGGTAAGATTTGCCTCTGAACCAAAGAGTAACGTGATTTTTTTAAACTTAATATATGAAGGAGGACGGGAAGGCAAATCTGAGTCTTCCTTTGTTCTACTGCGAAGGAAATTTGTTATAAGCGACTTTGTATTAGATCATAAATATTTACAAGACCTTGACAATATATTTGGCGCGAATTCGTAATGTCGTCATATTATTCGTATGAGAACATATTATTAGTTTGACTACGTGCGTAAACTTATATTATATTATATACTTAGTATTATAAATGCAAAAGTATCTGTCTGGCACTTACCTTTTCACGGCTAAACGGCTCAACTTCACGTGAATACGTAAAAAAACTTATCAAATCATGGGTTGTTATATAGACGTTTCAGCATAAGTACCTTATATGAGAAATTATTGACTCCTTATACGGACTTTCAAATAAAATTTCTCGGCGATGAAATGGTAGATCCCTTTCACCTCCTTGAAGTTTTATTTGCGCGACAGAAATTAGACTATGCCCAAATTCCATTGTACCAATACTGAAATTAATTAAAACTCCCAGTAGTTATAGGCGTAGCTTTAATCTATTATTTCATCCCTTCAAGATTATGCTGACTTCATATGCCGAGGTTTACTCAATAGACCAGAACATGGGGTTTTTCAAGAAGAGTTTATTAAGGTTTCTTAAGAGTCGGCAACGCGCACTTGCACACGTGTTTCAGGCGGTAACCATTTACCATCAGATGGGCCGTGTGCTTGTTTACCACCACCGTAGTATATAAAAAAATACAATCTACTTGACATCGAATTTTAGTAATTCGTTCAGCCGTTTAGTAATAAATAGGATTGTCATTTCATGACGAACAAATAGACATACTTATGCATTAATAATATTAATTCGAATACGAGATTCTCTCGTATACTCTCTACTACTATAGAGAGTATACGAGAGTAATTGGAAAATAGGGTCATTGAAGCCAAAGAAACGTCAGCTCGCGTAATCCTGGACTGCGTAGCAGTGGCTACATAACGTATTCAAATCCTCGAAATGGTGAGATCGCTCTATGAAGCCTGTGAGGACTCCAGGAGGCTTCTGCGCATTTGGGAAGAGCTAGGAGCTTTACTTTAATAGTCTCGTCTCTAAACGCATAAGGGCCTAAATGAAAGACAAAACGCGGAACACAGACTCCAACATACAATACAATATATGCGACGGTTACCTTCTACAGCCAACTACTTGTTCGTTTAGTAATGGCTCTAAATAAAAAAAATATACATAAAAAATTCTAGAAGAGTCTACAATAGTCTATTAATATTTCAGAACTGAGGAAGATCGAATAAGAAAGCTCAGAGAGCAAGCGTTGTAAGCCAATTTTATTTCAGTTTTGTGTTGTTTCAAATTAATAAACACTAGTTACTATTAATACTAACCGTATGTAGAGTATACCAAGCCGAGCTGCCAAACTTTTGAATTCATGTAATTGAACCATTTCCCAGTAGTAAAGTTGATATGATTTTTTTAACCAAAAATAGTATGAAAGGTTTTAATTTTTTTTTCAGACTATTTGTTTCCCCGGGAAAATATTTTTCCCCGTATTTCAAAACTTTTTCTATTTGATTCTTCTCTGAGGACGATATCCGGGACAGGATTAAGTAGCGGAGTAAATAAGGAAAGGTGACACCACCATCTTGTGAGATATATAGCTAGGAAGATAGAGATTTCAACCCCTTTTTAATAAATATATGGAAGCCAACGTCAGTTCCCCGTGATATAGTCTAACTTCAAGTCTTTCTTAAAGATTCGTTCAGCCGATTCGTAACGAAAATGTAATAAGTAGCCAGATAAGTTTTCGCATATAAATTTTATAAATTATTTCTTGGTGAAAGTGGTTCAGTTTTATAAGTATTTCATCTAGCTATTCGGTTTGGTATACCATTTACAACTAACCTAGTAGTGTAACAAGACTTTGTGTATTTTAGTCTAGTAGCTAGTTGCGTTTGGTTTATACTGGTCTAAGATACAGCATGACAAATAATATAATAACATGTATGCACGTAATAAGATGTTTTACTGCGGAAAAATGTGCCAATATATTATGACTGGACTCTAGGATTTTTCCTCAAACTATATATAGCGAGACAGACGGCCTAAAAGCAGATCTGTTCCACCCAAAGTGGGATGGATGCTTACATTAACCATCATTACAACCCTTATAGTACGGACTGATGCATCGGAGGTCTGTTCGAGTTACGGACTATTTGCTTTTGACGAAATTGCAATATCATATGCTGGTGATAACTCTGTTCTCCCACATTTGAATTTAAAAATGAATCTGTATTATTGTAAATATCTACAACCTTATTTGAAAAGAATACGAGCTGAGTTTCTTGTCAGTTTTCTCAGCTCGAAAGCATTCCGAATTGACGGTAGATTTGACATATCACAAGAGTCTGTAATAGACTTATATGAATAAACATTTTTTTATTTGATTTGCATTGAGAGATGGATTATAGCAAATGGTGATCCATAGAACCACCAGCAAGGTAAGGCAGAATTGGTGCGGTCCTGGCTAAAGTACTGCTTTACTGAGCAGGGAACGACCTCGACTTGTAGTGATTGACGTTTTTCGGACTACTCTAATACTGTTGGCTGCAGCTGGCCTTTACAGCTTCACCGGACAATAGGGGGCGAGTGCAGATGGCACTTCAAACCAAAGGAAGGACTTATGGAGCGGCTGATGGCTGTCTATACGAATATATGCCTAGTTAAATATTAATCTAGGAATCCCTTGATATGTTACCCATTGAATCCACAGATTGTAACAGGTATACCTCCAGTCATATGGAAAACTGAAGTGGACTTTGTACAGTTGTCTACGTGTGTACATCAGTCTCACCTATTTCAGCCGCCAAATAGCTTGCTTTGTTTCGGTTATAGGGTGCAGATTAGGCAGTGAAATTACAGGATAAGAATGTTTTTTAAGGTTTCTTAACCGCTGGTGTTTCATAGGCTATGGTAACCGTTTACCATTAGATGTGTGTTTGATGACCACCATCGCAGTAGGTATAAAAAAATAAAGAAATAAATATATGGAAGGATCCTTAATGTGACGCCGTTTAAAATTTGTCGCCCCCTTGTGTGGTCCCTATGTGACATCTCCTTGTGCGATATTCCCTACGTGACGCCCTTTAACATGTGTCACCCCCTTGTGTGACTTAATATATTGATGGTTCCTGACATAAAAAAACTTTTTTCCAGCCGCGAACGTTCATGGAGCCTGGAGCAATGTTCCATCTGCTTCGAAGTGATGCTCATGGATCAGAATTTGATCACATTGGCATGCACCCATAACTTCCACTCGGCCTGCATCGAGCCCTGGTTGCAGGAGCAGAAAACATGCCCCTACTGCCGGAAGCCCACTGAATGATGATTAAGCGTAAGTGTTTTTATTGACGACCTTGGTGTTTAGCACACCGCTGTACTTCCGATGGGCGCGGGTTCGATTCCTCGCACGGTGCAAACATTTGTATTTATGAGTATGATATGTATATTTAGTAATCTAAGAGTCTAAAAATGACTAAGGCACCATTGAGTATTTCTGAACTTCCCAAAGGTTGACTGGTAGAGAATGCTTATAGCTTTAAGCTTATAGCTTTAAGCCATATTTTATTGGTTAATATTTAAAAAAAAATGTTTCAAAAATGACGTATTTCCATACAAACTTTTTATTCCCTTTAAGGTACAATTTTTACAAACTTTGAATGTCATAATTATTTATATTTAATCGACAGCCTAAGATATAAGTTTCAAGCTTCCAACTTTAAAAATGGTTTTGCTTCCGTACAACCTTCCATCTCCCATTTGAACCCGTATGAAGAAGGAGGAAGGAAGGAATATTGCTATGTTTAAGTTGTTATAATATTGAAATAAAAAAAGGTTATTGTACACTGAATGTAGTAGTGACGCCACGGAATGTTCTAGAAGAATTGAAGAAATGTTATGAGTAACACAAAACAACATCGACGTTCCATGCGTGACATTCCAAATTTGAATTTTATAATTTTATTTCTAAATGTATTATATGTCTATTTGCGATCGCAAACACGAGATACAAAATATACCTTACCGTCTAGTGCTTTAGATTTATATTTCTTTACAGATGTGAACACCAGTTTAAGAGGCTCAAGAGACGCTGGATAGGCTGGACCAGTACTGCAACTCTTCATAGCTGATGGAATCTGAAGGCGATCCTAATTAGATTAAGCACTAGATGACAGCTAATAGATAATAATATAAATATCTTTATTTAAAATGTAATAATATATTCTTTAATTCTTTAGACTTTGGCGACCCGCTAAGTTGTGATAGTTATTCATAAATAATAATTTGTTTTATAAAAAAAATATTTTAATTTGTTACTCTGTGGCGAGAAGTCAATTAAGAACCAATTGTAGATAATATCAAAACTTCTAAATTCAACCACAGGCTAAGCAGGACACAAAAAAAAGATAAAAAAATTATAATCTGTGTTTGGTATTGTCTTATCATTTTAGGCTGAGTGAAAACCAAATATTTGTTTATGATATCAGCACTTTGTGGTTATTGATTAGTACTATTTATTATCTACGTAGTTCTTTAAAGGTTTTTTTTCAATGTTTAGATACTTAAAGCATCTTTCTATTTAAAACAAACTGTAAATATTATGTATAACAATAATTTTATAATTTGTTTATTATAGCATGTATATAACTTGGTCTAGTCTTACTCAAAGTCACTAGAAACATAATAAATAATATCTTTAAATTTTAGATTTATGTGTAGTCAATTAAAAAAATAATAAAGAAATGGCGCCAAAATCATTCTTGTATCTGTCAGTTACTACTCTGCTATTTAAATAGAAAACGATATTGTATACAGAAAGTTTGTGTTACTAAATATACGGTTACAGTTCCTTCATTAGCACACTATATATTTTATTAATAATATATAACAGCGATGCAACTGAAGACTAAAGCTGTATACGGTGAGATATTTTGCCTGGTGACAGGTAATGGATCAAAAAAAAATTTAACAGCTGTCACTTTACGCACTTTTGATTTTCATCAGCCACGACTCGCCTATTATAATATCAAATGTTAGTTATATATGTATGTACCTAGGTTAAATCTCATGACGAACAATTTGACCAAATCTGTACGCAATAAAAGCTCTATAAACGTTTTTATATGTAAAGAAATTAATGTATAAATGACATAGTGATAATATACTCAAGTTGGGTCTGGATTAACCATGACGGGGTCCCTAGACAAAGCAAAAAATGCATACTCTACCTTTTTTGTCTATAAATTGATAGATTTTTTTTTAAACAAGACTTGAATATGATGAAGGAATTTGAGTAAAATTTAAGATTCTACCATCTGTATTATTTATTTTATTACTTGCTGGGTTCCATTTTGTTTGACATATAAAGTAGTTCATTAACAGACAAGATGTGTGGAAAAAAAAATATCTACTGTCATTGAAGATATAAATTTTCTATTCAATTTTCACTCTATGGAACGTTTTTATTTTTTTTTATACATGAATGTGTGCAAGGCACTAAGCATGATGGTTAATCCGGCCCTGGTTATCTAAAGATAAAAAAAAATTGAAAATATATATGTAGTTAATAATAAATATAATTATGTAATATAATGTATATATTATTAATCTAACATATTTGAATCCAAACGCGCTTTAATAAATATACTACATTTTTTTTTAACTAGTGTTCGGTGGATCAGCTGTTTAGCACACTGCCGTACTATCCGACGGTCGCTGGTTCGATCCCCATACAATACAAACATTTGTATTCATGACTGTTTGTATTGCTCTGGGTGATTTCTTATGTATTTATAAATATATATTTAAGTATTTCAATCAGTTATTTAGTACCCATAGTAAACTCTGTTTAGTTTGGGACTACATGGCGTTGTGTGAATTTGGGTTATTATTATAAATACATATTTTTTATTATTAAAAAAATTACACAGCGTCATTTAGTCCCAATTCGATTTTCTAATGTTTATACTTTCCTAAACTAGAAACTCAACAAATGAAAATTATTGGAAAATCAACTTTATTTATAGTCACTTTAAAGACGATTTAAAATGCATTGTTTCACAATGAAGAATTTGGAAAATCTACTTTACTTATCTTAGCTTTAAAGTTCGTTTTCCAATGTGTAAACTTTCCTAAACTACTATTTAAAAACCGAAAATTTTTAATTACGTAAAATCTGCTCTCTACTTTATATACATAGATTTTAATATTGACATAAAGAAAAATTAATAAAGTAAATTAAAAGGCATAAAATATACGTAGATTTTAGTATTGACATAAAAAAATATTAATAAAATTAAAGGGCAAAAATGTATATTAAATAATAATTAATTATGACACTTTTTTAAATAGCAGGTACAGCAATTATTTCTAAAAAAATCTTTATATAACAAATATTATTAACAAATCGTACTTAAAGATACTAGGTCTACACAGGTCGCAGTGTTACAGGTCTTAGCACCTGACAATAGTCAAAACCTTCCAATACATAAAGTTAAATAAACTTGTAAGTTTCTTAAGAAGTTAATATAAATTTAACCATCACTTTATAAAAATTGTAGGTATATCAAATGTCTATTAGAGTATTGTAAAACATAGACAATATATTTTTTTTCATAAATTGGTTGTATTATTGTTAATCATAGATAAAGTAGGAATGGATAACATAGTATATTTGAATTTGTAAATTATATGTGATAAAATCTGAAATTAAAGAGTTAATTATGGAATCAACTGGTTTTATTCATAACTAGCTGTTCCCGCGACTTCGTCCGCGCGGAATTTAACTTTATTTTTCTAAAAAAAAAGATTTTTTCTAAAGTAAAAGTAGCTTAAGTTACTGCTTATTTAATCAGCTACCTGCCAAAAAAAGTCCCCTCAAAATCAGTCCAGCCATTTCAGAGATTAGCCGGAACAAACAGACAGACAGACAAAAAATGTTATTTTGGTGAATGTACCGTATTTATATTGATAAGTATTTAGTAAAAACGGTCATTTTAATATTACAAACAAACACTTCAATTTTATTTATATATATATAGATTTTTCAAAATCTACATACATAATATCTTAGTAATATTATAAATGCGAAAGTTTGTAAGTATGGATGTTTGGTACTCTCACACAAAAACTACTGAACGGATTTTGTTGAAACTTTACAGTAATATAGCTTATGCATTAGATTAACATACAGGCTACATTTTTAATTAAAAAAAAACGCTATAGAAACCGCGGGCACAGGTAGTAAGCAATATTTCTAAAATATGTAGTGGTACACCCGCCTACGCTAGCGGGGCACCAGTGGAGGATGATAAGATGAACATGAGGTCAGGTCAGTTAGCACATTATGACAATTTCACCGAGAATTTATCATGGTCGCTTCCAGGGAAACTACACGGAGGTCAACCTAACATATGTGGCGAAATACTATCATTGTGCGGCAACACCGTTGCCTAGTTACGATGGGGCAAGAAGAATCAAACTTTTCATTCGAGACCGAATCGCTTTCTTGTACATAAATTTTTTTTTTTTTAATATAGATGATAATGGAATGGTGCACCCGTCTGCGCTAACGGTTTACGCTGGCGGGGCACCAGTGGAGGATGATAAGATGAGCATGAGGTCAGGTCAGTTAGCACATTATGACAATTTCACCAAGAATTTATCATGGTCGCTTCCAGGGAAACTACACTACTACTTTTTTTTTTTCGGACTACTGTAATGCTGTTGGCCGTAGCTGGCCTTTACAGCTTCACCGGACGTTATGGGGCGAGTGCAGATGGCACTCCAAACCCGCGGAAGGACTTATGGAGCGGCTGAAGGCCAACTCCTGCCCGACGGATACGACTTTAGTCTGAGGGCACCACTAGGGGTTCGAACCTCGGCTCAGGCCGTTGTAATTTCGATCCCCGTTTGAATTGGACGGGGGATCGATCGGAGGGGCGCCCGGGGGCGCCGGTGTGGAGCGCCCGGGTGAATGCGCGATATTGTGTGTACTCCACATTATTAACGATCCCCCTCCCCTATAAATATTATTATTACGGCTATTTCATTCCAAACTAGCCATACACGCGTCTTCAGCTGCTTTTTTTAAAGATGACAGATAAGCTTTGTTCGACATCATTCCATTAAGATCTTTAGCTGTTTAGCCTTAAACAATTAAATTAAAGTGTGTTTTCATATATATTTTATGTTTTTTTATTATTGCTTATTGTTGCTTGTATCGAAAATACATATTTTCTTTCTTCCTTTTCGCTATAGTTACCTGATTGATTTGGAAACAGCTAATTATCTAATACTTTCTAATTCAAAATATAAAAATATAATCGTGTGGGAATAAGACACTTATGAAATTCATATTTTTATTATTATTATTTCAACTGTCCAGTTCGGCTAGCTACTTCAGTTGAGAAGAACTGGCAAGAAACACAAACGAGACATCTCACATGGCTACGCAGCGGCTTTCTCCCTATGATCGCATCGAGCATATGCGGCAGACTTTCTGGAACCGCTGGTGCAAGGAATACATTTCGGAGCTTCAAAAGAGAACTAAATGGCAGACAAATAAGGATACTATACTTCCAAATACTGTAGCTCTAATAAAGGAAGACAATCTGTCTCCATTGAAATGGCATTTTGGGAATTTCACGTGTTGCCATCATTCGAACAGCGACCGGCAAGATTCAAGGAGCTTTTCCACGAATATATCCACTACCTCTACTCAATGAAGCGGACCGTTCCAGCTGATGTCAAGCAGGCTGCGACTACATGTTCCTGTTAGAAACGGTGTTTCCAAGGCCGGGGGCATGTCTACTCATCAATCGAACGTTAATTAATCGGCCAATCGCGGGTAACCTGGGAGCAAGAGGCGGGGATGGATGATCGTTGAGTCATTCCAATTCAACAATCAGATTCGACGTCACGTAGCCTCACCTATTATTTCACAATTTAAAATATCAATGTTATACTTCTATTCGCACAATATTTTTTTTTTTGTAATATTTAAAATATAAAATTAATTGAAGAGAACCTAAAATTCCTGTGGAACACCTGACCAGAGCTAACATCACGATCAACCAGTAACCCTGTAAATTTTAATTATTAGTCAAATACCGTTCGCTCAGTATACAAATAATAATAATAATAATCTCAGTACAATTCACACAGCGCCCAAATCTATTCATCTAGTCCCAAGTTAAGCTACCTAAAGCTTGTATTATGGGTACTAGATAACTGATACGAATACATAGATGTTTTTTTTTGTTAATACATAAATATTATACATAGAAAACACCCAGACCGATACGAACAATCATACTCATGAATACAAATGTTTGTGCCGTGCGAGGAATCGAACCCGCGACCATTGGAAGTATGGCGGTGTGGTAGATCGCTAGACCACCGAGGCCGTCAAAATCTTAATATAATAAGAAAGTTGTGTAGCAGAATTATTTAATTGAACACACAATTATTTAATTGAAAACAAACTAATAATGTTCCAACTTATAATCCTTACTCCTTACTAATATTATCAATGCGAAAGTAACTCTGTCTGTCTGTCTGTCTGTCTCGCTTTCACCCCAAAACTACTAAACCGATTTATATGAAATTTGATATACGGATAGTCTAGACCCTGAGAAAGGACATAGGCTACTTTTTATTGCTAAAAAAGGGTTGTAAGGAGATTGAAAGAGGGGATGAAAGGTCGTATGGTAGAATCGTCGTTTTTGAAGCTAGAAGCTTGCAATTTATTTTTTAAGGCTATTGATTGAAATGTATGGAATTCTGTATCGTCATTTTTTAAACTAAAACGATGAAACTTTTTTATTTGGCTTTTATTGGATTAGGTAATTAATATTCTTTCATTATTTGGTCAAGGTCACTATTTTACGGACGAAGTCGTGGGTACAGCTAGTTTAAAATATTTGTGTTCAAATTTCGACCATTGGGCGACCACTACGCAGTTTTTATGGTTAGAGAAGGCGCCGCAATTACTGGCTTTCGTCGCCGCACTTGAAGCAGTATCTCGCGACACGCTCATAAGCACGGTCGCTTGTTTTATTATTAATAAAAATAATAAAATATTTATACAAAATATGCCAGGTTGTGCATTAAGATACTGTGTAAATAATTCGAGGAATGTCAACAAGTGCAAAGGAATCACATTTCATCGGTAAGCAAGTGAAATAATAATATTAAATGATTTTATTACGTCAGTTGTCGAGACGCCATTTTGTATCATTGACATAGATTAGGAAACGGATCAGATAAGCCGTGTTACGTTTGTTACAATGAGTATGTATTTAGATATTGTTAGTTGACATGCTTGAAGTGTAATTTATCTATATAGATAAAAAAAAATTGAAGTGTCTGTCTGAAATTTCATATTAATAGGCTTATACTAAATGCATATGAAAGTATATATAAATAGTATTATAAGTATATATCGTATAAGTAATACCGTATATATATATAGTATATACGGTACTTACATCAAATAAATATATAATAAAAAATTGTCGCTCTGTCTGTTTGTTAGTGATAGTCTCGGAAGCGGCTGAGCCGATTTTGACTGGACTTCCACTCACAGATAGCTAACGTTATAACACTAATGTAATGTTAATTAAATGTGTGTGAATTAATTCATTGTAAACCATAATTGTGTAAAGCAACGTAAATAAATAAATAACCAAAAATAAACAGTTTTACAACCTTATAAGGAGTTAAATAGGCTATTATTATTTTTAAAATTGTATAAATAATTCACATGGACGAAGTCGCGGGAGCCAGCTACTGTTTATTTATATTTTTAGTTTGATAATATTTCATTTATGTCATTTTCTTAGTCATCTTATGTTAAATGGGCATTCCGAATGAGTGGTTGAATAAAAACTAATATAACTATTTCCTACTTGTCTATATAAATATGTATAAAATATTATAAAAAGATGGATTTTAATTTATTATCTGTAATGGTTGAACTGTATAATAATATAGATAGATAGAAATACTTAGATGCATTTTTTAAATACGCAACAGATAACACTCAACTCAATCCAAACAATCAAAATGTGTGCGAGGAATCGAACCCGCGACCATCGAAACTAAATAGGTGTGTTAAACTGCTAGATCACGGAGGCCGTCAATATTATACTCGTAAGTATAAAGAATAATACCAACTGATATTTTTTCTAAAGGTTTCCACGACAGAACCACGCAAATAGGGCAAAATGGATTAAATTCGTACAAAAGAACCGGAGTGAAAACAGCTGGTTGCCGTCCGACCATACATACATATGTTCGTTGCATTTTCGCGACAAAGACAAATACACCACAAAGAATGGAAGGTGGTTTCTCAAAAAGACTGCGGTGCCGTGTGACGATGTAAGTAATACATTACTATCTCCTTCCAGCAACGGTATTTCCGAACCGATACGATATTGAAACCTTCAACAAAAGTGCTTATTCCTTCTTAAAAGGCCGACGACGCACTTGCAACTCCACTGGTGCTACGGGTGCTCACGAGCGTTAATCAGTTACCATCAGATGAGCAGCAAGCTCATTTGTCCTTAATACTATAAAAATAAAATATGATTTTGTACCTACATCCTTACTAATACCACCAGTACCACAGAATAAATAATATTAGTAGTCGGCCAGTGCTCGAAATTCGACCTTAATTAATTTAATATTCAGTAAGACTATAGAGTATAGAGATCTTTGGGAGAGGCCTATGTCCAGCAGTGGACGACTTCCGGGCTGCGATGATGATGATGATGATGATGAAGACTATAGACAAATAATATTAAAGACAAACTATATTAATAGATTCTCAATTTGACCACAGACTTTAACAATAAAAAAGTGTATATATGCGTGTAGTGCAATACGAAAACTTATCCGAGTCAAGGGGTCCTAAAATTAGGTTTATATAATAACTATTTTTTAATTATTAATAAATCGATTTTTTAAATCGATTATTAAATAATAATGGATTAATTTATACAGACTGACGTCTGTAATAAGGACTAGGTAATAATGAAGGACGTAGTTACATCGATTCGTCGTCTTATTCTATATTGATGTTCTTTCATGTCGCTCAATGTGGTTAAAGCAGGCAAGCAATACATCGAATATCATGAGTGCGAAAGAGATGGCACGTTTTCTACTACGGTCAATAAAGCTTCGGCGAATAACGCCTCACGAAGGATGAGTTCTTATTCTATTTTAGTTCGCTTACGGTAGCCCAATGGTGTTGTTATAATGCCTCAATGTGCGTTTAAAACATGCAAAAGAAACTATCGAAACGAGAATGTATCGAATGGAATATCATATTTTCGGCGAGTAAATTTCATATTAGAAATCATCTTAAGTAATTATAAAATTGTATTTTATTGTGATATGAGTAAAGTAGTTTTTTAATCAACCGATGAGTTCATATTACCAATATTTGATCAAATGTTTGATTATAGTACAGAGCACATTGCACTTTTAAAAATACAGTGCATTAACTTAAAAATTTATAACATTATTCGAAATACGACTTTATAATTCAATTCTTATTGTCTATTTCACTTTGTAGTTTTTGAGTGGAGTGTTTTATGTATTATTCTTTTTTCAAAAATTCTAATCTTGTCCTATGATTTATAGATTTCCCGCCAATCCAATTTATCGTGCGCAATGGATTTCTATAGTCTCTAAAGAAAGACGAGAGATATTATTTAAACCGCGTAAAAATTCTGTTCTATGTTCAATACATTTCGACAAAATCGATATTGTAGGGAAAGCACAGAGACGACGACTGCGTAGAACTGCTGTTCCTAAGTTTCAGGTAAAAATTAGCTAAATTTAGGTACGTTCCGATACAAGCAACTGTAAGATTTTAATGTTGTAGTTTCAATACTAGGGAGCTATCTAGAAATGACGTCACACCAATGTCAATAAGACTTGCTTAATAATCTTAATAAATATGTATACATATAAATAAAATTGGAGTGTCTGTATGTAATATTGAAATAATTGTTTTTTACTACATGCATGTGATTATAAATACGGTACATACACCAAAATATTTTTTTACAATTTTTGTCTGTCTGTCTGTCTGTTTGTTCTGGCTAAGCTGGTGTAATAAGGAGTAACTTAGGCTACTTTTATTTTAGAAAAAATGTTTTATTTAAAAAAAAAGATAAACTCCACGCGGACGTAGTCGCGGGTACAGCTAGTTTTAATAGAAATAGAAATAATCTTTATTGAAATAAACTCATTACAAGCACTTTTGAATAGTCATATTTTGATTGTACCACTCATTCGGAACGCAGATTCATCACAAGAAGAATGAGCAAGAAACTTTGAAAAGAAATTAAATAAACATATTTGCGTTCGCAAATAGAATAATGTATTTATAAATAAAAATGTAAAATTTGAAAACAGAACATCACGTAAATACCAATGTTCTATACATTGGTATTGATTTGTTTATTTTAAGAAATTTTTCACTTCTCGAACATTCCGCGGCGTCACAATTGAATCCAGTGTACAAACAACTATATTTTTTTATTTTACTATTATCTAAATATATATAACTCAAAGGTGACTGACGTAGTGATCTATCAACGCACAGCCCAAACCACTGGACGGATCGGGCTGAAATTTGGCATGCAGGTAGATGTTATGACGTAGGCATCCGCTAAGAAAAGATTTTGATTAATTCTACCCCCAAAGGGGTAAAATAGGGGATGAAAGTTTATATGAAACTTTGATAATTTTAAACCGATCGGGCTGAGACTTTGCATGCATAAAGCTACTATGACGTAGGCATCCCCTAAGAAAGGATTTTGATAAATTCCACCCCTAAAGGGCTAAAGCTAAAAGCTTGTTATAATATAAACACAGGAATATTTCTCCATCAAACACAGTATATGATCACACAATCGTCTTAGGGGTAAGCATTGTAAATATGGTGTAATAATATGAAGTTTTTGTTTTAGATCGCAAATGCTAAATCAGATACGGAATCTATGTCGTACGATCAAGATGTTGTTGAAGATTCCGTAGCGCAGCAAATAGATGGCAGCACAAAAATTAAACGCAAAAGATCGTACCCAGTAAGTGTGATAGTAATCATGTCTACCTTTTTTTTCTAATTTTTTACAGCTCTAGATCCAAGCCGTTTTATCCAACTTTTAATGACTATAGAATTGCGACTTTGAAGTGGCAATGGGCAGGTCACATAGCTTGTAGGACAGATGGCCGTTGGGGCAGTAAAGTCCTCGAGTGGCGACCACGGACCGGAAGACGCAGCGTGGGAAGGCCTCCAGCAAGGTGGACCGACGATCTGGTCAAGATCGCTGGAAGGCATTGGATGCGGGCAGCGCAGGACCGATCGTCGTGGAGATCTTTGGGGGAGGCCTATGTCCAGCAGTGGACGTCTTCCGGGCTGCGATGATGATGATGATGATGATGACTACTAGTAATAGTACTAGTGTACAATACACAAAATACACAAGTATAGTACTAGTAATAGTGTACTATAGTACACTAGCTGTTGCCGCGACTTCGTACGCGTGGAATTTAACTTTATTTTTCTAAAATAAAAGTAGCCTAAGTTACTCCTTATTACATCAGCTACCTGCCAAAAAAATTCCCGTCAAAATTGGTACAGTCATTTCAGAGATTAGCCGAAACAAACAGACAGACAGACAAAAATAAAAATAAAATATTTGGTGTATGTACCGTATTTATATTCACATGCATGTAGTAAAAAACTGTTATTTCAATATTACATACAGACACTCCAATTTTATTTATATGTATAGACACAGAAGTCAAAATGTAACATACTATATACATCAACAACTATTTGATTTCAATTTAACAGTCATATAACACTAACGTAGTTACTGGAAACACGAAAAATAAAATAATCTTCAATATAGACTCACCTCGAACCACGTGATACTTTTAACCGACTTCAAAAAGGACATTCAATTTTGTTGGCTTATGATTTATTTGTCAACAGTCTGGTGCTGGATCGAGTAAAGAACGCAGAAGAAATTCTAGAAAAGTCAATACTGACGTGGTAAGTGATATTAGACTTATGAACATTGAGGTATTATTTACTATTGTGGTAGAGAACAGGTGATACCAGTATTGGCATATTTTTTTACAAATATCTGCCAATATTTGACCCAAAAATTTGTGCTGGTTGGTAGTTTGTATTCACACGACTTGTAAATGTAAACTTACAAGGATTATTTAAAAGAGCAACACACAAGTTTCTTGCTCGTTCTTCTTGTGATGAGACAGCTTTCCGAACGAGCGGTAGATAAATAAAATACATTTACTATCATGATAGAGAACAAGTGACGTAGAGAAAAATCTGCCAATACTGGGTAGTATTGGCAGATTTTTTTTACTAAAGTCTTGTCAAAAGTAGGCGTGGGTATATAGATCCCACGCAGCTTTGTCGTTTCTGTTATCATATATATTTATGAATTTTTTTTTATACTACTATGGTGGCAAACAAGCATACGGCCCATCTGATGGTAAATGGTTACCGTAGCCTATGGACGCCTGAAGCACCAGGGGTGTCACGTGCGCGTTGCCGACCCTTAAGAAACCTTAATATACCCTTCTTGAAAAACCCCATGCTGTAGTCTCGTGAGAAAACCTCGGCAGGAAGTTCATTCCACGATCTAAGTGTACGCGGGAGGAAGCTCCTCTGAAACCGCACTGTCCGAGACCACTTAGGTTCCAGCGTGTGGGGATGAATTCCCTGTCGATGGCGAGCGGTGCGATGGTGAAAGGTGGCCGTAGGCATCATGTCGAACAATTCCTGAGAACACAGTCCGTTGTATAATGAATAACTTATAACTTTACCTGTGCCCGCGATTTCGTCTGCGTGCAATCTAGAATAAAACATTTAATAATCCAATCCAAAGAAAAAGGTTCATTGGTCTAGAGTCAAATATTAATAATTTACATACAAACTATCATCCCAAACATCCCATCCCAAATCCCAACAACATTCCCAAATTTATCAGCTTAATGGTAAAATTTTAACAAACTTTGAATGTCATATTTGTTTAAATTTAATCAACAGCCTAAAAAATTAGTTCCGTACATCTAGATTTAAAAATGTCATTACTTCCATACAATTTTTCATCTCCCTTTTCAACCCCTTACAACCCTTTTTTTGCATCAAAAATTTGCATGAGGATCTAGATAAGAGGTTCTCAAACTTTTCTGTGTCGTAGACCCCTTGCCATATTTTTCGGTTTCGGGTAGACCCCCCATTCTTACCAGGTATTGATTTTTTGTAAATTTCTAACTGTAGTAAAGTTTAGTGTTAAAAACAACAAGATGACCGCTGTCGTAGACCCCATGCAGTTTGTCATAAACCCCTGGGGGCTGATATAGACCACTTTGAGAATCATTGGTTTAGACTATCTGTGTACCAAATTGAATTTTGTATCTATGCCATCTAGGCTAAAAATGTCGAATAAATTCGTTATGTATAACATCTCTTTAGGGCCTCAGTGGTCTAGCGATTTAGCACACTGCTTTACTTCCGATGGTCGCTGATTCGATTCCTCGCACGGTACAAACATTTGTATGACTATGATTGTTTATATCGGTCTGGGTGTTTTCTTAAGTATTTATATTAGGGGTATTTATTTTATTCATTATAATCACACATCATCATCATTACATAGTATAAAACAAAGTCGCTGTCGATGTCTGTCCGTCCCTATGTATGCTTAAATCTTTAAAACTACGCAACGGATTTTGAAGCGGTTTTTCTTAATAGATAGAGTGATTCAAGAGGAAGGTTTATATGTATAATACATGTATACCCGTGCGAAGCCGGGGCGAATAGCTAGTGTTTTATAAAAACATTGTTTCTCTCTCTGATAAATATTTCTTTAATTTCTTCCATTCTTCAGTTTCTTCTCTCTTGTACAGGTTCCCCAATCATACTCGGACGCAGAATCGGTGATAACTGAAGATGAAGAAGCAGGTGATGAAGTGGAAACTTCAATAGATGGCAGCACTAGAACAATCAGCTACAGGAAACCGTCCCTCGTAAGTGTGACTTTAATAATAATTTCAGGACAATTCACACAGCGCCATCTAGGCTCAAGTTAAACTAGTGTGTATACTAGATAACTGATACAAATACATAGATATTTTTATCATAAATACATACATATAATACATAGAAAACACCCAGACCGATACAAACAATTATACTCGTGAATACAAATGTTTGTGCCGTGCGATGAATCGAACCCGCGACCATCCGATGTAAGTTATATCGAATATAAGTTGTTTAGTACTCATACCACAAGTTCTAGCTTGGGACTAGATGGCGCTGTGTAAATTTTCCAGGGTTATTGTTATAATAACATAATATAATTTCATTGTAATCAATAGACTGTGGCGAAGTCGAGTGAAGCGCTCAGGACAACTATGAAACAAGTGGCTACTGACGTGATGGGAACGATGGTAAGTTTATTGGCTTTTAAAAGTCATCATCTCAGCCTGGAAGACGCCTGAACAAAGGCCTTCACCAATAATCTCCATGAAAATTGGTCCTGCGCTGCTCGCATCCAACGCCTTCCGGCGATCTTGATCATATCGTCGGTCCACCTTGCTGCAGGCGTTAACCTTAGGAATAACGGTGGGAATTTGATCACCAAGAAGGTCGTAACGCTTCCAGAAGAGGTGGTCAGGTGTTCAAACCAAGGTGTACGTACACAAACAATATTTGTGGTCTCACACATGCTAGTGGTAGCGGAATGTAACAAAAACCAAAGGGATTTAATTGATCATAATCTAAAATTGTGCTAAATGCACAATTGCAAATTGCAAGTTGCATGCATTTAGTATTGAAAAAACTAATAATTGCTCTGAATCTAGGAAAATCTTCAAGGAAATCTGAATTGCGCTCCTCTCTCCGTCAACCTCTTAACTCTTCTGTTACAAATTTAGTACATTTATGAAGTATACCATCAGCTATATAATTATATTACCAGCCCATTGCAGTCCACTGCTGGACATAGATCTCTCCTAAGGCACGAACTTCAGCCCTTCTCGTATTCATTCATTTTATCATATATTACTCGTAACCCTACGTATGTCGTCGATCATTAAATATTACAGCATATTACAGTCCCATAAAAATCTTTTTCAGGTAATCGACGACATCACAAATCCCTCCAAACCTGTGAAAAGACGCATCGACGTATTACTAAAGATGTGTCGCAGTATGATGAGGGAGAAGGACCACGAGATATCCATATTAAAAGAACAAGTGGAGGAGTTGACAAAGAAGAACGTTCGATTGAGGAATGCTTTAGTCGATATGAAAGGAAAAACTAGAATTGATGCAGAAGATTCTCCCGAAGAAACACCCACGAATACTCCAGCACCAAAGTTGGTTAAAGAAGTTAAAAAGGTCAAAAGAAAACAAACAAAACGAACAGAATCAAACGAAGTAACACGAGGCGCTTTCCCAAAACAAATGAGACTTAAAGATGAACCAATTGAGATGGAAATTGAAATTAATGTAGAGAAACAACATTTGAATAATGATAACGATAGGAACAATCCTTCAGAACAGATAGCACAAGAAATTGACCCATTGGTAATAAAAGAGGAAAGAGAAATGGATTGTGAAGGGGATATTAGAGATGTTGAGGCGATGGATGTACTACCGATATGTACTGAACAAATGTCGTGTGAGAAAGCCAACCTATCGCGTACTAACATTATTGTTCAAGAAACTAGTGGCACTGAATTGTGGACAATTATCAAAGAAGAGGACGTGGACTTATCAGAATAATAGATTGCACTAATATATACTGTATTTGTCTGAAATTACATGATAAGATCCGACGATGATGTCTTATTCCTCGGGAATAGCAATGTATATCTCACCTTACAACCGAAGTAGCTTACAAAGCAAGCTGCTAGAAAACGGAGAAAATGTGGGAACAAGAAAGAAAATAGTGGAAAATAAACCAGAAGACGTGTATAATGAAGCATAAAGGTTGAATATTGTTATGAAAAGAACTGATATTATCTCGATGCAGTTGTATAATGGACTGTATTATTACGACAATAAGATTATGAGCAAGAGATTGATAATTTAGAACGCATTCACCTTGTACTGTGAGGATTGCTAGTTTGGTTTCAGCAAGGCTTCTCAGAACTTCGGGCTCGTCCGAAGTTACCTTTTGAACGGATTGCTTGTTTACCGCTAAAACTGACAATAAATGCCCACTGTAAATAAACTAAGAATATATATATTCACGACTAATTTATTAAACAAATATGCGTCAAATGAAATATCAACAATATAATTGTTGAAAATTACGACAACGATAATGCAAACTCTTTTTAAAAGAAGAAGAAAAAAGAAGCTTTCCATTAAAAATTAGGTTTTTTGTAGTCGACGTTTTATAAGAAAACTGAATTAGTTTACGGAAAATTGCTATATTAGAAGGACAAAAAATTCTACATTCTACAATTTTAAACAGACAGAAAAAAATTGATAAAAATATTTCAACGATATTATTGAATTATGCTTATTTTTTTCTATAGCAACATTAGTAACTGTCAGTAAATTAATCAATCCAATTGTCAGTACGACAGTCATAAAGTACAATTTAAGTCAGTCGCACGTGAGAGTTTGTTTTTATTTATATCTTCTGACCAATCAGTAATTTTTATATACAAAAGCTAGAAAAATGTAATTTAGTCAACATTCCTGTATTTCTCACTGTGGCGACCACTAATATCAAGAATTAAACACTTCTAATTTGACACGCAACATTTCAATACTCAAACTTTTATATGGTTATTACTGAAAATCCGTCTTCGTGCTGCTACATTCGTATTGCCTGCCAGTAAAACCGGCGAGATGTATTCAAAATCAGTATTCTATGAACAGACAAATAATCAACTGGATTGCACGATCACAGTTGTCAAAGAAGAATGTATTGATTCACAGTCGGATGTTGGAAATATAGAAGATAATAGACGTATTTCTAACACAAAAAACATACTTTCTATCTATGACACGTCTCTATACGAAAGAGATGGAAATATCGTAGACAATGAATTGATAAAGCAAGAAAATATAAAGAATGAAGAATTTGAAATTTTAAAAATGGAATATGACAATTATGTTTTTTCAGACACAGGAATTAGTGTAAAACATGAAACTGAGAATGATGTAGACATCGGACCTACAATTGTGCAAATGAAAGCTGTACAATCATCTGATACTTTTTTTTTAAATAAGGTTGATATCAACAAAATGAGTAGGCAAAAGAACACATCCGATTTGTTAGATATGACTGATGTACCCAATATATTTAAATTCTCAAACAGAAGACATCTGTCAACAGATACAGGTGAAAAACCACAGTGTTCTAAACAGACAATATGTTATAAATGCAACCAGCCAGCGCCACATACTAATGATTCCTCATTTATTTATACTGGGGTTACACATTATATTTGTGATATCTGCCGAAAATGTTTTAAAACTAAATTCTCATTGCAGCAGCATTTAATAATACTACATTCAGGAAAGAAACCATACAGCTGTGATGTCTGTGAAATGAGTTTCCCTAGAAGTTCACAATTGGAGAATCACATGTTTCTCCATACTGGGAAATATCCATACACTTGCAATGTCTGTAATAAATGTTTTAAAACTAAAAACTGGTGGTTGCAGCATGTGAAAAATCACACTGGTGAAAAGCCATATGGATGTGATGCATGCAAACGATATTTTAGAACAAAACAGGACTTAAAACAACACATACAAACTCACAATGTGGACAAGCTATACACATGTAAAGTGTGCACGAAGAATTTTAAAACAGAAAACAGCTTGAAACAACACACAAATGTGCATAATGGGGTAAAGCATAGCTGTGATATGTGTAAAAAATCATTCAGAACAAAACACAACTTGAGGGGCCACTTGTTAATACACAGCAATGAAAAACTATACAACTGTAATGTTTGCAACAAAGGTTTTAATAGAAAAACACATTTAAAACGACACATGTATACACATACGGATGAGAAGCCACACAACTGTGTTGTATGTATGAAAGCACATGCAACAAAACATGATTTGAAGCTACACATGTATAAACACACAGGTGAGAGGCCATACAACTGTGTTGTATGCCGAAAAGGCTTTGTTACAAGTACATGTTTAAAATTACACATGCGAATTCACAACGGTGAAAAACACACATGCAATGTATGCAATGAATGTTTTAAATCAGTCAAGAAACTGAAGCAACATACAAATGTACATCACCCAGATGAGAGGCCATACAACTGTGTTGTATGCCAAAAAGGCTTTGTTACAAGTACATGTTTAAAATTACACATGCGAATTCACAACGGTGAAAAACACAAATGCAATGAATATTTTAAATCGATCAAGAAGCTGAACCAACATACAAATATACATGTAATGGAACAGACTGATAATAAGGGTAATAAATGTATGGCAATAAATGATTCAAACAAGGTAATATGTAGTCCAGAGAAGCTGTATAGTTGTGATGCGTGTAAAAAATATTTTATTAAAGATACACACTTGAAAAGACATAAATGTGTAAATACTAATGTATGGGATGTTGATTGATGTCAGAACTGAATATGAATATATTACTATTTTATTTTAATCATAATTGTTACATAGTATATAACAAAGTCGCTGTTGTTGTCTGTCTGTCCCTATATATGCTTAAATGTTTAAAACTTTCCAACGGATATTGAAGCAATTTTTTAAGTAGATAGTGGTTCAAGAGGAAGTTTTATACAATAATACACATGCGAAGCCGGGGCGAGTAGCTAGTTACTAATATTGTTTAATTAATGCAGTTATTAAAAAATAGGGATTGATAACGGAAGGATGAAAACTTACGGTTGTATATATTTTAAGTGTATAATTATAAAAAAATTAAATTAAATCAAGACCTGACCTTTAACATATTGTGTTTCAAAATTTAATATGTGAGTGATTGTAGATGAACGTTTATATATATATAATACATGTACACCCTGGGGAAGCTAGATTTCCTATCCAGAAGCCAGATTCAGATATTTTGGATAAAAAATTTTAATAGCTCCGATTCTCATGCAAACCTGAGATGAAGCATGAGAACCGGAGCTCTTAAAAATTGTTACCTAATAAATCTGAAAACTAGAATTTTCAACCTTCAAGAGCTTATTTTTTTATTTTCTGTACGACCATTTTTCACTGTTATAGAGCCTGTTGAAAATCACCCATACATTTAGACAAAAATGCTGTACCCTTAATTTTTGCGAGAAGTGTAGACGGGATGTAGGACTTTTCGGTTACGAAAAAGCGTTACCATCGCATGAAGGACTGGTGGTGGCGGAGAGAGGACCTCAACAACGGAAAGCGGGGAGGCTGCGTTGTGAGAGAAATAGACGTCTGTAGAAGTTTCACTTCTACCAGTTAAAATGTCTCTTCTCATCTTGAAAACATCCGAAGAAACTTCTTGAAACATGACGGTAGATTTGACATATCATAGGAGTCTGTAATAGACCTACATGTATAAAGATGTTTTTATAGACTGTCACCTAGTACACATTACTTTTTTAAACTATGACATTATCATACAAGCGTCGTATGCTTGAATGATAATGTCGTAGTATAAAAAAAAAGGATCTGATGGTAAACGGTAAACAAACAGGTACAGGTAATAATAATAATCTCAGGACAATTCACACAGCGCCATCTAGACTCGAGTAAAACTAGCTAAAGGTGTCTTGGGTACTAGACAACTGATACAAATACATAAATATATTGTTTTTCGTAATGACATATATTATACATAGAAAACACCCAGACCGATTCAATCAATTATACTCAAGAATATAAATGTGCCGTGCGAGGAATCGAACCCGTGACCATCGGAAGTAAGTGGTGGTCTAGCACACCTGCTAGACCACCGATGTCGTCAAAGAGGTAAATAAATAAAAACGCATTATAATAAATAAAATATATTACTCAATGAATGTATAACATTTCCATATTTTTTGGACATTTTGATTGGTAGTCTCATAACTCTCATAAAATATTTTGTTCTTTTGGTTGTAACAATATTTTGGCGCCATTATATAGTTATTTGCTCAGTGGTCGAACTGACAAATAATGTTACAATATTTATTTAATTAAAATTAATATTATTTTGGCAAAAAAATTGCAAGTATACTCATTATTTAATTATATTAATTTATATTTCATTTCTGCTGCACCAATATCATACTTTACATAAAAATATGTTATATTAAAATCAAACGTAATATTTATCTATTAGGCTGCTGATATACAGTTGTCAGTTATCAGTTTCATGTATAAAGAGGGCGGGACGTAGCTATCAAATACGCCAATTGGAGTCCATCGGAACGTAAGTCGCATTTCGGAAACCTGACGACTAACCGACTGTATATTACCAGCTAAAGTCATATTAAAATACGATAGACTAGCTCAATACTAAACTACAAAATGTTTCATCATCACGACTCAACCCAGATGAGGTTATCGGAAGCTTCGTCAACACTGAATTGAACACATTTTGCTTTGTGATGTAGAAATAATTATGTTCAACGGAAAAAAATGATCATATTTGACTCGTACTGACCATAAAATCGAATTCTAAACTACTATGATTAGATTCTTTTAAAGTATAAAAAAATGCTTGTACAAAGCTACATTAGTAAATAAATAATTAAAAAATAAAACAAAAACATATTACAGTATCTGTGGTTAGGTACTCTGTGGCTAATGGCACGTACTATATCACTTATATTATAACTTATCATGGGCGTACCCAGGGGGATGGAGAGCATGGGGACAGCAGCTGGTCCCACTTACAATTGTATTCGTTGTAATATTTTATTTATTACAACTAGCTGTACCCGCGGCTTCGCGTAAAATAGTGACCTTGACCAAATAATGAAAAAAATATTTAATGACTTAACCCAATAAAATCTAAATGAAAAAGTTTCATCGTTTTGGCTTCAATAATGACGAATTTACACCAAAACTTTCATCCCCTATTTTATTTTACCCCCTTAACTAACTAGTAACTAAATTAACGGGTAACTTTTACAAACTTTGACTGTCATATTCATTTATATTTAATCAACAGCCTCAAAACTAAGTTTCATGCTTCTAGCTTCAAAAATGACGAATTTACATAAAAACTTTCATCACCTACTTTATTTTGCACCCTTAAGGGTAACATTTTTACAAACTTTGATGGCCTATTTATTTATATTTAATCAACAGCCTCAAAAATAATTTTCAAATTTCTAGCTTCAAAAATGACGAATTTACATAAAAACTTTCATCCCCTAATTTATTTTACTTCCCTAAGGGTAAAATTATTACAAACTTAGAATGTCATATTTATTTATATTTAATCAACAGCCCCAAAAATAAGTTTCAAGCTGCTATCTTCAACAATGACGAATTTACATTAAAAATTATCCCCTAATTTATTTAACCCCCTTAAGGGTAAAATTTTTAAAAACTTTGTATGGCATATTTATTTATATTTAATTAGCAGTCTCACAAATAAGTTTCAAGCATCTAGCTTCAAAAATGACGATTCTTCCATACAATTCCCGATTTCAACCCCTTACAACCCTTTTTTCGCATTAAAAAGTAGCCTATGTCCTTTCTCAGAGTCTAGACTATATGTGTACCAAATTTAATTTAAATCGGTTCAGTCGTTTTGGCGTGAAAGCGAGACAGAAAAACAGACAGACAGACAGAGTTACTTTCGCATTTATAATATTAGTAAGTGGTTGATATAAATCTACTAATTTCTAGCCAACTTGCAATATGTTACTACCCTAAATCCTACTCCTATTTTTATCCACCAAATCTGGGGGTAGCATCTACAAAATGAGTCGTTCGTTGTACGTCGCGTCGAGCACACGCAAATCAACATATTCTCCGCGAATCAACGTTAACGGAACCATCAGCCGCGATCTTCGCGCAATCATCTGATTAGTACATCATCCAGTGAAATTCATCGTAGTGTTGTGCGTTTTTAAAGTGAAACGGCTACGCGTATAATAAGACCTGCACGCGGGGACGACACGAACCAGGTTGGTCCTTAGTTTCCCTTTTTTTCCCAACAGTAAGAAAGTAAGGATTAAAAAGTCGCATAACGGTATAAAAAGCCTGCTCTTCTCCATGAACCAGAAGCAAAGCTGACTTGCTCACCGTTGGGACAGAAGCAACGCTGACTTGTTCGACCCATGAGATAGAAGCAAAGCTGACTTGTCCTCCACCTTGGGACAGAAGCAAAACCAACTTGCTCGACCCATGAGATAGAAGCAAAGCTGACTTGTCCTCCACCTTGGGACAGAAGCAAAACCAACTTGCTCGACCCATCAGATAGAAGTAAAGCTGACTTGTCCTCCACCTTGGGACAGAAGCAAAACCAACTTGCTCGACCCATGAGATAGAAGCAAAGCTGACTTGTCCTCCACCTTGGGACAGAAGCAAAACCAACTTGCTCGACCCATGAGTCCGCAGCAAGACAGACTTGCTCTCCACCTTTAGGGCCTGAAGCAAATCTGGCCCCTGCTAGATACTCCCATGTCTATTATAATTATGAAGTTAATAAATTCGATATACGATACACAAGTATCGATTAAAGTTATTTACAACATTGTAAAAGTTCAAAAGAATAACATATATATCTCTGAGGACACTCAGACATTATTAAAACAAATCGGACGGTTCGTGCCGCTGACCCTGTTTGATTCGTATTGATTGCTACGCCCCGTCCTCTTTTAAAACGTGATAATCGAACGGTAGTCGTCAGCACGAATCGTCCGACCGATACTATTAAGCGCTCGTTTTGTCTACAAACGATCTGTGTAATTCATCAACAAGCTCCGTAAAACATTACCGGCAGGTGTAAAAGAGATAGAAGACAACGCAACTATTGAATATTCTACGATTATCACAGATTTATAGATAAAAATGGATTGGTACATGAATTTACAATTTTAACATAAAAACTATACGATTTGCGCATGCTACAGTAATTCCCGTGTAAGCGAGACAAAAGATAACATAGTTATTATATTTCTATATATCATATCACAGATTAATACCTATAACTTGATACGTAGATTAATAATATAATTACAATGTAATAACAACATTATTTTGTAGCGTATTACGCTTCACTAATTACCGTGTAAGCGAGACGGAAGACAACGCAAAGTTCAATCAATTTCATTATTAATAACAATATTAGGGTTATCTTTAGTTAGCTTCTAGTGTCTCGATCCATATTAAAATATATTATAATAAAATAAAACAACATTATGCAGTAGACTATTAGGTTACACTAATAACTGTGTAAGTGAGACGGAAGACAACGCAAAGGTCAATTCGAGTCTTCGTCTTTTAAAATATATCAAATTAACATAACAATTACAATATATAACTATATTTACGAATAGCGTTATGCTACCTAAAATAACGTGGAAGCGAGACGGAAGACAACGTAAATTTCGTACAAAGTTAATACTATTAGGATTGCATCTTATTTGTTAGAGCGAGATGGAAGACAACGCAAAGTTTATACGCGTTCAATGTGAATAATAAAATAAGATTGCAATCCTTAGTAGCTCCTCGCTTCACGTTATGTTAATACATTAGGCATTTGTGTTATTGCTATCAAGGCTCTGATTGTATAACAATGTTATTAACAATTTTCAGTTAAAACAGATTAATATCTACATTTTTTTTATTATTTATGGAGGAATTAAAAGTTGCAATTGCGAACATTACATGTTAGCTCGCGTTTACAACTCTGAAATGGCTCATAGGAAAGAGGTCTTTATAATTTATGTCACACTTTGACTAACACCCAGCGAGGGTGTTAGTCAAAGTGTGACATTGTATAACGTAGAGTTAGAGGTGTCACAAATTTCGGGTAAAAAAATCTGATATAACGATGAGGATTAAGGTCTTATGTCTTAAATATATAACGACGTTAGTTCATTGAAAACAGATTACAATCTGCAATTTTATAGTCATGTACTGAGTACGTAATTGCGAACTATACAACATAGCTCGCGTCGGTAACTCTCAAATGGTTTATAGGACCTTTCTTATTACGCACGTACGTTTCTTATGACGTAAATTATTATATAGTTACATAATATACGTCACATGTTAATGTCACACTTTGACTAACTCTCTCGCCATTATAAACTACATGTGACCAACATGTGACAGAGTACGGGGAGGAGGGGGATTAAACAATTACTTAAATTATGACCCAATATATCACAAACCCACAAATTTTAGTCCCTTACTATTGATAATTGTTAATAGCATAGTTATACATATAAAACACGGATGGCTACCTTCGGAATGCTATTTCTCGTTCAGTGGTACTGTCGTGCTGCAATAGATGGCGTTAGCGAATTGATTCTCTCTCTTTAGAAACTTCTCTCCTTCCGGCAGCGATCCTTCGACTCCACCGACTTCTGGTGGTAAAAAATATTAAATGGTATAAATGTTAAGGACTGGTTTTGGGGACTGGTATGTTCGGGTTACGAACACTGATTAGACTATTTGCTTTTGCAATAGCATATGCTAGTGGTCACTTTATTCTTCTAAATTTGAATTTAAAAATGAATCTGTATTATTGTAAACATGTACAACGTTTATTTGAAAAAAAATACGAGCTGAGTTTCATGTCAGTTCTTCTCATCTTGAAATCTTTGCGAACTGACGGTAGATTTGACATATCATAAGAGTCTGTAATAGACCTACATGAATAAAGATATTTTGAATTCGAATTATTATTATTTGCAACTCGCGGTTTATTTGTTTACTACCCCGATTTATATACAAATGGTCATGGTTTCAAACATGGCCAATATAAAAAAAAAATCAGATAAAAGTATATATGGATATGTCCAATATTAGTGTTTGTTAATTTTTCGTTAATTTATATTTTTTAAATACCTACATAATATACATAGAAAGCACCCAGACTGATACAATCATACTCATGAATACAAATGCTTGCACCGTGTGAGGAATCGAACCTGCAACCATCGGAGATAAACCACTAGACCATCGAGACCGTTAAATTGTAACTAACATTATATACAACAATCTGAATTAAACATTACTATTATTATTAAAATATAACTTTGAGATATTTGGCCTTTGATCCGGGCTGTTAAAACAGTAGTAGCAAATCGACAATCTGGTCAAGATCGCTGGAAGGCATTGGATGCGAGCAGCGCAGGATCGATCGTCGTGGAGATCTTTGGGGGAGGCCTATGTCCAGCAGTGGACGTCTTCCGGGCTGAGATGATGATGATGATGATGATGATGATGAGATGATGATTATTATTAAAATAAAACTAGATACTCACTGGTATCCGTTTCCTTGTCTGAGTATCGGTTAAGTAGGTAGAACACGCCGGCGTGTATCGCAGCGGAGACTATGGCGCTCGCTGCAAACACTTGGAATGATCTCCGCCCGCCCATGTACGCGTACAGCAGCCCGCCCAACAGCGATCCCACCGCGAAACCTGCAATTATTTATTCATTTTATTTTCTACTAGCTGTACCTGCGACTTCGTCCGCATGGAATTTAACAATAAAAGTTAATTAGATAATTTTTCTAAAATAAAAGTAGCCTAAGTTACTCCTTATTACATTAGCTACCTGCCAATAAAAGTCCCGTCAGAATCGGTCCAACTATTTCAGAGATTAGCCGGAACAGAACTAGATGTACTCGCGACTTCATCTGCGTGGAAATTAACTTTATTTTTTCTAAAATAAAAGTAGCCTAAGTTACTCCTTATTACATTAGCTACCTGCCAATAAAAGTCCCGTCAAAATCGGTCCAGCCATTTCAGAGATTAGCCGGAACAAACAGATAGACAGACAAAAATTGTAAAAAATGTTATTTTAGTGTATGCACTGTAAGCGTTCACATCAATATTGTAGAAAAATCTGATATTAAAAAATATATTAAAAGAAGGTAGTTTGTGTTTAGTACTAATTAACTACCCAATGTAAAGATTATTACAAATATTGTAAATAGCGCCATCTAGTATTTATAGACCGAACTAAGTTGTTAGTCATAAGATAACCGTTACCCTCGTTTCTCTGCCTACTACACTGACTTCGGTCTATAAATACGGAGGTCGGTAGTTGAATAATTCTCTTTCGTTGAATAAGTCACGGCATTCAGTCAACAAGCACAGAACATGCCGTTTGTATTTCGGATACTAAAGTGGATTGTATGCCAACTAAGTCCTGGATAAACCCGTCTCCAGGGTTTATCCAGGACTTAGTTGGGCCTGGGCTAGCTGCAAGTAGTGAAGGTGAGTGTTAATGCATTCTAAAAGGGCCTTTTAAACCTACACCCGTGTCACAAGTCACGGGCGCTACTTGGGGTTTCTCTTCCGGTAGCCGACTTCAAAGCCTAAGTCGTCATTATTAATCAGTGCTTCTTACAGTATCGTATTTATATTCATATGCATTTAGTAAAAAACGGTTATTTCAATATTACAAACAAACACCAATTTCATTTATATGTATAGATAAAGTTATATCTCTTTCTATATAATTTAAATAATGTATATTAAACACGAAAATGTATAACTGTATGTGTACTCACCGAGCCCGTCGTCCATGCCGGCGACGACGCCCTGCACGGTGGCGGAGTACCCGGGCGGGGCCACGTGTGCGGCGTACTGCACTATGGTCGAGTAGCACAGCGCGAACGTGGGGCCCTGCATTATGGACTGGAACATAACAACGTACAATATATAATTGTGTGTGTATATTTAAAAATAATTTATTAATAACTAATAACTTCTGCTGGGGGTAAGTTGCCATCTCCTCTCCTTAAGAGGGGAGATGGATCTTTAATCTCCCCTAGATGAGAATTTTTGTAAAATAATAATAATAATAATCTCAGGACAATTCACACAGCGCCATCTAGACCCAAGTTACGCTAGCTAAAGCTTGTGTTATGGGTACTAGACAACTGATACAAATACATAGATATATTTTTTTAATACATACATACTATACATAGGAAACACCCAGACCGATACAAACAATCATACTCATGAATACAAATGTTTGCGCCGTGCGAGGAATCGAACCTGCGACCATCGGACGTCCACCGAGGTCGTCGAAATAAATAAACTAACCTCAATAACAACCAGGTCCCACGGATTACGTATGAATGATATGGCAAACATTCTCAAGCCGTAGCAGAAGAGGCAAACTGTCATGGTGGTACCGAAACCCAGACGTTTTATTATTCTACCTGAAACAAAACGAAATTAAATAAAATTCACTTTTAATTTGACGGTCCCCATTGCTGCCGGGGCACCAGCAGAGGATGATAAGATGAGCATAAAGTCAATTTAGTTCCATGCTCTAATAAAATAATAAGTGTGATACAGTGAAAGTACCAGGACAACATGAACTTACAGGCATTTTAGTGATGTGTTTGATACTGATCATGTATATAGGCGACGGTTGACGGAAGGTCTTACATAATGGAATAGTGCACCCTGCGCTAACGGCATACGCTTGCGGGGCACTAGTGGAGACTGATAAGATGAACATGAGGACAGGTCAGTTCCATGCTCTTATAAAATAATAAGTGTGATTCAGTGAAAGTACCAGGACAACATGAAGTTACAGGCAGTTGGGTGATGTGTTTGGTACTGTTCATGTATATACGGTACGGTTCACACTTTATGTATTATAGAACCGAAGGTCTTCCTTAATGGTATGGTGCACCCACCTGCGGTATCAATGGAGGATGATACGATGAGGATGACGTCAGACCAGTTCCATGCTCTTATAAAGTAATGAGTGTGATACAGTGAAAGTACCAGGATAACATGAAGTTACAGGCAGTTGATGTCTTTGATACTGTTCATGTATCCGAGTTGATACATTTTGCGGGCAGCCGCGTCCGACTACTGGGGGTAGCGATACCTTATCCTTGCTCTGAACTGTCCAGCGAATGTAAGAAAATATTGGTGTCTCAGGACAATTCACACAGCGTCATCGAATCCCTAGCTATATATGGGTACCAGAAAACTGATATAAATATTTAGATTTTTTTTGTGAAAACGTATATAATATACATAGAAAACACCCAGATCGGTAGAAATATAAAACCAGAAACAAACAGATACTGGCGGGGCACCAATGGAGGATGATAGGTTGAGCATGACGTCAGACCGCGGTTCCAAGCTCTTATAAAATAATGAGTGTGATACAGTGAAAGTACCAGGAGAACATGAAGTTAGAGGCAGTTGGGTGATGTGTTTGGTACTGTTCATGTATATAGGCGACGGTTGACACTCTATATATTATAGAACGGAAGGTCTTCCATTATGGTATGGTGCACCCGCCTGCGGTACCTGTGGGGGATGTTATGATGAGCATGAGATCACGTCAGTCCCATGCTCTTATAAAATAATAAGTGTGATACAGTGAAAGTACCAGGACAACATGAAAGTACAAGCAGTTAGAAGATGTCTTTGGTACGTTCATCCTATCATTCCCCACTAGTGCTCCAACAGCGTACACCGTTAGCGCAGGCGGGTGCACCATTCCATTATCACACATTAAAAAAAAAGATTAATATATTATGTATATATGTAATTATATATGACAATACCAGGTTATTAAGTAAAATAATTTTTATCATTTTGTACATAATTGTATTTTCTGTGAGAGGAACAATAAAGAGTTTCATTCATTCATTCATTCATTCAATAATTTTTGGCAGCCGTACTGTAGAAGCTGAGCAGACAGTACAGCAGACTTAGTTTCATAAATTTAAATTTCATTTAGTCCTAACAAACTTACAGAGGTTTGGACGCTTTTGGCCTTTGTAAATATGAAATGAGTCATCTACGAAATTGCTACACTTTAAACAGAGTCCATGTGTGTATTGTTTATTTATTGTATACTAGCTACGCGCCCCGACATCGCACGGGTGTACATGTATTATATATATAAACTTTCCCTCTTGAATCACTCTATCTATTAAAAAAAGGCCTTTTAAAATACGTTGCGTAGTTTTAAAGATTTAAGTATACATAGGGACGGACAGACAGCGACAGCGACTTTGTTTTATACGTAATGATACATGTGTAATCATAAATAAACTAGTTGACCCGCGCAACTTCGTCTGCGTTTCATTCCCTCACCTTTTGCAATATTTTTCATTGCAGCTCCGCTCCTATTGGTCGTAGCGTAATGTTATATAGCTTAAAGCCTTCCTCGACAAATGGACTATCCAATACAAAAAGAATTTTTCAATTCGAACCAGTAGTTCCTGAGATTATCGCGTACCAACAAACAAACAAAGAAACTCTTCAGGTTTATAATATTATTATATAAGTATAGATAAATAAATAGGTATAATACCCACCCGAGTAATAGAAGAACACTAGTTCACCAATAAAGCTCTGTGCCGCGATCACGACGCCCTCTATGAGTTTTATTTTCGCCATGTAACCGGTCTCCTCTGCTACTTCCTCCAGAAACCTGCAATTGAAAAAAAATTGTATTTGTTATTTGGTCTGACGACAAATGTCTCGCTTTCACGCCCAAACTACTGAACCGATTTAAATGACATTTGGTAGACAGATAGTCTAGACCCTGAGGAGGGACATAGGCTACTTTTTAATGTGAAAAATAGGGTTGTGAAGGGTTGAAAGGGGAGGTGAAAGTTTGTATGGAAGTATTGTCATTTATAAAGGTAGAAGGTTGAAACTTAATGTTTAGGCAGTTGATTAAATATAAATAAATATGACATTCAAAGTTTGTATAAATGTTACCCTTAAGATGGTAAAATAAAATAGGGGATGGAAGTATGAATAGAAAATAATTTTTCATGCATTATGAGGTATAACATATTGGGACATTATATTTTACAATGACAATTAACTGTATATTGTGAGAGGAATTGAACCCACAACCATTGGTGTTAAGGCGTTGCGTTAAACTGCTACACCACTGGGGGTACATATATAAACATAACATATAATGTAAGTTGGACTGCATTCTCCGCAATTGGCCTCTCATTTGGGCCGTTGTGCGTGTGGAGCCAGGCTACTAAACTAACCAGCCAAGTGCCAAGCTCCTCCCAAAAGCGCAGAGTCTCCTGGTGGCTTCACGAGCTTCACGGAGCGACCTCACCGTTCCGAGGATTTGTTTACGTTGTGTGGTCACTGCAAGCACTCCAGGATTACGTGAGCAGCCGTTTCTTCGGCTTCAAAGCAGCCCCGACAAAGTGAACTGTCAGTAGCACATTGTGTCCAGGTGTTGATTTAAGGGACGGTGGAACATAACATATAATATACTCACCAAAACATATAATAGATAATGAAGCTATCGAAAGTTCCAGCAACAACTGCAAATACTATGAAAAGTACCATTCTAGGGTACTTTAGTAGTGCAAGTAGTGCCTTCCCAGAATCCTCTGGACTGGACAATGGTGGCAACTGTGAATTAGAATAGAATAGCCAATTATGTATTCAAATAAACTTAATTTAAGCACTTTTGAATAGTCATCACATTTTTTTTAATCTACCACTCATTTGGAAAGCTGTCTCATCACAAGAACGAGGAAGAAACTTGTGTGTTGCTCTTTTAAATAATCCTTGTAAGTTCACATTTTACAAGTCAAAACGTGTGAATACAAACTACCAACCAGCACTAATTTATTAGGATTAAATATATCTAAGTTTAAATCAGTCGTAGTGATAAGAGCAGACCAATCCCTACAAGCAAAACTCGTTCACGAGTATGACGGATGAGCCAGCCATCACTGCGCTCGACCATATTTTAGGGAGCCCAATGACTCGACCCACCACGCCGCTACATGTCTGGACATTTTAATAAGCATGACTACTCATTCCACTACGACCACGTCACAGCTACTTAAAATTACTATATGGTAGTTACAGTATTCGCACTTTATATAAGGATGCATGCGGCAATCAATACATATTATGCATTTTTAAGCATCTAGTCAAATCCTATTTTCTCTCTTTGTAAATATGTTTCCTTCTTCTACACTGTTATCTGTGACTTTTTAACTAGTATGATATATTTTTTTTTTCTGGTTTATATGTGTAATATTTGATTATGTATAATTATTTGATGTATACTATATTATTATATTATATTATTGTGTATTCATATGTATGTATATATATGTAAATTTGTGTATGTACTATATTTTATTTTGTTTACATAAGTGTATACAATTTTTGTGTTTCCACTAATGCGCCACCTACTCTATTTTTTTTTTGTAAATACTCTCTTTCCAAAGGTTGTCTGTAAGAGATTGCATTAGCGATAAGACCGCTTTTGTACTGAGTTTTTTTTTTTGTTTTTAATTTGTTTATGTCCTTTATATGTTGGTGCAATAAAGTGTTATAATTTAATTTAATTTAATTAATTTATTTAATCCAAGATGTACTTACGCTCAATTTCTTGCAGCTGATCAAATCAACAATAGTAGCCAATATGGCTATTATAAAAGCGGGTGTGAAGTCCTTCACCCCATTTCCGGAAACTACATCTACGAGCCAACCGCCCAGCAGGGCCGTTACACCGTAGCCAATTGTGCCCCAGGCTCGTTGGGCACCGTATTTGGAACTACGTTCCGCTCCTGAAATTATATTTATTTACGTCATACTAAGCAAGCTTTAGAGTTTGCCAATATACCCTGATGGAATAAAGGAAATTGTATACATATAACCCACTCAATAATTACACATTCATTCATAAATCTAAGAGCTCCACTGACTACCGACACCGACGACCGAGATCTAGAAGAGACGAAAACTAGAGAGATCTAGAAGAGCTCCACCGACAAGAGAGTTCTTCTAGAGCCACTTTCTACGATCTTCCATACTCTTTAAACCTTGAACGCCACGACTCCAATTCTGTCTTTCATTTGCTTGATGTAGCTGTGCCCTGGTCTTCCTCTCCCCCTCTTTCCTTCTATCTTTCCCTCAATAAATTATTTCATAAATTCATCGTGCCGTATCAAGTGTCCTAACATTTTCCTACAACAACATCTGCCTTTTTTCTTTCACCCTGTGCAATACTTCTTCTTTTCTTATTTTACTAATTACACATGGGAAAATATCTTAATTTTCCATACTACATAAATAATCTACTGCCATCCTACGAAACTCCAACAAATTACAAGTAAATATGTCTAGATCTGGAAAGCGACTAACTACATAGGGACGGACAGACAGCGACAGCGACTGTTTATACTATACTATATTTATTATATATTATATACTATAAGTATTGTCTGTCATTTACGTATGAGTAACAAATGAACACACTTACCCAAAACATCAAAACATATTGCGTCTCCTATACAGTTGGCTACATTGAAAGCCACAGTTCCAATACACGTAAGAATAACGAACGCCCAGAATGTGACGGTCATATAAAAACTGCCATCACCCTCATCATCAACATTCGACGCTTGTTTCGACACGTTCACTAAATCCGACTCGTTCATTAAATGTGACTCATTCATTAAATGTGTCTCATTCGTTAAATGTGTCTCATTCGTTAAATGCGTCTCGTTAATTAAATCTGATTCATTCATTAAATGCGTTTCGTTCATTATTTGTGAGTCATTCATTAAAAGCGTCGGGTTCATTAAATGCGTCTCATTCATTAAATTTGACGTATTCATTAAACCCATGTCTGAAAATAGTTGTTTCGCTGCATCTTCTATCACATTATTTAACGAATTAGAAACTTCTCGTTTACTCCTGTTCATTTCTGCAAAATGCTCGTCGAAACACAACATATTGCAATTCTTGATCGGTGTACATATTACTTGTCCCGCTCTCGCATCATCAAACCCCATATGCAAGAGCGAGCACGAGTCGTTCGTCACTTGCGCGTCAATGTAAACGGTGTTTACGAATGTTGAGTTGGAGAGAAATACATGAAAATCGTCTCCTTTATAACAGTTCCATTGGCAAGTGTATTTGTCTAGGAACGGATCGTTGTTGTATTGTTTTAAATAGATCGTTTCGTTCAGGTTGTATATGTATTCGGTTATAGGTGGGTCAGTTGTCTCTGGTTGCTCCGGCATGGGCAAGAACCATAAAAAACAGTACGATCCTGTCATTATTACAATTAGGAGCATGAATACTAATTTTCTGTGAGCCTGAAAAATAAATAGGTTCAGTTTTTTTTTATTTACTAGTGAACGGGTGCTGTTTGTTCTACTCTGGTCACATTGCTTTTATTTTGTTACTCGACTATGTTTAGTCCATGTGGAATTTAAAAAGTAGTCTAAGTAAAACTGCGAGTAAAATCCCATTAAAATAGTCGTTTCAGAGATTAGATAGAACAGACAAACAAGTGTTTTAATAATTTTTTGATGATTTACTGTATATACTTTCATATGCATTTAGTGAAAAGTTTTGAAATTACAAAAAGACACTTCAATGTTATTTATTCGTATAAATGCAGTCTGTATCCAAATTCTGGAGTAGTCATTTGCTCTCACAATAGCTATTATTACAAGTGTTCATCAGGGGGAAGTGGATTGTTAGTAATGTGGACTAATAACCCCATTGCTAGGAAAGACCATGTCAGCACCACCACGCGGTTCCCCCTAGAAACCATCGTGGTAAATTACCATTTGCCAAGTCCTGACTTCATGCTCATCTTACCATCGTCCACTGGTGCCCCGCCAGCGTTAACCGTTAGATGCATCATTTCATTATCATCTATACATATATATAAAATAATATTGTTGTAATATTGAAATAACCGTTTTTTACTGCATGCATATGAATATAAATACGGTACATCACGAAAATAACATTTATTACAATTTTTGTCTGTCTGTCTGTCTGTTTTTCCGGCTAATATTTAAAATAGCTGGACTGATTTTGACGGGACGTTTTTGGCAGGTAGCTGATGTAATAAGAAGTAACTTAAGCTACTTTTATTTTAGAAAAACAAAGTTAAATTCCACGCGGACGAAGTCACGAGTACAGCTAGTCTATAATATAAAAAATAGATGTTCATCGACCGGAGAGTTGTACAAACACTTACCGGCCAGTAGTCCACTACGTAGCCAAACAACGGCTTCGCTACTGCCCACAGCAGGGGTAACACCGCTGTCACCAGTCCCATGACCCCCGGTGATACCCCCAGCTGACGGCCGAATACATTGATTTGGGGTAAGAGTGGACCAAGAGCTGTGAACAAAATTATTTATTTATTAATTACAATCGGATACTTATGATTTCTATTATATTATGGGGTAATCGTGGACCTACGTGGAGATTTGAGAACAATGTTATTTATTTATTTAATTTGGATACTCATTATTAATATATTATGGGGTAACAGTAGACAAAGAACTGTGAATAAATTTATTTTCTTACTAGCTAACCCGCGCAACTTCGTCTGCATTACACTTGCATGACATTTACCATCATATCTTTTAAAATATAGCCTATGTGACATTTTGATATAAGCTATATTACTGTAAAGTTTCATCATAATCCGTTCAGCAGTTTTTGCGTTAAAGAGTTATAAACATTCATCCATACTCACAAACGTTTGTTTATAATTTTATTAAGATTAAAAAAAAAGTTATTTATTTATTTCATTCAGATACTCATGTTCTATATTATGTTATGGGGTAACAGTGGACCAAGATCTATGAATTCATATATTCATAATCATTTATCAAGAGTCTTAACTAATTAGTTACTTGTGATTGTGTATTTAATATTTTGACTCTAATGAATAAGTGCTAGTTGGTAGTTTTTATTCACACATTTCAACTTAAAAATGTAAAGTTACAACAATTATTTAAAAGAGCAACACGCAAGTTTATTGATTTATATTATTATTAATGTAAATTTAATTAGAGTACTTATTGAATTAAAGAAAAACTCTTTATTGTTCCTCTGACAGAAGGAAAATAACAATTACATAAATTAATATGTATAGCAAGAGAAAACATTTATTTGTGCGTGTGTGTTTATTTGTACCTATGTATTTGTAAAATAATTAAAAATGATATCCAAGGTCATGACATCGAAGCTGCAGTCTATTTATAATTATTTCATCCATCTATCAGATATAGCAGTACTACAGTGTGTAGGGAGAAAGGAATTGTTAGCAATGTGAATTAATTACTCCATCCCATAATGTACCACGACAGGTTGATGTCCACGCAGTACCCCCTGGAAACCATCATGATAAATTCCTAGTGAATTTGATACGATGGGCCAACTGACCTGACCTCATACACATCATCCTCCACTGGTGCCCCGTCGTAAATCTATCTATACATATAAATAAAATCGGAGTGTCTGTTTGTAATATTGAAATAACCGTTTTTTACTACATGCATATGAATATAAATACGGTACATACACCAAAATATTTTTTTTTACAATTTTTGTCTGTCTGTTCCGGCTAATGTCTGAAATGGCTGGACCGATTTTGACGGGACTTTTTTTGGCAGGTAGCTGATGTAATAAGGAGTAACTTAGGCTACTTGTATTTTAGAAAAATAAAGTAAAATTCCACGCGGACGAAGTCGCGGGAACGGCTATCATAGATAAAAAGACAGTACATTATAGTCTGTGATGCTGGGTACAGACCGCAATAAGATGGAGCCTTGAATCTTTATCATTAATTGCAGTCACTTTAATCTCGATAGAAGGGAAATGTTTAATAAAACAATTAAACGTCTTAATCGTAGCCAGTTCAAACAATTACCACTTAACATACTGCGTTCTAGAGTTTATTGTATTTATTCAGATCTTATATAACGTTAAGAATTTTCCCAATTGTAATGTTTTATAATTTTCACATACAATGCTGAATTCTAATATCAGGTTTAACGCGCATGAAATTTGTAACAAACTACAGTAATACATCAGAATAACATTCTGACGTATAAGCTATATTACTGCAAAGTTTCATCAAAATCAGTTAGTTTTTGCGTGAAAGAGTATATTAGTAAGATGAAAATTTCGCGGACGGATGAGTATGAAATTTCCCACACTTATAATTTATATAGAGGCGTGTAAAATGCATTTTTTTTAATTATGAATAAAAGTTACATTAATCCATAAAAAAACTCACTACCATGTATTTGACACGCATAGAAGTAGTCTTTGACAATAGAACCTTACTAATGTCGAACATTCGGTGACCACTACTATATATACACAATTTCCTAAATAAGAACTGAAATGGACTGTATAAAGTCTATTATTATTAAAGATCAAATTATCACTACCTTCAGCTGACGAGTATCCCATCACATTACATGCCTTGACAACCTCTGTGGTGTTGTTTAGCATGCCGCCCTACTTCCGATGGTCAAATGTTTTTTTTTTTTTTTATATTTAAATACATTTTTCCACAGTCATATTCGTCCGTGCCTTTTTTAATTTACTTTAATATTATAATATTGATTTAATTTCCATTTTTGTACAACTCCAGCCGAGATGTTACAATTTGCCTAACAGTGACACCGAGGCAGACCTTATCCGTCTGGCCCAGAACCACCGCTGGCCGGCCGGGTGAGTTGACAACATGCAGTGTCACCCATCTTTATTTGGAAGATTAGATTTATCAATATGCATATACATGTGGTCAAATGATGATGGTCAAATGTTCGATTTCTCGCACGGTACAAACTTTTGTAGTCATGAGTGTGATTGTTTGTATCGGTCTAGGTGTTTTCTATGTATAATATTATAAAAAAAACTATATCTATGTATTTGTATCAATTATCCATAACACAAACTTTAGCTAGCTTAACTTGGGTCGAGATGGCGCTGTGTGAGTTGTTCCGAGATTATTATTATTTTCATACAGCTGACAATATTATTTATTCAAAATCTTTACTTAATACGTCTGTTAAATCATATTTACTGAGCAAAGCCTATAACTCAATAAACGATTACTTGAATAACGAGCGTGCATGGCAATAGTTGTTCATGCACGGGATTTTCATTTAATGTTAGACATAGACACCTATATAAATATACATTGTTAATAAACTGGCTTTTAAAAAAAAGTACTTCAATTGAGTTTCTTGCCAGTTCTCAATTGGATCTATACTGAACTGGACGGTAGGGAAAAATCATATTCATAAGCGGCTAAAATGCCCTACATGAATAAATTATTTTTGAATTATAATTTGTACATATATTTTAGCATAAATTAATGTCCGCGCCACTGTCTGTTCGTTTCTGTCTTTTACTGGAAACCAGATCACCCAAATGATGAAGGAGGACTACTGGCCGAAGGGTGTGGTGTATCGGCGCTACCATGGCAGATTGCCGTCGTCAGTGCCGTGACCACATAGATAAGATCAATATATTAGTTTTAAAATATTGTTTCATATGTTAGTCTATAAGGTATTTACGATATGGGCCTAAATGATTGAAATTAAATAAATAATAATTGACTCGACCTGGCTCACGAGGTGACCGAAATGTGGGGGGTGATATCCACCGAAATCATTCTAATCGTTATATCGGTAAACAGTCTTATCCCCAACCAGTCTGGAACAACATTTCAGACGGTTGGGATTCCGAGAAAGATCACTCCCGGGAAAGATGCAGAAAGCGGTGCTCTTAGATTCTGCCCGCATTACGGTTTCTCTCCCTGGGGCCTTGAACCCCGGCCGACTGTGCTTCTGCCGGGGGTTTGTTGCCATCTCCTCTCCTTAAGAGGGGAGATGTGAATTTTATTACAGTTTAAAAAATAACAATAATCATTGTTCGCTTGCCAAATTCTGTAGATAATTTAAAAATGATCAATCGAGGCGTGATCATGACTGGCCGTGTCATTATGCAATTTCGGGAGGAAGTGGCGGGGCCTTCAATCTCGCGCATGATGCTGCGTCACAGTATTATAAACTACACGTGTATATCTCGAGTTGAAAACATTATTACGATATTTTCTTTACTGGCAACTTATTTATTTTTTATTTATTCGGAAAGCAACTCTATCTATTGCTGAAAAGTGCATTAAAATTAATAAACAGCGGCTGTGACTTTGTTTTATACCAGGGATGTTAGGGAGCTTCGTTACCGTAAACGAAACTATCGGATATCCGATATAAAAAATATTCGTAACCGGAACCGAATCCGAAATAAAAGTTTCGGATAACATCGGATAGGGGCCCTAATTGAGACACGTTATGTAACCATTTTATTAGCTATTTATATTTTACTTTTGAAATTCCTTAAAGAAATAATATCCGTAGCCGAAATTATTCGAAACTAACGGATAATCCGAAATAATTCACATCCGCATACGTATCCGTATCCGGTATAATAATCATTCCTATATCCAAAACCTATCCGTATCCAAAATTTCATATCCGGAACATACCTGTTTAGTGTTAAGATTTTGATTAAATAAAATTAACAGCTGGATAATAATAATAATATAGTTCAGGATAATTCACACAGTGCCATTCAGTTCAGCGGGTTCAATTCCTCGATACAAATATATATTCATGAGTACGATTGTTTGTATTATGGGAGGAATCGAACCTGCGACCATCTGAAGTAAGGCTCTATAATAAACCTGTGTACCATTCAGACATCCTTACTTAATATTATAAATGCAAAAGTATAAGTCTGTCTCGCTTTAACGCCAAAACTACTGAACCGATTTAAATAAAATTTGGTATACAGATAGTCTAGACCCTGAGGAAAGACATAGGCTACTTTTTAATGCGGAAAAACAGTTGAAAACTGATACAAAAGGTTGTGTGAAAGCATCGTCATTTTTTAAGTAGAACGATGATTCTTTTTATGGGTTATAATCTAACTAACCATATAATTTTTTTTTATTTGGTCAAGGTCATAATAGCGGACGAAGTCGCGGGCTCAGCTAGTACGGATATATAGATGTCATAATTTTGTTTTATCACAGTGATTACTATTATGTTTATCACATTATAGTCGTACCTAACAATTATTAAGATATAAGATATTTCCGACAATTTTATGATAGTGTAATAAAGATATATAAAGATTATAATGTAACCATCCTGACTATTTTTACCGAGTTAGTACTTTTTCTTTTATTTGTTTAATATTTATTTAACGATCTCGCTGGTCTACAGGTTTAACACACGGCATTACTTCCGATGATCACGGAGGAAAAAATTCAAGACAAAAGTTTATATGTATAATACATGTACACCCGTGTGAAGCCGGGGCGAGTAGCTAGTAGACAATAATGAAGAGGTACTGTAGTTTACTTTGTAAATACTCACTTTCCAGAGGCTGTCTCGAAGTGATTGCATTAGTGATAAGACCGCCTTTTGTACTTAGTTTTATTATTTGTTTGTTTTATTATTTGCTTTCTTGATTTAATTATTTTAGAAATATGAAAGCGTAGCAGTTTTTGTATTGATTGCCGCATGCATTCTTATGTAAAATGTGAATACTATAACTATCAGATGGCAATTGTAAGTAGCTTTGACGTGGTCTAGTGTTTTGAGTAGTCATGCTCACTTAAATGTCCAGTCTTGTGGCGGCGTGGTGAGCCGGGTCATTGGGCTCCCTAAAATATGGTCGAGCGCAGTGATGGCTGGCTCATCCGTCATATTCGTGAACGGGTGCTGCTTGTAGGGACTGGTCTGCTCTAATCACTATGACTGATTTCCTCTTATCAATTGTTTAACCAGTTGGTTATATATTCAATATTTTTTCTATTTGAGTATTTAATTGAATTACTAATTGGTGGTTTGTATTCACACACTTAAACTAAAAATGTAAGAGCAACACGCACGTTTCTTGCTCGTTCTTCTTGTGATGAGACAGCTTTCCGAACGAGCGGTAGATTAAAAAAATGTAATGACTATTCAAAAGTGCTTCAATGTAAGTTTATTTGAATAAATGATTTTCTATTTAACTAGCCAAAACAGAAGCGAAACCGACCTGGCTACGCACGGATGCAGTACAAATTTGCAGTAAAACTTTGAACGTCTCGGCTTGTTCTAAACTATAGCACGCATGTATTATACATATAAACATTCCTCTTGAATCACTCTATCTATTACTGAAAACTACATTAAAATACGTTGCGTAGTTTAAAATATATAAGCAGCGAACATACAGCGAAATCGACTTCATTGACGACCTCGGTGGTCTAGCGATCTAGCACAACGCTTTACGTCCGATGGTCGCGGGTTCGATTCCTCGCACGGCACAAACATTTGTATTCGAGAGTGTGGTTGTTTGTGTCGGTCTGAGTGTTTTCGTCTATGTATCTGTATCAGTTATCTAGTACCCATAACACAAGCTTTAGCTAGCTTAACTTAGATGTACAAAGACACTGGTTTTCAATACAATTGTTAGTTCTAGTAATATTTTTTATGACTAGTATTGAAGTAACAAATATTACGAGATATATGGACCTACATTCTACCTACATACACCTACATTCTACATAATATAGACCTACACATCACTGTGCTATTAATTGTAATAATAATAATAAATCCGAAAATTCCTGGAAATAAATGTAAATGACAAAACACCTATCACATAACTTAAAGGGCTCACAATATGTATTTGTGTTGCGAGTGTAGTGTAATGTAATTAAAAAACTCAAGTGTTTCAAGTCGCCGATACAGCTCATCAACAAACTATAATTTTGTGCAATTTGGGTGAGTTCCTTAAGTTCCCTTTTCCTTCGATCACTGCAGTGTGGATAAAAACTACATCAGCGCCTAAGGTGTTACAGAAACATTAAGAATTGTAACACTAGCTATACTGGTATAATAACAATATAATATCTAAGGATAAACTCACACAGCGCTATCTAGACTCAAGTTAAGCAAACCTTGTGTAATCGGATTAAATATTATACATAGACAACACTCAGACCGATACAAATAATCATACTCATGAATACAAATGTTTGTACAGTGTGAGGAATCAAACCTGTGACCATTATAAGCAAGGTGTGCTAAACCTCAAGACCCTGACACTGAATTATTGCTAGATCTGTCTGTAATGCAAATAAATGACTTGCTCATCAGAGAGTTCTTATGGATGACAATGAATGCTGCATCTACCTGCACTGATGGTTTATACTGGCGGGTCACCAGTGAAGGATGATAGGATGAGCATGAAGTCAGGTCAGTCTTTGGGCCAAATTTAAAGAACTTTACCATAATGTTTCTCAGGGAAGGCTTAGTGGAGGCTGACTTGTCATAATACATTAGTTATGACTGAATCCACTATACCCATTACTATTAAACCCATTTCCCCTTTTGTTTTTAATATTATAATTATTGAATTTTAATTACAGTTTAATAGAATTAATTATTTCTTAGAATTTTATTATCTAAATATTTATCACCTGATAAGCATCAATATATTTACGTAAGTAACAGTGATGGAGTGGAAAATAAATAATTAATATATAAATAAATGACTTAAAAATCTAATCAATTTAAAAAATATACTCACCAGCAAAGAAGAAAAAAAAGTGAACCTTGATAGGCAAAAGACCTTTGTCGACTTTAAACTTCATTTTCTTTTAATACAGACAAAGACTTGTTACATTTATTTTAAATGAATTATTTATATATATTACACAAAAGATTACTGTTTACAATATTTTAACACTGTTCACGAGTACATAGCAACGAATTTAAAGGTCAGTGACCGATAATTATATTCGCGAACTCGTACAACCACTTTCGCTCTTGTAACAATATCAAATGAATAGGAATTTAAATTTTATTTACACAACAAAGCGATGAAAACAGATATCAAAAATGACAAGTGACTGCGAGACGGCAAGTAAATAATAGCACAGAGCAGACAAAACGGACAGAATTAAAAACAAACTAATTTTGTTCCAAGAGCGAGACTTGAAGAGTAGTGTGCCTATATCATATTTACAGATAGTGCTCTGTGTCAAACTATTGTACTAATTAATTTTATTAAAATTAATAATAACGACATTTGTTCAATATTAGGTCATACAAAAAATGTAATACATCCATTGCTAATAATATAATTTTCATAAGTATTGTTTAAAATCCAGTAAAGTATTAAAAGTATGGAGATTTTTAGGGGTATTAAAAATATGACACACAAATATCATGTTTTTTAAAATTACAAATAAACTATTATTACAATAAGTATCTCAAAACGTTTAGATTTCTAAAACTAATTTCATGTCTGAAATGGTTTTATAGTGATTGTCAGATAATACCTTTCTATAAATAAATATTATAGATAAGTACGTACCGTGTAGAGTGTAATATTTAAGTGATACAGTATACTCTTCCACAATAGAAAATATGTGCTAAAACAATTTGAAAATGCTAAGAATGGCAACATTGTAAACGAGAACTGACAATCCAGTTCAACATGATAAAACAAAAAAAACGAATGTCAAAATTGTTAAATTATTCTGTACATTATAACACAATGACGCCCTCTATCTGGATAAATTAACGATTTAGCAAAAACGCATATTTATCACAAATAATACTTCGTTAAGTACAGCATTTGCAATGTAAATATACATGCAAAACGTCCAATTACATTATATGACCATCAAAGCAATGATAAAATGTTTTACTAAATAAAACCCGCCAAGTTTAATACGCATTTGGCATTTCTTATTAATTAATTGACTAGTATTTCAATCAACGGGTTTACTGCAATTTTTAGGCCTTTCGATGTTTCGCTAAACTTTTGTAATCTATATTTTTATACGATATTGTATAAAAATATAGATTTTTAAATTTTATTTAAATATACATGGAATCGATATTGTTTTTTATTTAGAACAACACTGTTTTAGTCGATCGTCAATTATTTAAAATATTTGAAAATGTCCTCCTTTGTAGAAATAGTTGTTGCAGTTTATTAGAAAAGTGATTTAAAAAAAACTGAATAATGGATGAGGAAGAGATTGTAGGTTGTATCAGTTGCATGGGCAGCAGCGATTTATGCGACCTATTTGCTGTTTATTCAGAAAATGAAGATACCTACGCGAAAATGTTCGAAACCTGTTTCGATATAAAGGTTTTAGTTTTTAATACTTTTTATTGTTGGTATATATACTAAAATTTAAAAGACGTATTATTAAAATACATTCTCTAATTCGTGTTATTAAATAAGAAATATTAAACTTCGTTCAAGTATATATTCTTATGTACCTAACCATTTTTTATATATACCGAGTATACCAAACTCCAGGTGTTACTTAAAAATAAACCACTTTCTTCATGAAATAAAGTAGAAATTTGAAAATTATCTTTGAACTTTTAGTACTAAAATGATCGTGTGACCGTAAATTATAAATGAGTTTAAAAAAAAAATTAACTAGCTGCAACCGCGACTTCGTCCGCGTGGAATTTAACTTCATTTTTCTAAATTAAAGTAGCCTAAGTTACTCCTTATTACATCAGCTACCTGCCAAAAAAAGTCCCGTCAAAATCGGTTCAGCCATTTCATAGATTAGTTGGAACAAACAGACAGACAGACAAAAATGGTAAAGAATGTTATTTTGGTGTATGTACCGTATTTATATTCATATGCATGTAGTAATAAACGGTTATTTCAACATTACAAACAGACACTCCAATTTTATTTATATGTATAGATGTACAAGTTCTTTAGGAAAGTCTTGATCACCGGCTTTCTGCTTAGTGTACACTTTTCAACTTACCGTATACATTTTTTCGTTCAATTTTTAGGTTACAAATGGTATGAAATATTTATGTGCAATATGTATGGAAAAATTAGAAGCAGCAAATTTATTTAAAGAACAAACAATCAAAAATATGGCTGTCATACATAATATTAAAGGTAAATAACCTTCTAGAATCTTCTAGTTTAAAAAAATAAAATATCTGAATAATTATTAAAATGTTTACAAGTTTTAAATTCCCGCGCTTAAATCATCGGCGCCATTTTGATTATGTATCTGTAATTAAATCGTTTATTACTTTTGAACGTTTTAAATTACAACTGTGTTGAAAAAGAATTTACTAATTGTATTTTTGTAGTTTTTAATGGAAAAATATGGAACAAAATCCTGTTAATTCATGGCGGATGCACCGTCTGCTCTAGGAGTTGGCCTTCAGCCGCTCCAAGTCCTTCCGCCCGTTTGGAGTGCCATCTGCACACGCCCTCTATCGTCCGGTGAAGCTGTATAGGCCAGCTGCGGCCAACAGCATTCGAGTAGCCAGAAAGTGTTACATATATCGATAAAGTCAAACGCTCCGTCACACTGACATGATTGTTCCAAACCATGCTTACGGTAGACTCCACTAAACAGTAAAGTAAATATACCAAAAGGACTCCACAGATAAAAAAACCTCCTATTTTAAAGTAATTTGTTCAGACAATAATTGTTTTTTAAAACGTCAAAGATCGCAATGAAAAATCTTATTTCTCACAGTAACCTGCATTTTTTATTGTTAATTACGTATATTGTTTTTTAAATATGTTTTTATGTACATTAATTAGAGGTAGACATTATTTAACCCCTTTCATTTATTTTAATTAAAGTGCCCACAGGTGATCGCTCGGTCTCAACTTCCGTTGCGGAGTGACCCACCGGTGGGCATGCGGTCTTTAACGTGTTAATTGGTTTTTAAAATTCACTTTAATACTTTGTTAATGAGTATTAAACTCTGCTTTGTTCCGCAGAAGAGTACTTAGACGAATCCATACTGGAGGAGGCAGAGTCTCAGTCTCTACATAAGACTAAAAAAGACTCTGACCTCAATTACTATAATGAAGGTAACGGATCGTAGATAGATAGATAGCTTAGATTTCTTTGAACATTTACAGTGTAGATCAGTGTTTCCCAAAGTGGGGCCCACACCCCACAGGGGTACAAGTTATGGGGGCGATTCGAAAATGGCCTCTTTATTACAATTATATGGAATATGAATTTCTATTTTCATTATATGTTTAGAAAATTTACTCATAAACAATTTTTTAGTAAATTCTTCCTAAAACGTATTATTAAGTAAGTTAAGTGAGTGAAACTTAGTGGATAATTAATTTTTTTGTATGTTACTTCATTACATAGTACAAACCAAAGTCGCTGTCGCTGTCTGTCCGTCCCTATGTAAGCTTAAATCTTTAAAATTACGCAACGGATTTTGAAGCGGTTTTTTTAACAGTCTTGCACACCGCTTTACATCCGATGGTCGCGGGTTCGATTCCTCGCACGGCACAAACATTTGTATTCATGTGTATGATTGTTTTTATCTTATCTTCTGGGTTTTTCTATGTATAATATGTAGGTATGTATTTACGAAAAAAAATCTATGTACTTGTATCAGTTATCTAGTATCCGTAACACAAGCTTTAGCTAGCTTAACTAGGGACTACGCTGTGTGAATTGTCCTGAGATTATTATTTTATGACTTCACTTTACTATATAAAGATATTTAATTTTATTCATACGCTTTCAATAGTGTTATTTAAAAAAAAAATAAGAACCTCCATTTTTGAAGTCGGTTAAAATGTACGGGCGGTTCCTCGCAGGGGACATGGATGACGAGCACGCGATACAAGCTCTGGACGAGACCACCTGCATCTACTGCAACCTGCAGTTACCATCGGTTGAGGAGGTCCACGACCACGTGAGGTCCGTGCACGAGTTGGAGCCCAGGACGGGGCTGAAGCTGCGGGAGTGTACGCTCTGTGGGATCCCCATGAGGGATCCTGATGATCACATGCATAGGTTTGTTTCTTATCTTACTTTTTGTTTGTCTATTTGACCTCTCTCGTTAGATTGTGTTGATAGGCGTAATACTTTAGGGTAAAGGAGAAGAGGCCGATAAAACGTGACATTGTATAATAAGGGATAGGGGGAGGGGTCGACAAAGTGTGACATAACAAGGGGTAAGGGCCGATAAAGTGTGACATTGTATAATAAGGAATAGGGGGAGCGGTCGACAAAGTGTGACATAACAAGGGGTAAGGGCCGATAAAGAGTGACATAACTAGGGGTAAGGGCCGATAAAGTGTGACATTGTATAACAAGGGGTAGGAGGCGAGGCCGATAAAGTGTGGCATTGTATTATAAGGGGTTTATTATCAATGGATGATAATGGAATGGTGCTCCCGCCTGCGCTATCGGTATACGCTGGCGGGGCACCAGTGGAGGATGATAAGAAAACATGAAGTCAGATCAGTTAGCCCAACGTGACAAATTCACCAAAAATTTATCACGATGGTTTCCAGGGGGAACCGCGTGGAGGTCGACCTGACAATGGTATATTGCTAGCAATGGGATCAAAGTCCACATCACTAGTAATCCACTTCCCCCTTTATAAGGTATTTATATGGGCCACATGGCCTTAAACACAACAAAAAATAAACTACATAGCTTTAAATACAACAAAAAATAATGGGTAGTCAGTTGACTGTACCAATTGCCTTCTGCATCATCAGGTGTCATGGTATGAAGTCAGACTGTGATGGTAGACAGTATCCGTGCCATTTCTGCGACAATATATACAACAGCAAGAAGGCGTGCTTCACTCACCTGCGGATGAAACATGGACGTTAGTGTGCTTGTTATAAGATTTAAAGTCATTTGTCTTTTTAATGCATAAATCAAATTCCCCCAACTGCGAAATATGCAATACTGTAGAATGGCGTGTTCACATATTATCTGCATCTGTCACATATTAATGGAGTGTGTCCGAGAGGCAGTTAAATGGGAATTGTATTTAAAAAAATTTGGATTGAATCGGTTTCATGTTGGTATGTGGCACGGTATACTATCTCATCTGTTCTGTATCATCGCTGCAAAATTTTTGTTTTCATTGTACAGTAGAAAATGAGATACGATGGGACTGGCATCATCATACTCTCCATCAATACATGACGTGGTTTCAAAGGTAATCATTATATGTAATAGTTGCTTATACATGTATGTATTTGTTTAGGTATATATATGGTTATTTTATTATATTTATAATATAATATTTATTTATTACATTTATTGTATTAATGTTTTCTATTATTATTACTATTATTGTTTGCCACTGTTTTCCCATCCGTACATATATAACAATGTAAATAAGAAATGCACAATTACAAAACTATCCATGCATCAAGTCAAAAAAACTACAAAATGCTGGCTGATGAAACTAAATTATGACGAAACAGAACAAATACTTCCACCTTACGGCTAACACACAGTTCTGCAAAATGAACACACACACACACATATATTCATACATACACACTCATTCACACCAATGCTCACCTTTTCGATTATACATCCACAAATTTATTCCCTACATTTTACACACAAGTCCCATAGCTATTAATACAAAGGGTAAACATGTAAAATGAACACAATAATAAGTCACTCCAGTCTCTACAATACAGGCCTGCGAGCCTAGTGTAGAACTACAGTAAATTAAAATGTAAATGTGTATCATGAATAAATATTATTATTATTGTATTTAGTGTGTGTATGTTTTTTTTTTAAGTATACATTGGTATATCTATGGTTATGTATTACAAAAACTCAAGCACTATCGTTGCCCGCTAACCACCACCTCTGTCACAGCGCTAGGTTGGCTGGAAGAGATCTCTTGCAGAGATAAGCCCGCCCTTGCCCACAATTGAGTATAACTGTCTTTGTCTATTAATGTAATAAGTGCAATAAAGTATATATAAATAATAAATGAATCATATTATGATTTAAAATTCAAAATTCTTTATTTAGATAACACAATTTTACAATTACATTCTACAGTTGTTGAATGTAATTGTTTCCTGTGCCAGGAGGCTCCACTCTTCCATAGGTTATATCAAAACTTTTGTAAAATGTTTCTTGTTTATTATACTATAAATAATTAGTTATATAATTCAATCTTAAAATACATACATTATAGGAATATATATACATGTGTGTGTGTGTGTGTGTGTGTAATCTTGCACAACAGTTTTAGCATTGATAATAATCATGCAGAAGTAATTCAGTTTCATTATAATTTAATGTTTTTATCCACTGATAGATTCAGTATATTTTTACATTCACGATACTTTTTAGGGTATATAGCTAATATGATAAAACTCCCTAAATGCTTGTAAGAATAAAAAAAAGATTTAAAGTCATTTAACTCAACCTGGATGGTGTAGCGGTTAAGCCATCACCAGCGACCATCGGAAATAATGCGGTTTGCATTATTTCCGATGGTCGCTGGTTCGATTCCTAGCAAGGTGCAAACATTTGTATTCATGAGTATGATTGTTTGTATCGGTCTGGGTGTTTTATATATTATGTATTTACAAAAATATATATACATATAACACAAGTTCTGCTTGTGACTGTATGAATTATCCATAGTAAAAATAGAATTTTGTGTCGGTCAGAACTCAGATTTGAACTTACGACATCCCTATCGTAATTCAGGATAGTAAACCACTATGCTGTCCATTGTATATTATTAGCTTTAATTTTACAGTGAAGCTCTGCAATGATCAAATACCGAAGCACATGCCCAGGGAACGGAAGAAGTGTCACATGTGCAGCCGAGACTTCAGCCAGAAGCAAATCCTGAACAAGCACTTGTGGAAAGCGCACGGATTCGAGGTGAGATGATATTGAAACCTTCAAGCAAAGAGCTTATTCCTTGTTAAAAGGCCGACGCACTCGCAATGACCCTGGTGTTGCGGGTGTACACTTACCATCAGGTAAGCCGCAAGCACGTACATGTATAAAAAGAGTTAACCAAGGTACTTGTACTCAAAATTTCTAAAATCAAAGTATCCTAAATTACTCTTTATAACATTAACTATCTACGAGTGATAATCGGCCCATCTGTTTCAAAGATAAGCAAGAAAAACAGATAAAAAACAAACAGACAAAAAAAATATATTTTATGCTGTTTATTGCCTTTTCACTTTATGGGTCATAAAGCTACCTCTGGTTCTTTTATTTGTAGCATACTTATTCTGTCTGTAATTGGCCAATAAAGAATTTATCTATATATTTGTCTCTCCATAAGGTGGAGAAACGTAAAGCCTTCACCTGTCCATTATGTGATGAGAGAGTCAGCTACGGCTCCCACTTCAGCGCTCACCTTCTCCACGCACACAGAGTCTGCGAGCAGGTGGAACAGCTCGAGTTCTACAGCATGGATGGTGAGTTCCATTGTACCTCATATTAGTTCTACTATATCTATACTTTCATTATGATTCAGTTTAGTTCTACAGATGCTTTCATTATGACTCAGTTTAGTTCTACAGATGCTTTCATTATGATTCAGTTTGGTTCTACAGATGCTTTCATTATGATTCAGTTTAGTTATACAGATGCTTTCATTATGACTCAGTTTAGTTCTACAGATGCTTTCATTATGACTCAGTTTAGTTCTACAGATGCTTTCATTATGACTCAGTTTAGTTATACAGATGCTGTCATTATGACTCAGTTTCGTTCTACAGATGCTTTCATTATGATTCAGTTTAGTTCTACAGATGCTTTCATTATGACTCAGTTTAGTTCTACAGATGCTTTCATTATGACTCAGATTCTATAGAAGCTTATATTATGCCATCTCTTACTTTACAGTTTTTTTAATGACAATCAAGCTGACGATTTTATAGGTATTTATACCAAATTTAAATTCGATTAAGTGATTTAGGCGTACAAAATTCTTTGTGTGTTTTTTTTTGTAGAACGACATTGGCAAACAAGCTCATCTAATGGTGAACGATTACGTAGCCTATGGATGTCTGTAACAGCTGGTGTAACTTAAGAAACCTTAATGCTTATGTATACCATTTATGAAAAACCAAAACATGCGTATTAATGTTAAAAATATAACTAATACCAAACAGATTTCTTGCTATTCAAGAGTGCAATACAGGAAGAGACGAAGTTCCGTTTCCGGAAGACCACGGCCAGCAAACAGACGATAGAAGGCGTCAGGTCGCATTACATGTGCAGCCAGTCTGGTGTATATGTATATCAGGTAACTTAACACTTAGCATTACTTACAGCACTTAGCGTCTGATGGTATATATGATAAAATAATCCTGAATAATTCTTAGTTTTCATTTAATGTTGTAACTAATCCTGAATAATGTTTAGATTATATACATTTGAGTTTGTTATTGTCCAATCAAATTAGTTTGTAATCTTGTTATTGTCAATTTTTATGTTTACTTTGTTAGTTGTAGTTTAGAACTTAACTTAATATGCTATCGTCGTCGTCGATCTCACATTGTATTATTTTACTGATAAAGGCTATAACAGAATAGCAGAGAGGGTGGACTCACTGCCCTAACTGAGTTATAGACAGTTTTGTCTCATTCATTAGTTTTAAATTATATTATTGTATGGGCAACAGTTGTATTGAGTAAAAAGTTTTTGTTTGAGACAAATAAAGATTATTATTATTATTATTATTATTATTAATCTATACATATAAATAAAATTGGAGTGTCTGTTTGTAATATTGAAATAAACGTATTTTACTACATGCATAGGAATACAAATACACCAAAATAATATTTTTTTCAATATTTGTCTGTCTGTCTGTTTGTTTGTTCACTGTGATACACTCATAACACTTTTATGTTATTACTAGCTGACTGCCATCAGGAGGAGCTAGTCAGCTAGTCTAATAACATAAAAAAAACTGAATTACTTTCAGGGTAAAGGTAAGCGGCCAGCTCCCGAGCGTCAGATCTACAAGACGGGGAAAGCATGTCCGGCGCACATGATAGTGACTGAGACCATAGACAGGGTGTTGGTCACGTTCTACAAGACCCACGTCGGTCACGGGCGTAAGTGTCTCTAACAGACTCCATAAGAAACCACAGAATCAATTCTATACTTAGGTCGCTGGTTCGTATCCGGCTCGAAGGACCAAAAAATATAGAGGTTGATCGCTACACTTGGTTGATAATGATAATGTTGTTAATAATATACGGGAATGATTAAATAAAAGATGTCCTTTTCTGAGTACTTGTAATTACACACTGATTTTATTATAATACTTAGTAAAATGCATACTGCTGATTAACTAATGTACATAAATATATATTTGTTATTGTACCTTTAATGCAAATGTGTTATCTATCTATCTACAACCAGCATGCCCTTACTTCGAGCCACGAGAACCCAAGAAACAGCGGCCGGACACGCCCGAACAGGACGTGTTAGAAGATGAGATAAAAGAGGAGAACGATGGCATAGACTCGTATATTTGCGACACGTGCGGTATGGGGTTCCTCGAGAGGGACAAGTTCAATGTGCACGTCGCCAATCACGGCCTGAAGTTGTTCCCGTGTCAGTACTGCGAGGAGGTAATATAAAAGTAGATAGTGCTGTAAGAACAGAGTATGACAGTGTAGGACAAGGTACGGCAGAGTAGGATAGAGTAGGGCAGAATAGGATAGGGTCGGGCAGAGTAGGATAGGGTAGGGCAGAGTATGGCAGAGTAGGATAGGATAGGGTTTAAGTACGGCAGAATAGGATAATATAGGGCAGAGTAGAATAGGGTAGGGTAGTAGAATAGGGTAGGGTAGAGTGTACGTTGGAGTAGGGCTGAATATGAAAGGGTTTTTTTTTAGTGGATGATAATGGAATGGAAACCCGCTTGCGCTAACGGTTTACGCTGGCGGAGTACCAGTGGAGGATGATAAGATGAACATGAAGTCAGATCAGTTAGCCCAACGTGACAAATTCACCGGGAATTTATCACGATGGTTTCCAGGGGGAACCGCGTGAAGGTCAATCTGACATGGTACATTGCTAGTAAAGGCATCATTAGTCCACATTACTAACAATCCCCTCCCCCCGAATATGAAAGGGTTTTTTTTTTTTATTAAAGATGATAATGGAATGGAGCACCCGCCTGCGCTAACGGTTTACGCTGGCGGGGCACCAGTGGAGGATGATAAGATGATCATGAAGTCAGGTCAATTAGCCCATTGTGACAATTTCACCAGTAATTTATCACGATGGTTTCCAGGGGGAACCGCGTGGAGGTCAACCTGACATGGTACATTGCTAGTAAAGGCATCATTAGTCCACATTACTAACAATCCCCTTCCCCCGAATATGAAAGGGTTTTTTTTTTTATTAAAGATGATAATGGAATGGAGCACCCGCCTGCGCTAACGGTTTACGCTGGCGGGGCACCAGTGGAGAATGATAATATGAGCATGAAGTCAGATCAGTTAGCCCAACGTGACAAATTCACCGGGAATTTATCACGATGGTTTCCAGGGGGAACCGCGTGGTCAACCTGACATGATACATTGCTAGCAATGAGATCATCAGTCCACATTACTAACAATCCCCTTTCCCCCCGAATATGAAAGGGTAGAGCAGAGTAGGTTAGGCAGAGTAGAATAGGGTAGGGCAGAGTAGAATAGGGTTAGGCAGAGTAGGACAGCATAGGGTAGTAGACTTGTAGATCTGCGACACGTGCGGCATGGAGCGGGTAAACCAACCTCAGCATGAAACTGTTCCCTTGTGAGTACTGCGAGGAGGTAATGCAACAGGGTAAAATAGGGTGTAACAGAGTATTGCAGTGAGTACAGAGTAGAACAGTGTAGTACAGAGTAAGATAGATTTGAAATTGATTTCATTTAAAGAAACAAATTAATACAAATACATATTTCCATCGTTTTCTTGCAATATATGTTTTTAAAAGTTTGTTGGGCGTTGGCGGGGCATCAGTCGAGGATGATGAGCTTGAGGTCAGGTCAGTTACATCGTGACAATTCCCTACGAGTTATAGGACTCGAACCATAGTGAGGTGGCGTGCTAAACCGCTACTACGGCCAAAGAGACTACAGCAGATTTCACATTTATAACATTAATATTGCTTTTTCAACAGGATTTCCCAGATCTAGACGCTTGGACATGCCACGTTCGGAGCGATCACAAGATGGCGAGCTTATTTGAATGAAGCATACGTTAACAGTACAGACAAATCGACTTATAGACATAGGATCTAGCTAGCTAAATATTTAACAAATAAGATAAATTTTATTGCCAAGTATCACTTTAGGGGTCGGTAAAAAAACCACCCCCAAAAAATATAGTTATCGTTTTTTACGTTCTAACATTGCAAAAAAATCTTTAAAAAATATGTTATAATTAGTTTATTCATACGACAGTCGTATATGGTTTAAAGTTCTTGAAAATCTTGTATAGGTACTGTGAAAAATTAATTTTTCGTCAAGCGTTTTCACCCTCATTATCCCCCTACTATAGGGGTTAGGGGTGTACGATTGTGTGCATGGCTACTTTAGATGAAAATCAAGGTGAGAACACTTTATCAAACGCGAGTGCACTTTTCACTTAACCCTCTAGATCCTTTGCATTTTTATTAGTGTAATCAGTCTCTAAAACCGAAATAAACCAATGCTTTAATAAAAACTTCTTAGCATGCTATGGATTCACTGTGCGGGATCAGGTCTATCGTGACAGAGGGAAATTCCGAGCAGTTCTCGGGACTTGTGACCCGGGTGTCATCATCATCATCATCGCAGCCCGGAAGACGTCCACAGTTGACAGGCTCCCCCAAAGATCTCCACGACGATCGGTCCTGCGCTGCTCGCATCCAATGCCTTCCAGCGATCTTGACCAGATCGTCGGTCCACCTTGCTGGAGGCCTTCCCACGCTGCGTCTTCCGGTCCGTGGTCGCCACTCGAGGACTTTACTGCCCCAACGGCCATCTGTCCTACGAGCTATGTGCCCTGCCCATTGCCACTTCAAAGTCACAATTCTTCGGGCTATGTCGGTCACTCTGGTTCTTCTGCGGATCTCCTCATTTCTGATTCGATCACGCAGAGTAACTCCGAGCATAGCCCTCTTCATTGCCCTCTGAGTGACTCTGAGTTTGTTGATGGGGCCCATAGTTAGCGACCCGGGTGTAGTTTAATATTAATATTAACACTAGATTTAAAAACAAACTTGCTGTCCCCAAGTATCGTTTAGAAAAAGTTAATACGTCTTTTATGAGAATAGGTATAAAAATTTACAACAAGATACCAAAGGATATGTTGGAATTACCCTTAAATAAATTAAAAACATCTGTTAAATCATATTTACTGAGCAAAGCCTATTACTCACTAAACGATTACTTGAATGACGAGCGTGCATGGCAATAGTTGTTCATGCACTGAATTTCATTTAATGTTAGACATAGACACCTATATAAATATACATTGTAAATAAACTGGCTTTAAAAAAAAAGTGATTCAATTGAGTTTCTTGCCAGTTCTTCTCAATTGGAACTATATACCGAACTGGACGGTCGGAAAAAAAAATAGAATGTAAAAATTTGATTTGTTCATAAGCGGCTAAAATGTCCTACATGAATAAATGATTTTTGAATTTGAATTAGTTGTTCGGCAAACGTACGTCAACACTCACCTTCACCGCTCGTGTTTCTCTCCCTGTCCACACAAATCTGGTAGGAGCTGCACTGGTAGCAGATTTAGATACCCGTTCTAGTATAGAACATAATGCAGTTCTAGACAGGCCAGGATATTTTAGGAAATAGAAATAATCTTTATTCAAATAAACTCATTTCAAGCACTTTGGAATAGTCATATTTTGATTCTACCACTCATTCGGAATGCAGATTCATCACAAGAAGAATGAGCAAGAAACTTGTGTGTCGCTCTTTTTAATAGATGTTTTTTTATATAAATAATTACAGTATAACAAGTAAGAGGCATGCGATAATCAACATAGAAGTCGCTACGCACTCATTATTAATGTAATCAGATAATATTGTCAGTGCTATAGATTTAAAGTTTTTCTATAAAAACATTATTATCGTTAACGAATTCTTCAATTTTATAGTAAGCTTTTTTGCAAAGGAACTGTTTTATTTGACATTTAAATCTTTTTTCTGGCAGATTTATAACAGACTCTGGTATTTTATTGTAAAACCTTACGCAATTGCCATAAAACGAATTACTAACTTTAGCCAAACGACATTTAGGTAAAATCAGTTTGTTATTGTCACGTAAGCTTTTATTAGTGCAATCACTAACTCTTTTGAAACTGTCTATATTCCTTCTGGCATAGATGATATTTTCATAAATGTATTGAGAAGCAACGGTGAGGATATTTGATTCCTTAAAACACTCTCGCAGGAGATTGTACATTGCAAAAAAGCCTATTTCTGAAACGGATATTTTTTTCATTATGTACAGACTATTTAACAGTTGAATTTGCTAACCATACACCATACCTCGCGATTGCAACTCTAAAATGGTTCATAGAAACATTTTCGATAACTTACTTATTTCTGTATGTATTCATATGCTAACCGTACACTACTACTACAAACAAATAAATATCTTTAATTTTATTTACCTGTATCGACTTTATAATATTAAGAAAAAAGCTTGTATTCGTTTATGAAATTACTATTTTATTTCACGTGGAATTGAATTTATTTTATTGTCAATACAAATGATATGTTTCTGTTCTCAAATCGATTGTTGTTATAATAAATGTTTTTAAAAGTTCTTTTATTCATTTATGGTTTGCACTGGTTGCATAAAAAAGTAATTATTAGTAAGGAAGTAATTATTTTAGACTAGATGTTCCCGCGACTTCGTCCGCGTAAATTGTCGATACTTCCATATAACCTTTCAATCCTTTTGCGGATTAAAAAGTAGCCTATGTCCTTTCCCAGGTTCTAGACTATCTGTGTACCAAATTTCATTTAAATCGGTTCAGTAGTTTTTGCGTGAAAGCGAGACAGACGGACAGAGAGACACAGTTACGCTACGCATTTATAATATTAGTAAGGACAAGGATACCCCAATAAAGTATCTAATGATTATTTTAATGTATTAAGATTTCTCTTTCTCTCTCTCTCTCACACATACATACACAAACGCACTTCCCGTCTCCTCGTTCTCCGTTCTCTGTCCAATTCAAACGGAAATCGAAATTACGACGGCCTAAGCCGAGGTTCGAACCCCTAGCGGTGCCCTACAAACCATAGTCGTATGCGTCAGGAGAGAGTTGGCCTTCAGATGCTCCATAAGTCCTTCCTTTGGTTTGGAGTGCCATCTGCACCAGCGCCAGCTTCATCGAGCTATAGGGGGCGACCCCTATAGCTCGATGAAGCTGTAAAGGTCACACTACAAGTGAAAAAAACACGCTACAAGTAACTGAGTTTATATCTATTTTGATTTTCTTACTATTGTTTTAGTCAATTGTAAGTCCAATAATTGTAAATTGTAAGTTGAGGGAACTGTTACCTTAAGTACAGATTTCTACTCAGTTTAGGATCCACGGAATAATGTAAAACATAAATACTGGTGAAATAAATGTATTATTATTATTCATGGACTAGCTGTACGCGCGACTTCGTCCGCGTGGAATTTAACTTTATTTTTCGAAAATAAAAGTAACTTAACTTACTCCTTATTACATCAGCTACCTGCCAAAAAAAGTCCCATCAAAATCGGTACAGCCATTGCAAAAAATTAGCCGGAACAAACAGACGGACAAAAATTCTAAAAATGTTATTTTGGTGTATATAATATATTTATTCATGTGCATGTAGTAAAAAACGGTTATTTCAATATTACAAACAGATACTCCAATTTTATTTATATGTATAGATTATTATGTTATGGTTACCGTTACCACAGGAGAGGAGGGTGCTCCAGTGCTAACGGTTTACGCTGGCGGGGCACCAGCGGAGAATGAATAGGATGAGCATGAGTCGAGTCCGGTCAGTTAGCCCATCGTAACAAATTCACTAGGAATTTCCAACAAGTCTGTATTTAAAAATAAAACAAAATATCTTTAAAGTTTTAATATTAGAATAATTTACAAATTTAGTTAGGTACCTAAATTAGGTTTTTAAATTATAGACAGAAATAAGAAAAACAGTGTAAATTATATAATACTAGCTGTACCCGCGGCTTTTTCCGCTTGAAATAGAGGACAAATGACGAATTTACATACAAACTTTCATCCACTATTTTATTAAGAGATTTTTTTACAAACTTTCAATGTCATTTATGTATATTTAGTCAACAAAATAAATTTCAAGCTACTTGTATTAAAAATGACGATATGACTTCCATACAATCTTTTAACTCCCTTTTCAACCCCTTACAACCCTTTTTTCGTAAAAGTAACCTATGTCCTTTCTCAGGGTCTAGACTGTCTGTATACCAAATTTCATTTAAATCTGTTTAGTAATTTTGGCGTGAAAGCACGACAGACAGACAGACAGACAGACAGAGTTACTTTCGCATGTATCATATTAAGTAAGGATAATTTGAAAATTATGTATTATCGCCTACTTCTAATGAACTAGTGAACCGACATGGAGTTTTTTTTTAATTTAATACAACCAATTTTATAGTTGATAATGTAATATGTCTTATGACTATGTACGAGTATGTATTGAACTTACAGTTTTCGTCTTTCGTTTGTCGCGACTTTATCTGGAAGTTATCTTTAAGGAGAGTACGGCGATCCGTTATAGCGTCTCGCCTATAGTTGTAAAAAACCCGTTAGCTACCGTTATTTAACCAAATTTATGGTTAGTTACTGATAAAATGTGGTTATTAACGGTTACGTATCCGACTGCGACAAAGAAAAAGAATATAAAAAATGCGGTTAATTAACCGTTAATAACAATTATGCATTTATAACCGTTTGGTTAAAATCGTTAATAACCAACTTCGCATCTCACCATCTCGCATCTAACCAAACTCGCCTCGTCTCCAGTACGAAGTCGCAATAGACAGATAAACATATTAAGTTTATTACATTTCCTTACATAGTTATAAAATATTGCAATATAAACATAAGTTTTAAAAATAATATGTAATATTATTTTCAGGTAAACCGTGCTCGTATTATTAGGTTCAGCTCCGAAGGTCTATGCGCATTTTTTCTTATTAAAACATAGGGGACAAAAGAGTTTGCGGCATACCTAATGGTAAGTGATTACCTCCGCCCATGAGGACACGCACCAGGGGAATTGCAAGTACGTTGCTGGCTCTTTAAGGAATAAGCTCTATTCTTGAAGGTTTTAATATCGTATAGGTTCGGAAATACCATTACTGGAAGGTAATTTCACATATTAAACTTTTTTGTGAGAATGAGATTGGTAAACAAGCTGGTGGCCTCTGATGGTCACCTGTTGGTAAGCGGTAACCGTCGTCTCCATAGATACAACTGCACTACGGGTTTCATGGTATGATGAGACGTCCTTAATGCTGCCTGCTTGCCATTCAAGATGACTAAGATGTCACGCTTCTTATGCAGTAATTTCATTGGTTTATGTCAAACCATTCTGCTCCTTTGGACTTTATGGAACCAGCCAAAAATCTATCCCCAGATAACGGCTTGCTAGCTTATTTGGAAATTCCTTGATAGACTGCGTATCCAGGTGGGCCGCTGCAGGTACAACTTGGTGAAATGGGATGTCGCTTCAAGGGAGGCTTGCGATTGTGGAGCATTAACACAGATTATGACCCACCTACTGTCATTTTAGACAAAGATACCAAGGTCAGGTCAGAACAGTTTGCTCATCGTGGCAAATTCGCCAGGAATTTATCTTGATGGTTTCCAGGGAACCGCGTGGCGGTCAACCTGATATCGGACATTGCTAGCAATGGGGTTATTAATTCACATTACTAACCATCAATTTTCCCCCTGGGGTAACATTTAGTTGACGTTGAACCGACAGAAGAATCGATTAATTACCAAAGAGAGCGTAGCAAAAAACGCAAATTGTTCGGAAATGAACCTAAAACGATCGGCACTTACATTTAAGACTGTCCTTTCCACAAACTTTACAAATAAATATCTAAAAATATCACCGAATACGCTAAAGTCGTCACAACATTTAGTTGCCGAAAGTTGAACCGAAAGAAGAATAGATTCATTACCAAAGAGGGCAGGGCGTAGCAAAAAACGTGAATAGGTTGGAAATGAACCTACAATTTTAGGCTTTAACATTTAAGACTGCAATTCACAAAACAGTATTTAAACTATAAGAGATCATCAATTCGATATAACTTCACATATTTACATAACTGCATCATCCGCATCACAATCAAAATCAAAATCTACATCCACCTCTTTTTTAATATACATTTTGTCTATACTCTCCCCAGTTTCTTCTGAATCACTGTTAACTACGGCTTCATCGATCACTGCACTAGGTTCGACTTCTATTTCAATTTTTACTTCTATTTTATTGTCTAGCATTTGCAATGGGGCACCTGAATTTACTTGTTTACTATCTTTAACTTCTCTCCCACTTTGTCTATCTCTTTTTGCTGTCCCACTGTCTCTTTCTCTTTTTATGCATGACAGTGGTATACCCTTCGGCTTTTTACACGGAGGTTCTAAATCTTCTTTCCAATCTAACAAATCCTCTAAATTCACGCCTGTTCTTTTTTGTACTTCTAGCATTGTGGATTTCCACCGGAGGTTGTGTTTCGTTAACTTCTCTACTTGCTTCTTTAGTATTGTTATCTCGTGGTCCTTCTCCCGCATCATGATTTGACACATGAGTAGAAGAACGTCCACTCTTCTTTTCACTGGTCTGGTTGGGTCTGTTATATTGTCATCCACCTGCAAATAGCATTATTAGTTTAAGATTACGTACCACTTGATGGTAAGGTTAACCGTCGCCTATATAACGTCGATCATGTAATTTTGAAAAATGCCTTCGAAAATAGCCCCCAGCTTTATAAAAATGCGAGGAATCTAATCCGCTACCATCAGATGTAAAGCGCTTTGCTAAATGGGTCTGTATTCACATTTCTACTTTATTTTTTCGATTAATTATTCTAAGCGTAAAGAAGTAACAATCCATGGTTACTCACAAACCTTCGCGGTTATAATATTAAACAAATAATAAGATTTAGCTTTGGTATGTCGACTTGACTAACTTTGTGTGAGTAACTTGGTCTGCGGATATATAAACCTATACCTAGTATGAAAAGTCGCCGATGGTGTCTGTTCGCTTATACCTTTTAAATTACGCAACGGATTTAAATGCACTTTTCAGCAATAGATGGAGCGACTCAAGAGGAAGGTTTATATGTATAATACATGCATGTTATAGTATAGAAGAAGCCAAGAAATTCGTAATGCCGAATGCAAGCCAGTACGGTAGTCTAAAATAAAACTTACCATAGTTGCCATAACGTCGGTATTCGCTCGACTCAACCTCGCCGCCTTTGTTCTGCTCGCAAGTGCTCGAAACTGTTAAAAATCGGTACGTTTTGGTACACAAATTAATAGCGCTATAAAAAAATAGGGGTTGATGATAGAAGACTGAAAATGTAGGGTTATATGTAATTTATAATGCTGAATCACAAATAAAAAGAAATTTTGCCAAAAAAGTCAAAATATATATTCAGTGACCCTAAATATATATTTTTTATCTTTATCTTATCTTTGAGGGATATGAAAAATAGATATTGGCCGATTCTCAGACCTATCAGAATTACATAAAACAGAACTTCATAAACATAGGTCAAGCCATTTCAGAGGAGTTTGGTAACGAACACCGTGACACAAGACTTTTATATATTAGACATATTGCTACTTTGATTGTTCTGTTATTTACTTACTGGCCGCCGCGACTTGGGACATATGGGTAGATTCCTGCCAACCTTACTAATAACAGGCTGTCCATCTGTAGAATTGTTCAAGTCTCCTGCATTACTATTTGTTACTTGAGAATCAGCGTTTGACCATAGAGAATCCTGTAAACCATAAACCAAATAATTAAACTTGTGGAATTAAAAGCTTTTTTGTGAAACATGTACATCATTATCATCACACTTCATCAGATTGGAAGGTCATAGAGCTTCAGAACCGACACTTGGAATGATCCTACTAATTATGAAGCACTAGCTGTGTCCCTGGTTTCACACGCGTTAACTTTCAATAAAAAAAATATATATTATGTATTATTCTGATGAATAAGTTATATTACTGTAAAGTTTGTCACAATCCGTTCAGTAGTTTTTGCGTGAAAGTGTAACAAACATCCATAAATAAATACTTTTGTATTTAAAGAATACAACCAAGTTGAGATCAGAAACCAAACTGTTTATTTCACATTTACCCTCAATATACATAATTATAAATTGACCTTCTATTAACATAATCAATACATAACATACCTTTCTCTCCTAATGATTGGCTAGCAATATGACTACTATTAGAATATTTATTGAATACGAATAATACTTAATTAATTAATTATCTAGGTAATCTCAATCATAATTTAGATGATAGAAATACATATCAAATCAGTTATTAGATTTTGTAAATTTGACAATAACAATCATTCATTAACACTCATTGGGTATCCCTATAATTTCTGGCCATAATTCAGGAGGTGGAATGACTATGGATGGATGCTGTGATAGCTTAGAGTCAGACTCCTTCATGAGGTGACTGTCTAACTCGGAAAGTGCTCTTGTAGTTGCACTTGCTGGTCTTGCTAGAATTTGGTCTGTATGACGGCGATGCAACTCTCCATCTTCCGTTCTCACCCTGTAAGTTGCAGGTCCTTCCACTATCTCCACAGTGGCTCTGTGCCATTTGTCTCCTGGGCCATACATATGTATCAGTACTGGTTGGTTCACTGTAAAGTTCCGGGCAGGTGGATGGAGTGCTGCCGCTTCACGCTGATGCTCACTACGACTCATAATCGAGTCGGGATGTAGGGCTGAAACTGCAGTTCTATATCTCCGCCCATTGAGTATTTCGGCTGGTGTTTTGTTGGTGGAACTATTAGGAACTGTTCGTAAATAATATAAAACTTTACAGAGCTTTTCTTGCCATGGCCAATTTTGGCATTCCAGTTTTTTCATTTTATTTTTAAAAGTTTGGATAGCCCGTTCTATCTGCCCATTTGTTTCAGGGTGATATGGTGGTGAATACAAATGTCTAATTCCATTATTTTTCAAAAAAAATATTGAACTCCTCAGATGTAAAGGCGCGTCCATTATCAGAAACTAATACATCGGGAAGACCTTGCGACGTAAAGATTTTTCTAACAACATTTATCACCGTACCACTATTCATTGAAGGCACTATTTCAGCTTCAAACCATTTACTGTAGCTATCTACTAGGACTAAAAATGTTTTCCCCTGGAAGGGTCCTGCGAAATCAACATGTACTCGACTCCAAGGCTTTTCCGAGACAATCCAAGATTGTGGGTCTTTTGGTGGCTTATTTCGTACCAGTTGACATTGTTGACATGAGGCTACAACGTTCTCAATCTGACGATCCATATCCTCCCACCACACGTACCCTCTTGCATATGCTTTGGTTTGAACCATGCCTGCGTGTGGTGCATGCAACAATTTTAACACCTTCTCCTGTAAGGATGTCGGTATTATTACTCTATTACACCATAATAAACAATCTTTATTATGCGAAAGAGCTTCTCTCCTTGTCCAATACGCTTGTAACCTCAAATCTGTGTTTTTGCGCGGCCAACCATGCAACACATAGAACATTACTTTTTGCAGAACCACATCTTTTTTGGTCTCCTCAGCAATTTTACAAGCATCCAGTTGCCACTCGCTCAATTGTTCTTCCATCAACAACATATCTCTGGTCTCTTCTGTCTTTATGCATGATGTATTCGGAGCAGTCCATCTGCTTAAAGCATCCGCATTTCCAATTAATTTACCTGGTCTGTACTTTATTTTGTAATCATAACATGCTAGTTTTAGTGACCAGCGTAGCATTCTAGGTGAAATTTGCTCCGGTATAGGTTTTTCTGGATTGAATAGACCAACTAATGGCTTATGATCCGTCACTATAATGAATTTACGACCTGATAAGAACTCATGGAATTTAGTCAATCCAAATATAATTACCAAAGCCTCTTTATCGATCTGACCGTACCGCCTCTCATGGGCTTGTAATGTTCTTGAGGCCATCATCACCGGTCTTTCTGATCCATCCTGCATAACATGCGCAATAATTGCTCCTAGTCCATACTCCGAGGAATCACATATGAGAATTAGTTCTTTCTGCAAATCATATCCCACCAGCGTGAGATCCGAAGACAGTAAGCGTTTAGCTTCCAAAAAGGCTTTATGTTCTCCATCACCCCAGCTCCATGTCCTTTTAGATTCTAAAAGTCTATACAATGGCTCTAATATGGTGCTCTTACCAGGCAAAAATTTCTCATAGAAATTGTATAAACCCAGAAAAGCTCGCAGGGTTTCTCTGTTCGTTGGAGCTGGTTTCTCTTGAATTTCTTTAACCTTCGCAGGTGACGGGTGGAGCCCGTCCACATCTAACATGTGGCCTAAGAATGTAATGCTATTCGCTGCAAACACACACTTTTTGACATTCAGACGCAGTCCCATTTCTTCCAGTTTACATAAGACCTTCTTAAGTCTCTGGTTGTGTTCTTCGACGGTGGAGCCAGTTACGGCTACATCGTCTAACAGGCATGCTACTCCCTCCATACCTGCAAGCGCAGTTGACATAAGCCGTTGAAAAATAGCTGGCGCTGCGCTTACGCCGAACGGTAAGCGATTCATCTTCATTAGACCAATCGGAGTATTAAGTGTTAGCAGCATAGCTGTCGCATCATCTACTTTAAGCTGTGTGTACGCTTGCTTTAAGTCCAGTTTGCTAAATATCCTGCCCCCACTCAATTTCACAAATGCTTCATTCGACTTTGGCAATGGGTATGTATCTGTATCTATCGCGCCGTTTACCGTCACTCGATAGTCACCACACATTCGTATTGTTCCATCTTCCTTCATGACTGGTGTCAGTGGCGTGGCCCATTCCGAATATCGTACAGGTGTTAGTATGCCTGCAGTGACCATCTTGTTTAATTCCTCTATTACCTTCTGCTTGAGTGGGTAAGGCACCGGGCGGGCCTTTAAGAAACGAGGGATGGCATCTTGTCGTAAATGTAACGAAACTTTAGGACCCTTGTATCCTCCCAGACCTTCTTTAAATAACTTAGGATATTCTCTTTTATACTGTTCTATATCCTCTTCAGACCAGCACAGTCCAGAAACTTGGAGGCCTAGTGTTTGAAACCAATTTCTACCCAACAGGTTCGGCCCATTTCCTGATACTACTACAAGTTCACACTGTGCTTCCTTATTCGCTAATATAATTCGTACATTAGCTACTCCCAAAACTTTTATAGGATCTCTAGTCCATGTTACCAGCTTCAATGTAGTGGGTCTTAAAGGTGGGGGTGTCGACCATAGCTTTCTATATGTCTCTTCCGACATAATAGACCGAGAGGCTCCCGAGTCCACTTCCATTGATAATTGCACTCCGTCTATAATAACATCGGTAGTTATAGGAGGTGTGTAATTATCTGTACAGACATAAATCCCCATCATCTTCTCTGCCGACACGTCGTCACTTCCACTACATTCTCCACCCTCGTCAACTAGGTGTGTGCGTCTTGGCCTCTTATCGCATGCTGCTGCAATATGCCCGAATTTCTTACAATAGAAGCATTTTGCTTTCCAGAACGGACAGCGTTCGCCTGGCTTATGCCCACGTGTACACCGTCGACATTCATTGGATCTCACAATACCAATATCCATAGGTTCGGTTTCGGTAACATTTGGTGGAGTTTGGTTTGACGCACTAGCTGCATACGCAGGGTACAAATCAGGGAATGTCGCTTGATAATCCAGACAAGTCTGTAGTGCGACTTCGTATGTTAAATCCTTCTTCTTTAATAAATCGCGCCGTAAGCGATCATCCCGCACCCCCAGCACTAGTCGGTCCCTCAACTGGCGTTCCAGGTCTACAAAATTGCACTTTGCACCTAGTCGGCTCATAGCCGCTACATAGTCCTGTACACTTTCTCCTTGCAACTGTTGCCGTTTATGAAATTTTCCCGCCTGTAGTATTTCATTAACTTCTGGTTCAAAAAACTTATCCAAAACATTGAAAATATGCGCTAACGATACTTCAGTCGGCCGTTTAGGAACTAAAAGAGATGCGATTAACGCAAAAGTGTCTTTTCCACACTGAGAAAGGAACAGCGATCGTCCCCTATTGAGGTTATCTTCACTGACGCCCGCCGCGTCTAGCGCACACATTAATTGCTCCTTGAAATCACACCACTTATCAGTTTTTGGGTTAAATTGTCCGGGAAACACAATATTCGACACAGTTGCTGCCATTTTCACGTTAAATAATTTTAATTTATCTCGTCGCCAATAAAGAATACAACCAAGTTGAGATCAGAAACCAAACTGTTTCAAACAAAAAATCGTGCGCTGCGTGAACTTAGCGAACGATTTTTTAAAATTTGTTTTTTTTTAATTTAAACATCGGAACTATTTAAAATGATTATAAAGAACTCTAGAACTATTCAAAAGGATGTCAGAACTCTAAAAAAAAAAGTCGATTTTTTAATATCGTGTGCCAAGTTCACAGGACCGGGTAAATGTGAAATAAACAGTTTGGTTTCTGATCTCAACTTCTACGAGTTCTAGCCGATCTGATCGGAGTTCTGGGTAGCGCTACCTGAGTTCTATCGAAAAGTCTAGTAACTTTTTTCTGTAAAATAATTATTTTCCAAATTATCGCCATTTATTACTTTTCAAGACTGACTTGTAGGAGAATTTTTCTTTTGACGAGTTCTAGCCGATCTGATCGGAGTTCTGGGTAGCGCTACCTGAGTTCTATCGAAAAGTCTAGTAACTTTTTCCTGTGAAATAATTATTTTCCAAATTATCGCCA